CCCCCCCCCCCCCCCTCCCCCCTACCAAGTGCTGACCCAGCCCTGCGTTTGCATGCAATCTACAGCTGCATGCTTCTAATAAACAATTTCATCTTAATTTCGGGGCCTTCTTCTTTTCTCATCCCATCCCATTTTAATTACCCAGATTGAGATTGATTAATCGATTTTGTTTGATCTCCAGCCCGGAATCTTGCCTACCTTAACCTTTTGCATTGTGTTACGCGCGATATCTCGACACGAGTATTCGTAGATCCGAGGCCTGTTCTGCTCTTTATCGTATCGTATCGTATCGTCGGCCAACAAACAGACGTTGGAGCTAAAGTAGTAGCACCGTGTAGTGCAACCTCGCTATGCCTACTTCTAATTCTAATCGAGCCTAGAGTAAGCATATCCAACGCGTTGTGTTATCTCTTAACTGTACGTACCATTCATTCCCTTTTTGAAGACGCCACAGCAACAACAGTTTGTAGTCTCACGATCCATTGATCGCATCTGATCTGTCAATGGTGTTAGTGTTAGTGATGATATAACGCTGGGCCGGGCTTGGGATTGCCTTGTCACCTGGTTTATTCTCGTCCGATTCTGGAGTTGCCGACCCTATTCGTATCCTATAAAGCAATTCAACGATAAATGCATTCAATCGTCTAGATAGTATTTACTATTCGATATTACTGGCTGACTCGCTTGGTATGGACTGGAACGGCACTTGTCAAGCACGAAATACCCTCAACGGCTAACTGTGGATATTTCTACATTCCAAAATCCTCGCTATAACTTACAGGTTGGCTATTTTCTTATTCCAAACCGTAATGTAGCCAATTATATCTATATAGTTCGTTACTCTCAAGCCAAATACCTCGTTTCAAAACAGTCTCGGCGTTAATGTCTCGGCTCCCTTGTTCCGCGCAACTCTACTGGAAAGACTGGCGCCCTTGTACTTCTTCTATGTTCCACTTGGACCTCTCCAAGACTCTGACTATTTCTTCCTTAGGCCCTCGAGTCTTGCTTGGGTTCTTTCTCGCCAGACCTTCCCCCATCGAATCGCAGCCATGGTCGCCAGAGCTGAGGCTATCAAGTATGCTGCTGAAATAGTAGAGAACCATCCGATGCCAAGTGCGTCGACTGCTGGTAGAACCACGGCGGATGCTACGCAGCCTACCAAGTATCTGGCAAAGAAGTTTGTCGCAGCTACTTCAGCCCCTTGGCCTGGCATCACATCGAGACAGTACGTGTTGTACGACGGGAAGCAAAACAACTGCGCAACGCCCTGTACAAACATAGCGATGACCGGAAGCGGGATGCCTCCAACCTCTTGGTCTACAGTCCAGCCATAGACCAACATACTGCCCGGTATAATTGCACCCATAAAAGGCAGCGTAGATCGAAGTCGGTCTTCAGGAATACGAGTACCACGCTTCTTGATCCACCGCTTTACAGTGTAGTCCGCCCAATGACCCCCAAAAAACGTCCCAAACACATAGCCGAAGCCTGGTGCTAGGTAAAAGAGACCTGAAAGCAACGGAGTCTCGAGGTTGAAACGGGGGTTCAAAACGTATCGAATGGGCGTCAGGAGGCTGTACATGTTCCAAGTCAAGGATGCGCTGCTTCCAGCCACCAGGGCAATATTGGGGTATTGAAACAGCCGCAGTACTCGCATTGGACTGATCATGCCCAGGATTGTGAGTGCCCTCTTCTTGCCTGAGAGCGTCTTCAGGTCATCGATCTTGAGTTGATGGGCCGTTTCGGATACAACGAGATAGACACCTAGAACCCCAGCAGCAGCTAGTCCTGTTTGTAGCCAGAAAATGCTCCTCCAGGACGAATATGTTACGATGATACCACCCAGAAAGGGTCCAAAGGCAGGTCCAACGAGAGTCCCAGTCAAGAACCAGCCCATGGCGGTACCGCGCTCCGTCGGGCGGTAGATATCACTGTCCTGTCTCAGTACTGCTCCTCGAATATGGTCACTTCTCTTTGCCAGTGCTGTTTATAGTAGCCGCGTCCACAGCAATAGCAGTTATCCCATCACAGGGTACTAGGTACAAGTCGCAATAACGCCAAACCTGTTTACAAGATGCTTTGCGAGCAGCTACTACCCGCTGGACAATAGTGCAAAGGGGCCAGAATATTAATGACTTACCCAACACATGCGGGACCAATAAGAATAAAAGCTGTTCCTCCAAAGGCGGAAGCAGCCCGGAAGACAATGAACGAGGCGAGGTTGGGTGCCAATGCGGTTGCCAAACTCAGTACAAAGAACATGGCTGATGAAGATAAAGCCACCTGAAGTTTACGTTAGCTCAAGTACGTACTCAGACACTTATATAGTCTCTCAAGGGTATTGCACCCAAGGTTAACTGGCTAACCAACGACCACATATCTCATACAACAAAGGTAATGGTTACTCACGACACGTCTTCCATACACTTGACTTATTGGCCCCCAGAACAAGGGTGACAAAGCCATGACAATCATATACGCCGCATTGCTCAGGTTGATGATACTTCCAGTCGTGTTGTAAGTCGCTGCAACTTCTGGCGTCGCCGCCAACACAGATGTACTCGATATAGGCGATAAGAATGCTCCAAACGATAGGACTGCCACTATCGCCCTCTTTCGTCCCTGGGATACCTTATCGAAGATCTCGTCGCCAGCTTCTCGATAAGGTGCGTCGCCTTCTGGGGTGGTGGTTGTAGCAGCTGGCTCGAAAGCATCGTGGCCCGATATACGTGATGTTGTGCGATTGATGGTTTCTGGACTTGGGGTTGGGTCCGAGGCCATAATCCGCGATGAGACTTCTGTATCGCCCACGGTAGATGACAATGACGACGCTTCGTCATGCGAGTCTTGCGAGGCCTTCATTGTGGTTGTCTTGGTGTTCCCCAACTTTGTTTTGGCGTTCCGGAGCGGTGCCGACCTTGATCTGTCTCCCGTGGCATGTAGAGAGAATAATGGAGATCAAAAGGCCGAGTTGACCTCTTGAGCAGAGCAACCAGAGAAAGAAAGAGAACGGGCAGCTCGCCTACGAAATTTCTGATCATACCCTAGCATAGAAAGGCGTTACCGAGCTTCGGAATCCTCTCCCCCATTCCTTGACCACATCCTAACTTAAACTGATCAACCACCCCTCAGGTATCTGGTCCGTAAGTGTGCCTCCAATATCCACTTGTTCTCTCATCATTCCCGATCACCAATGACCGATAATCAACATCCGTTTCCTGACTGGTACACCCATTAATCTGACTTCTTAAACCACCACTTATCGGAAACCTGGTTGCACACGATCCAATCCCGCTCTGTTATGTGTTGGGAATGACCCGGATGTGGTCATGGTTGCAGGGTGCCATCTACCGAGTCGGAACGGTGCTTCCGTCGCCGGTGTCCACTCTTTTCGGGCCACCGGCCGAGCATTCGGGACATCAGGGCCCGACTAGTCTGACTGATACCATCCATCCATTAACTGTTACGAATGTCATCGTCACAAGACACGAAAGAATGTACGGATAAAAGGTGTTTGTTTTTACTTTGTTCTAATTATATTTCGTTTCTATTTACAAATATGATTGTTCAGCGCCCTGTTGGCGGTTTCGATCCTGCAACGCCAACTCCTTCTAATGCTTGTGCAAATGCATATCCTTCCTTGACTCTGACAAGAAAACATGTGTTTCCTACACGGGGTATTCCCAGAACCTAGAAATAATACATGATTCGTCTCCTTACTAGTCCGTCTTAACCCAACAGCTTCTGTACACGATCCTGTAGTATCCGATCAACAGGTTGGTTGTTGCGTTGAACGACCACATTTTCCCTGCCCCCTATAGTAACGATACGCAGCCACTCTGGGGCGACCTCACTCGCAATCAAGCGCACACAAGCTGCGCCCTCCTCCTTTGATACTGGCATCCGAAGAGAATCCTTGAGCTTCTCGAGAATGACCGCCATCGTGAAGGCCTGTCGTGGTAGAGACATAGGATTTGACAGAGTTAACATGGAAATAGTTGCTGCAATATCGCCCACGCGGTTGAGAGCTGCGCGACGCTGAAGCTCGGGACCTGAGGGAGGGAGTGGCTCATTGGCTTTGGCCAATTGTTTGAGTCGGAGCCGGTCAAGAAGGCTCATCTTGGTTCCATCGGGGTTGAGGAGAGGGTTGTTGGAGACGACGTTTTTCTTGACCTCTTTGTCATGCTGCTTGTTCGCGATGCCACTCTTGAGCTCTGAGAGCGCGTGTTGTCCTTTGCTGAGGATGGGGTTTGCTTTGATCCCGTTGCCCATATTCTTGATGTCCACCTTGGGGAGTTCATTCAATGAAAGATTGTCAAGTGGGAGGTCAACATCCATATCGTCAGCAGAACGTTCAGTGCCCAACGATCGCAAGTTGATCTCAAACTCCTTTAGTAACCGCTCTTCGTTGATTGGCGCCATCCCAGCGGAAGAACGTTCGATACAAATCTTCCCTCGGCCATAATCTGCAATCATGAATGGTGAGTGAGTGTTGTGCTTGGTCGAGCTTTCAATCGCAATACATCGACGAATATCCTCAATGGTGACCTGGCGTTTACCCCAAGACTGTGAGATATGAGGAGCAAGGGTGCGTATGTCGATTGGAGAATTGTTTCCGTTGTGGGCAAGTTGAATCATGATTGTCTTGACGAATGCTCTGTGTATATCGACGAGCTCAGCGAGATGGGCAGGTAGAGCATCCTTGTCCGTCGTGGGTTTGCTTAGCTTCTTGAATACACCATCAAGCTTAGTCTGCACCGTCTTTCCTTGTCGTTTGTTTTCAGAGAGAGGTGTCGAGACAACGGGCTTATGGGCAGTTTTGGTCCTTGAGGGAGTTGTCTTGGCTGCTCGTTTGCCCTTTGACACTGGCGTTGCTTTTATGGATGGGGTAATGACTGGCTCCTGGCGTCGGAAAGAGTATTTGGCTGGGGTAGAAAGCTCATCTTCGCTACTAGGAGCGAATGAAGCGGTTCGAGGTTTCGTCCTCGGGTGCGCATCTTGTTCGTCTGTGGCTGCTTTGCGTTTTCTGGTGGTTGATGACTGGGTTTCAACGATGGCTTTCTTGGTAGTATCGGTAGGAGTATGAATTTTTGATACACGAGTAAAGCTCGCGATAGACTGGCCGATAGCAGGCGCAGCCTGTGTGCGCCGGGTCACTCGAGGCATCTTAAATGACTGCCCTTTTTAATTGAGAGCAGGAGCGTGGGAAGATGAAAAATTGAAGGCACAAGTAAGGAAAGTAGGACCGTGGGAATGGCGTTATAAAAAGTGAGGAAGTCGCGAAGTGATTGAATGAGAAAGGAACAAGACGGAAGTTGCAATGAAGAATTATCGAAATCAAATCACCAGGAAAGTGTCTAAGATGAGAAGGCAAGAGCTATCCCCGTAAAAAAAGAAGGCATGTGCTCCGTCGTCAAGGGGAACGCGGGGATGCACGACGCGATCTGACGCGTACCAGCGCGATATCTCCGCGTAAAGTGGCACCCGCGTCTGCGGCTCAAGTTAAAGTGGTGCACGAGCCTACCACAGCAACCTAGCGACCACTTCTATCATTTCGGCTATGATTCTTTATCCCAATTTCATCTTGACGTCACCTCCGTGTTGCCAAATCCAGCAGCGTCGTAATGTGGCTTGTTTCCATCCCCGGATATACCTAAGGACTTCCAACACGCGATCTGCAAGACTGTCAACAATGAAGACTTGATCGTACAATCTCCTCGATGGAGCGAATTAAGTCCTCAACAGAGTGGTCTTTTTTTCTTCTTCTTCTTCTTCTTCTTCTTTTAGGGTAGACATGATGTCTTTATCCATCGACTCACGCGCTGCTTCGCTCCAAGATGTGCTGTTTTATACAAATCCCGAAGTTATAGTGCTAGTAGGCTGTAACTGAGAATCACTTACTGTGATCCTCGGTTTCCATGGAATCACGGTTGTTTTCGGCCAAGTTACACAGAGCCTCGCGCCTCGGCTCCCGCTGCTTCAACGTTCGTGGATCTCTTATCTGAATTGCGATGTATCGATGAATTAGGAAACACACAGCCAGCCAAGTTTTTTTTGGGACGAGCATCCCATTCTCGTGCTGGTGCCCTACTGAGCCCTCCAGGCTCGGATGTTGACCTTCCCCTCAAGCCTCTTGGGACATGGAATGGCGGTCTGGCTGCCTGTCTACTGCTTGTGTGCATCCTGCTTGGCTGTGCACTCAGCAAGCTCTCCGAATGATAACCACCTGCATTCGATGTCACGAAAAGGGCTGCCACGAAAGGGGTTCTATACTTGTCTCGGGGTATAAATACTTAGGGCTAGGTAGTGTATACAGATCGTAATTTCAGTACCAACTTTACCGCACAGCAGAAAAGTTGGCCTTCATCGCATAGGGCACCAGAATAAAGTAGCCTGAATGCCAGTTTAACGAGGGATAAAGTGACCATGTTAGTTTGTCTCTTTGGCTCATAGTGGCCAGTTTAACCTGACGCGAGCTGGCGAATCAGTTGGGTAGGAGTTCAAATGCATTAAGAATGTGGTGGGAATTGGTGACAACGAAGTCTGGCTATTAGCCTGCAGCATAGCATGAAACTTGAGGCCCCGTTGGGTACTTGCTCACGCAATCGCCATGTTCGACAAAACTGGAGCATATCGGCATTGAATCAAATCAGCTTGCACTCTGGTTTACGTTGTCGTATCCATGGGTCAAGTACACAGGTATACATGTCTACAGAAACCAAATGAGGGTATTTCGGATCCTAAAATATCTTAATCAGGCCAAGATCTCGGAGACGGTATCGAATGGCAGACACCATTGTACAGGTAATCGGTAGTATTTATCACATGACTACAACAAAGGGAACACACCAAAAGCAGAACAACATGTTTCCTAATAGAAACACAAACCAAACCTAACCGTAGAACTTTTGTTGTCCTTGTTTAAACCCATACGCCCTTGCCCGAAGTTTTACACCTCCGTTATGGCTTGCACCACAAACCAAAACGTCCCATTCACCCATTATTCGATTGCCCTCCTAATAACCCGAACTCCAGAGTGCTTCAATATGAAATCGTAACAATAACGCCGAAAGGGAAAAAGGTCAAAGGATGTCTCAGATCAAGTTGACGTCCCGTCTAGCCCGTCTGCTTGATCTGCAAGGACATAGTTGACGAGCTATCGCCGGTGCCGTGCAGCAGCTTTGTCACAAAGACTCGCAGCTCAGCGACGACTTGGAACGGCCCAATGTTCAGGCCTGAAGCTGACAGGGCTGGGTGGAGGAGGTGCTGGAACGGTATAATCATCTTCCTGAATATGATGCACCGGGGTTGATGGGCGGTTCGTCTTTGTAGAGAGAGTTGCGTTGATGCTGGTGTAGAGGAGCTCTTGGGAAGTAGCCAGTCTCATGTTACGAGGCGAGGCTTCGATCGATGAGGTGTGAGAAGCGGGCATTTTTGCTATCAAAGGATTTGAAGATCTGTGATTGAATTGTTAGAGAGACAAAGACATACTGACTGAGGTAAAGCGGATATAAGTAGATATTCAACACATACAAGAATAGAAACAGAGCGGCTTGCGTGTAAACTGTGGGGACAGATGGAGACAAGGTGAATCGTTGATGAATGTTTGCCTAAGTCGTAGATCCGAAGACGCGGCAGTGGAGAGAAGGACTTATTTATGTTCTTCGGGCCGAGTTGACAATGTGAGTTCGATACGGAAAGGATAGCTCGACGATCAGGAATCTGAGGTTGGCTTTCTGACGGGGCAGTGGAGAAGAACTTATAAACGTTGAAAGATACAGACAGAGATAAGGCAACCCGGAGGCACGTCAGGCAGCTACCTAATGTAGTAGAGACGATGAATGGAAGGAAGGTGCAAATGTAAGCTAAAGTCCGGGGAAGGGAAGGAAGGGGGATCCTGATAAAGGGTGAAGGATGTGCTGTTAAATAGGGAGGTAGGTATTTAAAGGGAAGGAGCGAGCAAGTATATGGAAAGAAGGGAGATAAGTTGAGTCCCCATCCATTCTTCCCCAGCTATGGCTCGGCCCAGCCCAACCTGAACCTGAATTGGCCTGAACTGAATTGAATGAACAACTACAGTTCCCTCCTAAAGACAACCTGGACAGGGCAAACAAGGGCGTTGCAAACCGCGATACAATACGGCGGTGGTGCCAAACAGCATTGACAGGGCGAGCCTGCTCAAGCGGGGCCCCTGTGAGACCATACAAGATAGGGAAAACCTGGGGAACAGGGCGGGAGGCATGTCTTGGCTTTGGTACTAGTGAAGCAGGTACAGTACTTCACCTTCAGTACAGAGTACCTACTACCTTTTACTACCGTATTTGTCTTCCGTGCCCCAACAGCGAGACCCTGGTCTTGGAAAAAGAGAGACAAGACATCCCTGACCCAGGCACATTCCCAAGACTACAGTACAGTTGTACAGTAACGTAACTCACCCCCGGAAATGCCGCGATCCATGTTGATGAGGCCCTAGATTGTTTTGGCGTCTATCTCCTATTATCGGGGGACTATACGGGGATGACCCGCAGTTCCTCCATCATGAATATTGGTGCACATCGTCGTCGAACCTCTTGGTAAGCGTTACGGCAATACCGCGAAAGACACGCACGTCCTCGTTTCCCTCCTGAGGCCGTCTGCTCGCTAAGCAGTTTCTATACCTGCAGTAATTAATTTATGGGTTGATTCCAACAAAGCCCTAACGACATGAAGCATAGATGTGTGACTGTGACTGTGATTATCCATCCGACTACAGTACCACCAATAATTTATTCAACTGCAAACGCACTGCAGGACTTCAGCATGATTGGAAGGAAACCTGCCATTGAACTTGAGTGCATACGCACATACTGCTAAGTCCTCCCTGCAAGGTTCATATCTTTCTGACACGTCGCCATTCAGACCTACAAAGAAAGAAGCATAGGAGGTACTCTGTACAGGGGAGAAGATAGGGGAAGAAAGCATAAGCAAGAAAGCTCAGTGGAGGAGCTAAGCAAGTGCTAAAACAGAAAATCATCTTGCGACCTACGGCAACCATATCAAGCTAGAGCCTATATAAGGTCCGGGGAACGTGGTCAAAGAGGTGCAATGGCTAGCGCCACCACTGCGAGCGAGTTATCTTGGTTGCCGCTGCGTGCAACTACAACTGTGTACTCTTGCGTAATCGGCTCTTGAGAAAGAAGCTGTCAGGATTGCACAGATACTGACTGCACTGTACATAGAGTATGATATGTACATACTTGTGGGGACCGACCGGCAAGCCTAGGCTTCTGGTTCCGATACAGCTCCCTTGTCATAATAGCTTCTAGAAGTTCGCTCGTTTCGTGGAGACTCGCCTACAAATCCATGCTCCTCATGCAACAAATATTGGGTCCTTGGGTTTGAGCTAGATGCAACCATGAAGCGAAAGTTTATTTCCTTCACAAGGAATTTCTAGTCTCACTACCAACATGCGACGATTACCTTGTGCGATAGTCGAGCTCATGTTCTTTTCCCTGTCTAGATACGATAGCACCCTTGACGTGGAATGTCTCGCGGTAAATGACTGGCGTTGGGGAATGCTTGTCCAATAGGTAATAACAAGAACCACCTACGGTGTACGTACTATACCTATCGAGCCATTTCTGAGTCAATGGATTAATGACACTGACAAGCGCCCCTGGCGGTTAAATACCGACCAAGAAATAGAGAAACAGGATGTGCATATTGTGTAGTTATCTTTGGGCCCCTGGCAGGTGAGATAATGGAGAAGGTATTCTCATTTGCACAAACCCACAGTAGGATTTATCCCAAGCCCATGCGTATTATCACAATCGTATCATTGCTTCTATCGTCCCCAATTAGGGTGATTTGATCGTTCTGGATTAAGTACCCTTGTTTCTGAGGCAGGCGCTGCCCTCATTCCCTTGAGCATCAAATAAACACAGCCTAGATTCTGGATTATCATCATGCTGCTGCCAGGTTTCATACCTCCGGCAGTCCGAAACACAGGTCTTAGGTCTTATCTCTTCTGAACTCGTAACAAAGATGTTTTCTCCCTGATGGACCTATATATCTCGCTTTCAATATGAGTGTTCAATGACTATGATGGCGGGAAACGTGCCCGCGTGGGGGTTAACATCAGTGAAGAGATAGTATAGATAGTATGGAAAGATGTCATACTTTATGCACAATTCTAATTCCTCCTGAAAACATATAGCAGTAATCTCAGCTTTTTCTCCTATGTATCATTGAAGTGATGGTAAGTGGAACCAATGAGCTGGTGCTATCGTATGTACAATGCCTTGTACCATGATTAAGACTTGCATTCGTTTATTATTGTAGCTGACACGTTGCACGGCGTGTCAGCCTTGCATTGCCCGGCCCTGTCGATCCTTGAGTCTGGGACTGATCATCACGAGTGGCTTGCGGATACAATATGCATATTGTCGGGTAAGTGGCCATGGCATGTCACAAGGGGGGCACCAAAATTCAAAAGGCGAATGCGTTTGCCTTTGAGTTGCATGCCACGCATTGATCAATAAGTGTGCCTCAAGTTCTTTTATCGTCGTATTAGTTTGAGAGGGTTCCCTTTCTGTTGAGATCATCGCATGTTCTAGATGAAGCCCTACTGAAATGGGCTTTCTAGGGTAGGCACCACAGCAGACTCTAGGTCCAGTTGTGGATCAACCAAGACACAATATACAAATCACCATAACCATTCGTGCATATTACTTAGTATGACTAAGTTCATATCATGTATCGTTATCGTTGAAGTATCGAACGGGAGCCACATATAGTAGAATGACACTGTTGCTCCGGACACATACAGAGGCCCGCAAGCTAAACAAGAAAGTGTACATGTGCGGCAAAATGAACATTTCGATTGAACTCCATCCCCTACCAACAAACATGGCTCGTTACGCTATGCACAGTATCTCTTTCAGCTTCTGTGTGCCACGCCCCGCGTTAGCTAATACACTTCTCAGCCACCCTTGTTCGTCGAAACACTTCTTGCTGTTGCTGTACCCGGGGCCGCTTTCGTTTTCCGCCGTGTTGGCTGATAAACATCGTTGAAGTTCATCGCTACACCTAGGAAACGCATGTCAACGTCAGGTTGATATGCCAGGTCCCCTAAGAGTATCTGGACACGAGTTCGGAACGATGCTCCTAGATGCCGCAGGCGCTCTTGAAGGACTGGAAACTCGGACGCGACAGCACCAGAGCCAGCCGTTGGTGTGTCAAGGCCATCGTGGTCGTCAGTATGCCGTGTAGTGCTCCGTACATCAGCCTCCTGGCGCCGCGTGAAATCCGAAACGCTCCAGCTGTAAAGTCCGTCAACTGAGTCTCGGTAATTGAGCATGAACCGAAGAATCTCGCCAAGCTGCATCATGTATGTTGTACGATCATCCTCGTCAGAACTATGCGTGCGTCGTTTCGCTCCAAGTAGACCTTTATGTGTAATATCATTAAGGTATCGTGTGTGTGCCTTGATGAGGTCGTCCAGAGTACAGTCTTCCTTGTGGATCCGCTTCTGGAGTTCACCCCACGAGGACTCGATGACCTCAAACAAAATGTAATACTGTAGCTGACCCACAAAGTGAATCATTTCAGCGAGGACACCCCGCGTAGATTTCCATGTCTGAGAGACTGCTGGATCCGAATTTTGTAGGACGCCACGAGCGCCGGTCATGCACTTCCGCCAGGTTGATAGCACTGCAAATTCAACTCGCTTGATACGCCAGAGGAAGTTGAACACTTTGAGGTATTGTCGGTTCCCCCATTCCGTCACGACGACATCAACTGGTGCATCAATCTTGTACTCGAGCGTAAAACAATCCCAGCCAATGTCACCATGAGATAGTTGCAGCATACGAGCATCTAGTCGCCGTAGAACTTCAGGGGAGTCGTATTGGGCGTTTGATCCTCGGATGGCATGTTCTAGTTGCGCAGTAAGGGTATGTCTGTACTGTGCGCCAGCAGGACGATCAAGGTTGGCAGCGAGAGATTCCATCAAGAGGGCAATGAAGTCTCCTTGACCTAGAAGGATATAGTTCTTGAGCGCTTGGAGATGCTTGAATAAGTGAAACTTGTTGGCCATCAGGTCAATCAGACGCTTCATGGTAGTCTTATGTGCCTCATCGATCCATGCTTCCAGGGTGGCAGTATCACCATACCTCAGCTCCTTGGAAGCAGCCTTGGAGTAGTCCTCTACCCACATAGCATCGCCGCAGCTATGCCTGATGAAGTTAAGGGACTTTCCAATCAAGAAAACCTTCTGGGCAAAGTCTTGGGTAATGATGCTGGGGATCATGTCCGTGTCAATCTCATACTTGTCTTCCCAAACATTACCCGCGCCCTTAGCCTTGGATGTGTCCTTTTCGGGAGACTGCTCTCTGACGAAGAATTCCTGAAAAGGATCTGATAATTCACCATCGTATATCCAGTGTCGTAGGATGTCGTAGAAGGGTCGTGTAAAACTTGCCAGTAGCCTTTCGGCAAAAGCAGCAACAACAGGATCGCCGTGAGAAGATGAGAAACTGTGAATAAGGGACACAAGCTGCCCTCCCCTCTTCTTCTCAGATTCTTCAGCTATTAAGCTCATGAGTCTGAGACCCATTGTTGCCTCGCGAGTCCATACAACACATCTCTTGAGTGTGACTCCAGCTTTTCCGATTCCCTCTCTTGGGGCCTCCTCGTCAAGTGATGCAAGAGCTCTTCGAATCTGACTTTCAAGAGTGGCAATCAGACTCAAATAAGATTTGAGCTCACCGTGAATGGCCGCCCTTAGACTTTGCCCAAGAAGCCCCCTGGCTGGAGTCTTGCAAAAACCGTCGAGACCGCGATACAGCAACGATGGCTCTGCTAGAGTGTGAAGCAAGGAGACAATTGGTAGTGGGAGTGTTGACGGTAATTTGATGATATCTGATTTTGTGAAGGGTAGTGTAGTGGAGGAAAGTCCTTGCAAAGTGAATGGCAAATCTCTAAGAATGACGGACTCGGGAGGTTCTATCTCTGAATAGTTATTCGCCAATAACGTTGATTTCAAGGAAACGTCTCTTTTTGGTGGCTCAGGCCGCGGTTCCCCTTCTTTACTCGGTTGCTTGCTCTCTTTTGCTGGAAGTTTCTTGAGCCCATCTGGTTGGAAAGCTTCTTTGAACTGCTCCTCCTCGAACCTGGAAGTCCTGGTGGCACGTTCTCGACCCTGCCGCTTTATAGCGTCACGACTGATGGCATCTCGATAGTTGGGCGCCGATGGCTTTACAGGGCTCAATGGGAGGGGTTCACTGGGATCCGGGGAATCTGCGAGCTGGTAGAGAAGGTAGAGTATTGCCCACTTATGCTCCAACACAGGCAGTGAAAGTAGTCGTGTATAGAGGTTCGAGAAGCGAAGAGCTTGGGTAGGGTTGCTCTGGATGAGCTTTCGTTTTATAAGATCGGAGGCATGGTTGACATCGGAAGAAATAGCGGGGGAGGCTGGACTGAGCCGTAAATAGTTAATTTTGTTGCATTGGTAGATGTAAGACGGACGCAGATGCATACCTGTCTATTATAGACTTGACAATGTCAAAACATGTATCATGGCGCTCTTGCGCAACTTCATCGGGATCATTGGGATCACTGGGCACGATGTGTGTTATCAAACTGTCGATAGCGTTGGTGATACGGTCGGGGGCCATGACGGCATCGCAAATGGTTTGCGACTACAGGAGTAGGAAGTAATTGGGTGTCGGGGCAGTGCAGTGACCTCAACGAGCTTGTAGATGCGACCTCTGAGTAAAGAATAAGTTGTGAGTCGGATTGATTAGATGGATACAACAGACTCAAACGCGCCAGACGCGACTGTACCTAGAAGTTGGTGGTGGTGGTGGTGCTGCAGGGCGGATTGCTTTAGTGCGCTTCAGAGAACGACAGGTAGTGGGTACTCATGACAACCCCCAATCTGTCATCAATCGCAGGTAGACGGTACTTTGGCTTTGCGCTGATGTCCTTCATGGCTGGGCATGCTCCGCGGCAAAAACCAACTACACTCACTCGAAACCCTTCATTCATTTCGAACCTCACGTCAACAGCGGCACAAGTCTGTCATCAATTTAAACGCCGAAATATGCTTTTTTCATCAATCTAACCCCTACACCGCGATCGCATTAATCACTTATTCGCTTTATATAACTCATGCGTCTTTTCTCCGTGTCGCGCCGCGCTAATCTGCCGCACGCGACGTCGTCGCCGATTCGACTCCTATCAAGATGCCCGACATCGACCCCGCGGCTTTGAGCCGTCCAGCTGTCGGCCTTACGACTCCTATCTTACCGAACAAGACTCTTGCGGGCTCTGTTCCTGGTGCGCCAAAGATTGCAAAGTCTAGCCAGATCATCCCCGCCCGAATTGATTTAGAACCGTTGTATACTGCACTTAAAGCCGCTATAGGCAACGAGAAATGGGCCATATACAAGGAATCAACCAGCGAGTTCTTAATAGGTAAATATCATCAAATGTTATCTATTTGTTTGCGCATGCTTATTCATTACCAGGACGTTTGAATCAGGCCGAATACTCGGAGAGAATAGATCCCATCCTCGCAGGCCCAGGTGATAAAGAGCACTTACATAATAATCTCATCGCTGCTATCTATGGCAACGTCACTCGAGAAATGCCCGACCAAGGGCTGGCGCCATGGGTCAGTGCCAACGATAAGCCTGCGGCGACGACAGGAACCAAGCCAGTATCAGGCGATGCTGCTGAGCGGAGGTTGAAGGGAGATGTTATGCAATTGCCAACACGAGACCGAAGGCGCATCAAGGACCTAGTGCAGAATGATGTTGGTTTCTCTATACTACCTCTGTTTCAATCGCTGACAGCTATCAAGTGGGATCCGCATGAGAGCATATCGAACGTCTTCGCAGACACACATCGCAAACCTTCCACAGTTGCAGTTACAGATGCTACACCCACAGTAGGGGGCATCAACAATATGAGTATGTATTCTGGTGGAGTATGTCTGTATTACGGAGAGCCTGACATTAGGGCTAGATTTCGACTTAGAGATTCGAAAACGATATGCGCAACCGTTAGCGATAGAATCCGGCGAATTCCCCGACATCAACATGATCTCTGGCCGAATGCTTCCCTCTTGCTACGAAGCAGGGCTCGTCAACGGCCACACTTCCGACGCCCCCCAGTTCATGTCGGTAGCCGTGGAAACTTTCATCAAAGAAGTCCTTACCCAGGTCTTCAGCCGTACAAGGAGTAATGGTCCTGGCGAATCGGGTAGCGCTGGATTTGGCGTAGGGACAACCTGGATCCAGACGCGCAAGTATAAGCAACAGTTGGAATACGAAGAAGAAGCTGCGGCGCGAGGCGAAATCGCTCGAGACAAGGGAGGGCTTTTACCGATAGAGTCTCGGGCGGCCAGTGAGAGAGGTCCTCTCGGCATGTCTGATCTTCGCCTATCTTTGGAGATGGCCGACTCAGGGATGGCACAGTTCCCAGTGTTAATGACTCAAGTTATTTACGGTTATCGAGAAGGCGAGCTGGAGAATTGGGAAGACTACACTTGGGTCGATGACCAACCACCTCAATATTATGCCCACGAGAGGCATGGGTTGGACATGAATGGAGGACAGGTTTATGAACTCCAGAACGGAAATCCCGACGCTATGGATATCGATACAGAGACCTGGTGGGAAGGCGCAGAGAGCCAGGATGCTGACATGTTGGACGGCGTCTTGGATTCATGTCTCGCCGCGGGATCTTAGCTCTTGTCCTTTGGAGTTGTGAACAACGAGGCAGACTGCGTCAAAGTCATGCACAGTCGGATTAACTGTCATAGAACACACTTGGAATGTCCCAAGACTGGCTTGACAGAAGCGATTTGTTACTTACTCAGGAGGTCAGAAGCAGCTAACAGTCTGCGAAAACACTGCGTTGAAAGGAGCGAAAACGATAGACGTGTTAACAGACAAGTACGATTAGGACAAGCAAGGCGTGCAAGGAGCTGGCGTTGGACAACAGTCATGATACAAAGCAGCAATTCGATCGACGGCATGCAACTCGAATTCGAGGACCCGGACGAATACATTTCAAATCGGATGACTTTATCTTTGGCGCAAGGGTTCTTGGGTTTGTTTTGTTTTTTTTACCCTGCTTTACTTTTGGGTCGTGGCTTTGTCGAATGGGCTCTATTGCCTTTTATCTGTATTTCTATTGCTGTTTCAGGGTAAGCATTGTCGTTTCTCGGCATGCTTGGAACGAGGAAACAACCCTTCGCTGTGGACTGGGGGAAATGGAATGGGGAGGGCTTTTATTGTACTTTATCATTGCAGGAACGATACCCGCGCAGCTAGATGAGGGCAGAAGCTGTTCAGTGCCAGTGATGGGATGGCGGAGGGCCCCGATATATATGTAGTTGCTCAAAAGATTTGAACTTCAATAATGGTTATCGCGTTATTACTCAGTAATCCTGGTGACGGCTTCCTTAGACTGGGCTCGACATGGAGCTCAACATCTTCGAGAGCACGGATGAAGCAACATGCGCGTGCATCGAGTGTTGTTGCCCAGGTGCCTGTCATCGAACAACGTTCATCTGGGCATAGCAAGTAAAAACATCGGAATGGGTTTGGAGTGCCAACTAACAAACCATCCGCAAGCCTCCTCCAAGGACGACATAACTCAGAGGCAGGTAGGTACCTCCTAAATTAGTGGCCGTCTTTCAAAGTCGACGCTTTGATCAAAAGATCAGTCACGCGCCCTTTGGTTTGCATGAGGTTCAGTCAAAAGGAACGGCAACGGCCAAGCCTTTTATTGTAGATGAAACTAACTGCCTGCCTCACTTTCTCCGATGTTGTCTGATGGGCACTAATAAAGAGGCGACATGAAAATGATGTTTCACTCGTGAGCGCCAGGCTGCAAAGAAGGACCTCCGTGGTAATGGTAATTGCATACCAACGATATCCACAGAGAGTAATGGGATGAACAGGGTGGAGTTCCGTTCCTATTCTCATTTCTGTTGCTTTGGGTGATTCTGCTTCCGGGAATTAGAGGCGCTCACTAGCTGCTCGAGAGTCCTGACTAACGTTAGCCAAGGAACCAGCTTTTAGGTTGGTATTAATCAATTTGCAGGCGAATTGCAGCCCATCACTCTAATTAAGACCACCAACTGGATATGATGAAGTCGTGAGAGAAACACTGATCTGCACCAAAAAGAGGGATTCTCACCGATGTCATGCTGCATCATAGCTCTAGCATAATACAGTATCATCGACACGGTACTTGCTCTGTTTATACAGCTTCCCTTCCTAGTCCGGGAGCTGCACCGAAGAGCAGCAGAAGTGTCTGTGGAACAAGCGCCCGAACAGCCCGAGCCCTTGGCTGGCCCGTGCGTGTCTTTCTAGAAAGCTTCCCTGACGGCAACCATCTCCCAGCTCCCCTTCCCCCCACTTCTCCCCATTCCGTTGGTTGCGTCGTCCATTAGGAAAGCACAGAGAAAGAGAGAAAGAGAGACACACACAGAGCTACTCCCCTCTGCCTGCCCTACCTCAGAGACGCCGCCTGGCCTGGCAAGAACCATAGTCTTCTCTTCCATCCCATCTTCTTTCTTCAACCCCCATTTGCTTGCCTCCCGCCGCTGTGTACCTATCTCTGGAAACCCATCAACGACATATATCACACATCTTCAACTTACCTATCCATCATCAGGCCTTTCTTCATCGCATCGTCCTTCTTCTTCTCTTTGACTAGGAGGCGGGGATCAGAGCACCATAACCCCACTCGCCTGGTTACTCCTCTCTTTTTGTTCCTTCATTTCTTTCAGCATTACGACAAGTCGAGCCTTTCAAGCTGTTTGGAATCAGCCGCCGTCTATCATATTCCCATCATCCTTGATACGCCCTGGTTCCTCGACTCAACCCTGCGTTGGACCCCTCATCACGCTCCAGGCCCCTTGATCTGAGGAGCCTTACAGGATATCGTCACCCTGCCTGATCACATCTCAGGTTGTAGGGTCCAGTTTACCAGGATTCAGTGTGAGTTAACCTGTTTTCCCTCTGTTCTGCATCCTTCCGCCTACACTGGAAGCTCCATTACCTGAAATGCTTAGCTCTCCAGCCTTGTGAGCCCTTGTTATTACACAAGCAGACTTCAGTAGAGGGCATGCTTGTGCGCCAATAACAGAATTGGGCTGTCCATATTTCTCTGCAAGGCTCAATTTCCCAGCAGTTTCGCATTTTCCCCTTTATCTTGTCCAAGCAACTTTTGTTCCTTCGAACTGTGCATGGGCTACGTACCAGGGTCTTGATCTAGGCCCCGCCACAACACGTCACTTTCAAGCGTGGATTGCAGCCCACGTCCAGCGTCATCTTTAGTGCACGCCCCGGAACTTCTCCTGCACGCAACATCCCTTGTCGTTTCAATGCTCATTGATGTTGTTTGTTCCTAGCTTCAGCTGCAGCTTTGATTGACATACCTCAAAGACAATTCGCTCTGCGATCATCTATAAGAACGCCGCAGTAGCTGTAAGTGAAGCTCCCCCATTCGTGTGACGGCATCACGTTGCCACTCGCTGCAACATTTCTATTTGGCGCCTGCTTCTTGCCAGTTTCATGTTCCCGAGACATTCACGTTCGCTACTTTACATCAGACGCAACTTGCTTGCCACATGGAAGCTTACCAGAAGGGTATATAGATAACTGACAACGAACAAGCGCTCTCCACTCGCCCCGCGATACCCCTCATCCACAACGAACTCGACTGGCATCGGTTTTGTGCCCGTTTGACGATATAATATCACATTTCTCAAGCTACCTCAACAGCATCCAAACCACCCATTATGTCCGGCCCATTCTCCAGCCCCTTTGGGGAGAACAGTAACCCCTTCGGGACAGATAGGGGCAAGAGGACAAACAATGCAATTCATCGTGTTGCTGAGGAGGAGGATGAGAACGACACCATCACATCTCCTACGAACGCTCGATTTGGAGCATCACCGAATTCTGCCTCTATGTTTTCCGGCCCCTTTGGTGGAGGCTTTGGCGGTGACTCTTCAACCGAAGCACCTCCCTCTTCATCGCGAAATATTCCAAACCCCGATAGCTATCCGGCACAGTACAACTTCGGTCGCCGAACTTCCGTATCTGCCGAATCTTTGAAACCAAGTGCAGATTCTTATGATAACTGGTCACCCCCTTTTCATGAGAAGACTCCAGACCAGATCGAGCGTCTCAAGCGTGCCATTGAAGGCAATTTCCTTTTCAGCCACCTGGAGGATGAGCAGAGCGCTCAGATACTAGGGGCCCTTGTTGAGAAACCGATACCGGCCAAGGGTATTAAGGTAAGCTTCTTAACAACCGATCCAGGATATTTGACTAAAAAGGTGTCATTAGGTGATCAGCCAGGGAGATGCTGGTGACTACTTCTATGTGGTTGAAAAGGGATCTTTCGACGTTTATGTCAACCCTAGCGGCTCATTGCAGCCAGGCCCTGACGGTATGGGCAATCAAGTCGGTAACATCCAGGCTGGTGGCTCATTCGGAGAATTGGCATTGATGTACAATGCCCCTCGAGCTGCAACTGTAGTTTCCGCTGAGCCTGGATGTACCGTATGGGCACTCGATCGCGTTACTTTCCGTCGCATTCTGATGGAGTCGACATTTGCTCGGAGACGTATGTACGAGAGTTTCCTTGAAGAAGTGCCCCTTCTTTCAAGCCTGAACCCGTACGAGCGCTCCAAAATTGCAGATGCTCTGGAAACCAAGAAGTTTGCTCCAGGAGAGATCATCATCAACGAAGGAGATCCAGGCCATGCATTCTTTCTGCTCGAAAGTGGCGAGGCGGATGCATACATTGGTCAGCCTGATAACAAGGTCCGCCATTACCAGAAGGGCGACTACTTTGGCGAGCTTGCCTTGCTCAACGACGCCCCGCGAGCAGCTAGTATCGTTGCTACGTCAGCAGTCAAGGTTGGAAGTTTGGGAAAGAACGCTTTCCAACGTCTGCTAGGCCCTGTTGAAGGTATTCTACGACGGACCAAGTACCAAGGCGTTGCAACTGGTGTCGAGGAGATGGATCCACTTCACACCAGCTAGACCAAGTGAGTGTTCTGAGGCATGACTGGCGGAAACCTGGTTGGGCGGAGAAGCAGAAACGTTTGCCAGGTGGTGGGATTAGTGGTGTTCAGGTTGCCTCGTGCTGTTTGGGTGTACGTATATGGAACGCAGTTGGGCCCGTTGGATTCAGGAACGAGTGGCAGAGGTTTTCACTTATGATCGGCGTTTTGAGAGGTTGTCTCCCACCTTCGCTTTCCTGAGAAACATGACTAGTGATCAGATACCTTGGTTCATATCATTATTATCACAACGCAACTTCCCACTCCTTGCTATGAAGGTATTTGCGATACTCGAGGCAGATATCTACCGAGTGACAAGAGCAGAGTCCTTAGCTCGATCGAATTGTAGTCTATATTTATTCTTTCCATGGCAAACCAAACTTAGAACCCGTTGATATCAAGACGCCAGTTATAGAGAACCTCATATGTAAATTGATTAGTCATTTGCCCACGCTGTCGCATTGCCCCTAGCTCTGAGCAGCCCGTTTTGACAACTCATCTCGGATTTTCCTCCTAAGTTCCTCAACGGCAACTTCGGTTTCGAGCACGCGACCAACGCCTGCGCGCCAGGTTTCATCCAATGTCTTGATCTCGGCACCTACGGCAGTCTGTCTCTTCTGCCTTTCCAGATTCACGATGTCAACTTCGCGTTTGGTAACTGCTAATTCGCGTTCAAGTGCCTGAAGCTCCGCCTCGAGACTATGGTTTCCCAATAGCCAAGCATTCTTTCCCCACTTCTCAAGAAGCTCCAAGTTTGTGAGGCGTGAGGAGAGGTAGCTATGTGCGACGGCGGCAGCGGGCAGGGCGGTGGCAGGCGGAGCGCTGGGAGATGGAGCCTCGTATCGGCTCAGATCAATGGGCGCGAGTGGTTCGGACTTGGAAACACGTTCGATTTCGGATGTTATCGCGGGAGAGAAGGATGGTTCTGGGCTGGATGAGAGTTGAGGCGCTTGAGAGGATGCTTCGGCGGTGATGAGGGCGCGCGCAGCAGCGAGGGCTTCCGCGGTTGGCTCTTGGTCAACGTCTGTATAGTGTCAGTATATGAATGCCGAGGTTCTTGCGATGAGAGCATGTTAGCTTACAAGGAAGCGACTCGTGGTAAGCTGGAGCGACGGGCATGATGGTTTGTTCTGGGGTTGTGACGCGCGCAATTGAATCAGAGCAGCATTAGCTCAAGAGTTTTCTCTAACCGATATCGCAGTCCGCTTGTTACTGACTGGTGTAGATGGCGCGTTCGTAGGTAATTTCGTACGGTAGTTATGGTGGTGCAAGCGGATTCAATATTCAATATGTTTATAATCGCAGCCTTGCAACCACGAAATTTCGGAGGGAACAACGACGGACATGCACGGACCACAGCCCAGCCTCATACTGCCCGTTCAGCCTTCAGCCTTGGTGGCTTGACTGGTAGAACGAATGCGGGGGTTCGCAGCTTAGCGATCAGGAATTGTTAAGATCATAACTCTTATATGTAATTGGTTAACATGGATAAGGGCTCAATGCAAGTTTATATCCCTCTGTATCTGTATAGTATGGTACTTCAGTCTAATGAAAAAGAATATTCCGTACCTTTCCATGATTTCGTGATGGAGCTCAAACGCATTTTGGAGAAGAGAAGCTCAGTCAAAACTGCCCGTTTTTGGGGTTAGCTGCAAGTGTGTTCACCCCTGCACTTTTAGCGGTACAATAGCGGGTTACATGCACGGCGATGGGGTTGTGCTCCACTAAAGAGCCTGGCCGATAGAGATGATAATGGAAGTTGATAGCGATAAGAGCAACGACATCGGCTACATATTGGGCTGCTTCATGTTGAATTTCGAATCTCATCTGGTACCTATTCTCTTGGGATATCCCGCCGAGATTTCCAAGCCATACAGTGCTCAGGGAGGGTCTGGAAAATTCTCACTTTGACATCAACCACCATTGTCTCCACATGCATAGGCAGTGAGATTCGAAGCCTGTGGCCGTAATACCGAGCAATGGCACTGCGTTAACCTAAACATAGTGAGGATAAAGGGGCCCCTTCAGGCATCCCCGCCATTCAAATATTGCATGGTACTGAGTGCTTATCTTCCGCGGTAATTGCAGCTGTGTGGGAACCTGAGAGATCGGCACTTCGCTATTAGGCAAAGGATACTATGTAGCTGCCCCTGCTGCCTTCAGAACATTGAAAGAGCGGGGTATGTAGATGGAAGAAATGTAGGATTGTAAGTGATGAAACCATGGTATGAGGGATTTCGTAACAAGATTAAGTTCGTCCCATCACATCAGTTGTTAAGCTGGAGTGTCTTTGTTTTGGTTGTCGGCTGTGCCTGTTGAGGCTACCAGCAGTCAAATTCCTCGCGTCGTTGTTAAAGCTAATTAAGATAGTGGTACATTGATACATCGTTCCGCTGGGAAAACAGTTCCGCAGTCGGTCGTAAAGCCATGATCCGCGTAGAGATCTGTCAGTCATGAGGGTCCCTCAACTCCGTCCAAAGCCCCTACCATACCCCCCTGAACTGTCTGTTTCGTTGCTACCCCCGAAGGCGATTGGTTTCTGGTTTCCATCCGTTTCGTCTCATGCCATTTCATAGTTGTAAAGGAAAGATCGAATTTCCAGCGCATTTCAATACATGTGAACCCTCAAGTGTGCTGCTGCCATTGTATAGAGCAACAAGCAGAGACTACTGATCTCTCGATTAAGAAATGGTGGTTCGATTAAGACGAGGATCGACCGCTCTCGGAAGAGTCGGTCTTGGTGAGGTCTTCATGGTCTTCTTCTTCAGGACCGTGGAGTGACTCTTCGAAAACGGGCTCGGGCTCGTTGACTTCAAACTTAGTCTTGAAGTCGGTGATATGAGAGAAACTGCTGCTGTTGGAGCGGCGTCGGGTGTTGGTAAAAGTGAACTGTTCGCCTGCGATATCATCGTTGACGGTTCCCCTGCAGATCGTGTAAGTGCACTGTGGGGCTGACTGACATGGGTGTTTTTGAGTGAACATACCAGTTGCCTCGGCCAGAGCCGTCCTTCTTTACCTTCTTGGGGTCCACATCGGCAAAGCCGTTCTTACCAAAGAAACGAGGAACAGTTTCCATGGGAGAGATAGTCCCCTCGGCAATGCCCTTGTGGTCACGGTCGTTGGCCTTGTGAGATCGGGTCACTGTGAGAAGCTTGTCAGTATATTCGTGGTCTTTTAGTTGGGTGAGCGGCATGAAGCTAACTCGTGAGGACTTGTAAGAGACGGTGATAAAAGGCAAAATTTGAGAAATGATGTTGTTGTGATGATAAGATAATGGCAATAGATAGAAAGATGATGAATGATAGAAAGAGGGGTCAAGACATGCGAGGATTCAAGGGGGAGCTCGATGGCTTTTAAGGAGATCAGATGCCGCGCCAAACGTCACCAAAAAGCAACCGACCATGAACAAGAGCAGAGCATCACTCCGGGTGAAGATAGTCTAGGAAAGTGCGGGGTGCTGAAGTACTCCGTGTACAAAGACTGATATACGGAGGAAGGGGAAAACAACCGGGCAGGGCAGATGAGACGCCCGAAATTGTAAGGGAAACTTACTTTTGCAGGATGAAAAGGTGCAATGATTAGCGCAAGGCGATTTGCGAGTGTTCCAATCGAGACTACTAATGTACTGGGTGCGTGAGACGAGATGCCGCCGTCTTTAGTTTGCTCAAGCTGCTCGTTTTCCGCCGCAGTGAAGAGATGATGAACAGCTGGACAATTGCTGACGCTTGACTTGTATTGACAGAATAGAGCAGTACTCCAGAAGGGTCGTCAGTGGGTGGTCAACGGTTGGTTGAGTTGTGTGGTAGGTGGAAGAAGAAAGGTCGCGAGTACTTCGTGAAGTGATGAGGAGTGCAAATGTAGAGACAATTGATGATTCAGAAGAGATGAGATGAATGAGATGAGGGGGAGCAAGTTGATTTATTTGTATGTAGACCTATATCCAATTCAGGGGATCTTCTTGGAAGGAGTGCTTGCCTTTATATCCCGAGAGTCACGCGAGGGACGATGCGTGATGGCATCACCATGTATCCAATCAGGTCATTGCAGACCGATGTCTCTTCCCGTCTACTACCTACAGTACGACCCAGGCTTTCCCCCTCTACACACGCGGCAAGCTCATTCTTACGGCTGAAGCTAAGGAAGCTAGGAAACTCCCCAACGAGATTGAGCATTGCAATTGGGCAATTGAAAATTATGGAAGGGAACGGCGGAAGGAGTCAGCTCATGGATGTTCCATCATCGTGGCTTCACTCCCAGTACAAGGCAAGTGCGACGGCGTCGAAGACCCACTCCTTGAGCTAGTGACCCCAGTTAAGGCGGGTCTCGCATGTCCCATCCCGTCCGTCTATCGCGTGACCTGGCGCAAGCAGCCGGTGGCCGAAGTCAGTGGTCCAACTTAAACTTACTGAGCCAACGATGGGTACATGGACGTTACAAGTGCGGGGAAGCAGTAGCATTCCAGCAAGTAATGTGCTGAACATCAGGTTGCTGAGACATCCAGAAGAGGTAGGCAATCTGAAATGCAAAAGTGACCACATTCGTGATGTGAATTGTGCAATTTGAGCCTCATACCAATGCATCTACCGTGATCACTAGGCCCTTGACGTCGACGTCCATTCCATGCTCCATCGAATATCGAGCAGATTGACCCAGCCTCTGGATTCTGGGGCATGGAGGGGTACACTGAGAGGTGCGGTATCACCATAGGCCCCATGGTGCCCCAATCTTTAATCTTCCATCCATCCAATCTCAAGGACTCCCCAACCTTCAGTACTGCCTTACAAGACTATTGGTAGCTGTCCATCGTTGAACAATGCAGGGTCTTTCACCTAGAAATTGGTCGTTTTGATGATACCACTGTGTTGTTTGTACAACAATCCAATACCAGATGACTGATCTTGAGTATCTAACTAGGTAGATAGAACAAACACTACACTGACGTCGATAAGGATGCTTCTCAACAAGGGTCTGTCTTAGTGTGTGGCTTGGCCGGAGCTGTTTTAGGTGGGCGGACGACACGACTGCCCCGCTTAGATTTACGGGGATCTGGGGTAAAGCCCAGCCAGGTACCGGCATCCCATGGATCATTGTGTTTGTCTTGAATGCCGCTGATAGCGATAACACGAAACAGGCAAATCCAAAGACTGGCACAAGCAGTTTTTCCAACGTAAAGGAACTCCAATTGACTTGTTTACGTGAGTGGAGTATTCTTAATTTTATCCGATACATGTACAGGCTATAGGCCATCCCATGCTTGCTACTGCTGCATCTGCCGACCTTGACTCCACCCATGAGACAAAAACTACACGCCTTCAGACTACGAAGTGGATTGATATTCAGGCTTGTTCTCCAGAAAGAGGCAATTGCCAAGTTTTGTCCCATCTTCTCCAACTTGAGTATGGCTTCATAGTGAGTCCGATACCGCTCCTTTGCTCAATCGCCGGTGGGCCTCAGCGAAACTGACTCAGCGCCCAGAAGGTGCACATGACCCTTTATCCATCGACCCATATTGCACATCATCGGGAACTCACCAATTGCAAGCATCAATTCGACTCGGAACTCGACCCTCAGCTGCTCAGTTGCTCTGAATGCGTTCTCGGATTTTCTGCAATCTAGACGTGAGCCGATATGGTAACTTTACACGTCACGGCTTGCCACTCATAGCACGTACGCCTTTCTTCGTAACCCCAACAGACATGGAATCCGCTTCGTTCTCGAAACACCGAAAGGAAGTCATTCAGAGGTCTCATGATCATTGTTGTTACTCCGTCATTAGGACCGAGCTCAATAATAGCTCTGGCGGCCGGTTTCTTCAATGACAACTATCCGTAACTCCATAAGATTACGCAACACCATGCACGCCCCAGAGTCGGAGCTTTGTAAATATTCGATTTAGTACACGTTACCACTAAATAGAACACGTACACCGCGCAGCTGCCTTCTTTTCTGTGAGCGTCAAGACCGATATCTAGCCAGATATGTCTTATTCTTCACACCATCCAAGATTCAAGAGCCCCATGGAACTTTCGAGATCTCCCTCACGAGTGCTTGGGCCTTACAATGGCATACACAGAGCACGATACCATGTTGATGTCAAGGGGAGAGCCATCCTTACCTTCTCCATCACCGCTACGGACCTTCGATAGGCCTGTCTTAAACATTTGAATAACGGACATTATGTGAAACCTCCAGAGCTCTTGGCCCATTCATCCACTCAACTACGCACGACTTACAACCGACCACAAATTGTCAAACTATTGTCAAATTAATATATGTTGGTTGCCTTTCTTTTTCTCCCCTTGTCGTTATACGACGTCTAATGCACCTCTTTGCTCATCGTAGGAAAAAAATAAAAAAGATATAAGAAAACTCGTCGGTCTGCGCCTGGATAATACAATTGCAGTTTCATCTTTGTCCCTAATAAAATGCCCACTCTGCGTAATCAAACATTTGTCGGTTTCCTCTCGAATCCTCATACCACCTGTGTAAATCGTGATGTCAAATGCCCAGCTCCCTAACGTTGGCCCATTTTCGAGAATTCGTTCTGGTAACGCAGCTTAAAGCCGTTGCACAGCGCTCGCATGTCAGGGTATTGATAACCCTTGAGCTCAAAGCCTTGCGGGATGGCGCGCACCGGCAGCGCAATAACCTTGGCTGCTCTACTAGCCTTAAAACATAACCAGAAATACCCAGGGTGTTTGGTGTCGATGCAGAAAGCGTATGCAGATCGATTGGGGTTGGCATCGATGTAAGTCGTTAGCCATTTTTCTACGAGCTCAGTTAGTATCATGTAGATATACTTCCATACGGTGTAAGGACTTACCTGTCTCTCCCCGAGATCGGTTCTGGTACTTGTCGTGACGCATCAACTCCTCCACCTTGCGCGCCATAGCCTTGACATGCTCGACGATCAATTCGTCCAGATCGGTGTACGTATACTTGCCGCCAACACGTAGCAGTTTACCCACCGAGAACTCGGTCTCCTTTTGCATCTCAAGGACGTCAATGTGTTGGAACACACCGTCTGCAACCTTCCAAGTTACCGCCAGGTGATCGTTGCCCTTGGACGAAGGTCGAATTATGACCTCGCCGTTTGGCTGAGATCCGAGGAATTCTTCGGCTTGGAGACCATTGAAGGGCTTGAAATTAGGGTGCTTGACGACACGCTGCGTGCGTCCGGTTGTCTTGTCCTTCTCCCGCAGCTCTTCCTTATCAGCGGCTTCCAGAGTATAATCCCATCCATCCCGGCCGAGGTTGATGGGCCGCTTGTAAGGAACACGCAGGGCATCTTCACGCATGGACAACTTGGCCATGAAGTCCTTGTAGTTGATATCCAGAATCTTAGCCTGCGCTGTCTGTCCAGAGCTCAGGACCTCCTTGATCGATGATCGGTGGCTAACCTCATGGCCCTCAACTCGGCCCTCGATGCCACAGTCGAGTTTGACGATAGCAAAGTCCTCCTTGACAACCCGCACGTTCACGGGAACAATCATGCCCTCGCAAAGGGTATGTTTGGTCTCACCAGTGAACATAGTGAATATTTCTGACGGTGACAAGAGAGCGAAGTTTCTTCGAAGTTCTTCGTAAGGGGCTTGGAGTTCGGCACGGATCGTCTCCAGAGTAGCTCGCTTGCGTTGGCTGTAGTTGCTCTCCAACTGCTCTGCATACTCCTCCAGTACTAGCTCGTTGACCTTGTCCTGCTCATCCTGTTTGAATAGCTTGCGGACAATGGCTCCAGGTCCATTCTCGTCTGTTTCAGCCTTGACATCTTCCTCATCAAGTTCCAAGGCATCGGCAGCCATCTTTCGGCCCAGTTCGTAATCCTCGGGATGAACTCGTGTGTTGTCCAGTGGATCAGACGATGGGTTGGTAGCCTCGTACTCGATGAAGAGGAAACTTGCACAGTTGTTCCAAACTCGAGGGCCCACAACTGGCAATTTTCCACTATCTGGATCACCGACGAGCTCATCTCTTGTGCCAACAGCACCACCGTTGGCGTTGATAGCTTTGATAACACTTGTAGCCTTTCGAGGTCCCAATCCAGAAACATAAGGCAGGAGGTTGGCGGTGTACGTATCGTTCATAGCCTCGTTGATATCTACACCGCAGAGGTTGACCATGTCTACCATGGCTGAGTCCAGATATTTAGCCAGCTTGTCGGCGGGGAGGAGGTTCTGACATGGGTGGTAAGAAAGCGAGGCAACATCCTTGCCGAGAGCTGCATATTCCTTCATAGGGTTCTGCATGTATCGCGCCAGGGCGACGCAGTACCTCGTAATGGGATTCAAGCTTGGATGCTCGGCCAGGGCGCGAGGGCTGTCCTTGTATAAGCGAGCAACCTCGTCATTCACTATGACAACCTCCAAAGGCTCCGTTCTATAGTCGTTGGTGTCGGGGTCCTCGAACTCGGGTCCCATAAGACCCTTCTCATTGACCAGGCTTTCCAAGTCACGCACCAGCTTGGTCGATTCAGCAGACCAACCGCTAACACCAATCACATCAGGTCGACGGCGCTTCACGAGTTCTTCAAACTCTTCTCTCTGGCGTTCATCTCGAGCGAGGTTTCCTAGCTTGCCTTGTTCAATCACTCGTCCATCTTCTTCTACCCACGCCCAGCAAATTGGATCGCGAGCGGGATCGGCCATGCCATTGGAGAGAACCAGGACGCGTGGCGTAGTGCCCAGAATCATGCCCTTGGGCTTGTAGGGCGCTTGGTCAAGTCGCTTGGCGTATTCCTCCCGACACATCTTGAGAACCTCATCTTGGCAGAAAGTGCGGATGACCTCCTTGACGTTCTTTGCAATAATTTTCTCCAATTTGGGATAAGCAAGGTCCAGTACCTTCTTGCGTTCTTCTCGCCACTGCTCAGCTCGATCACTGAAGTTCTCGGATTCGAACTCCTGATAAAGCTGTCGTCGGAAACCATATCTATCAGGCATATCGAGCTTGATAGTAACAAGTCCTTCCTCTTCGGCCTTCATCATCTTCAAGAAGAGCTCTGGCTGATGAACTAGGTCGGCGATAGCTTGGTTTTGAAGATACTTGATCTCATAGTAGGGATGAGAGTCATCAATTCTGCGCAGTCCCTTTTCAGTTCGGCGGCAGCTGATCTCGGCGGCCTGATAGTATGAGTTACGGAAATGTTTGCGCATCCTTGGGCTGGAAAACAACTCCTCCGAGTACATCTGTCGAGCTGCACTGATGACCTGATCGCCTGTACTAAAAACATCATCAATCAAACTATCCGCCAAGTCCATGGGATATTGTGCGTCATCATCAGGAGTAATCTTCTTTCCGTGTCGAAGGGCATTCTTGGCGAGTTGGTCTGCTGAGATGCCGTAGGCGCGGACAAAGCCATACGCCTTACCTTGACGAACTCTTTCCAGTAGGTTGGACTTGGAACCTGGCCGCTTAGTCAACGACAGATTACCAGCCATGGCAGCGAGGTCCTTTAACTGAGGGCCATATTGGAAATGCAGGTAATCCTGCAAATCTTGGAGTTCCTCCATAGTCGTCGCCTCAGGAATCATCTCATCCACCATTGCATCGTTGATTTGCATCCCCTTCAGGTTCTCGACCGTCTTCTCGAGGGCGTTCCTCTTATCCACGAAAGATCGAAATTTGATATCCAACTCCAAAATCTTCCACAGATCATCCTGGTTGAGCAATTTGTCTGCGCTAATGACGTATTCTGGCGCATCAGGATCATCGCGATTCGGATTCCGTGTCTTGCGGGTATGAAGCAGATAATCTTTGCGGTGCTGGAACACATATGGTACCTCGACCTCGTCGACGATAAAGAACTCGAGGACTTTGCCCACAGCCTTACCAAAAGGGCTCTGCAGATCTGGGGCAAGACCCTTCTTCGGCCATAACTGGTTGGTGATCCAGCGCGCCTCCTCTCTGAACTGCTCTGCCGTAAGTTGTAGGCTCTTAAAGGTTTTTCGGTCGATTTGGAATCGCTCGGGCTCGTCAGTGAACCGAATTTCGTTGTCTTCGTCGGTCAGAAGCTTCTCCTTCAGTTGCGAAGGCTCGAACACGTCCTTCAACTCAATCGTTTGTTCTTCCCTCTCACGATCCTCCTCCTCTTCTTCCATCTGCAATGCCCAGTCGTATTCTTCACCGTTACCGAAGATGGCCTCCATATCATCCAAGGCATCCTTATCCAGGTTGGCAGTGTCGGCGATGTTTCCAATGACGCGGTCTCTGGGTCGGGCAACCTCGGCATCTTCCCGTTGTTGTTCCAACTCTTCAGGATCATCGGGAAAGTCTTCCTCAATGAAATCGTCAAACTCGTCCGCTTGGCGATAGGACGATCTATTATTATATGATCGTTGTTCGCCTGCATCGTCTTCTTCATCGGAAAAGATATCATCTAAGCCACGGCGCTGATTGCCTCGATCTTCATCGCGGGTACCACGCTTAAGGCGCTTGAACTTGGACTAAATTTGGAAAAGTCAGGGGCACTGTTGAGTTAGGTAGCTCTGCTGGCTTCCAAAAGGGCTTACCTGTGCTTGAGGTTTAGGTCGCTCGCCAAACTGTTCACCGATCAAATCGAGATCGTCCTCGTCTAGCTGTGCTTCTGTTTCGCGGTCGCGATGCTCTCGTTTTCGTTTGTGGATGGGTCGCACGTCGGCATCGGAATCGCCGCCTTCGTCTTCGTCATCTTCGTCGACGATAAATCCTTCGCGAATCTAGAAGAAAAATATTAAAAGCTATCCAATTGGCAATGATCCATAAGCTGACCTTGCGAGCTTCTTCTTCATCGTCGTCATCTTCCTCCTCTTCACTCGAGTCTTCGACCGCATTCTTCTGTCTGCGCTTTCCGCCACCTTCGTCGAATGACTCATCCTCTTCCTCGTCATCGAGCTCGGCTTCACCAGAGATTAAGTCTCGCATGCTGTTGCTCATATTTGCGATTTGCGATGCTGCCGCGCAGGCAACAAAGCTTTCTTTATATGTTTTAGTTGTAAATAATCGGGGTGCGGCGCCCAAGTGAATGGAGAATCGTTCTGTTGACTCTTAATGTTCGTGTGTGGAAGAAGGAAGGGGAAAAAAAAGAAGGAAGGAAGTGACTTTCAGAATTATAGAAATCTAAAGCCTAAAACTTTAGATTGCTTTCCTTGAAAGCTGATTGTCTTTGGGAATTTTTGGCGATGCGCTGCAGAGCGAGCTACACGTGCAGCCTTGTCGCGCCTGACAGGGATGACGGAGCGGTAGGAGAATATTCCGGCTCCGATGATGAGTTACATAATCATAATTCGCGAGTCCAGGCCGATGGATACTTTTCATTCTTGACAAGCATGAATACAGTATCAATCGCTACCAATACGCGAGTCATGTCTTTGCATGCATTCACCTCTATGCAGATATCTACTAACGTAGTCATTTTGCCTAGGTATCTTATATTTCGCATCATGTTGTTTGCGTTACAAGCTTCAGGCTGGTCTTAAGATACAACTTGTATTTAAGTCATTGTACCAACTTCAAAATCTAACATGCTGTCGTCAAAACATTATGTTTTCCCCTTGCTTATGAAACACACCTTGGTGTGAAGTTGGTTAAAATAGTGTGATCGTTTTATACGCTGTCTGGCTCTCACGGAGCTCAGCTTCTTTGAGCTGGTGGTCCAAGTGCCAACTTGCAGTTGCCTGAATCGTTCAGTGTCTGATCTATCGTCCGTTTTTATGCTGTCCTTACCTTTTGCTCCATATAGCTATGCCCCCAATTCCAATCAAGCATTTGTCGTTTCTCACGCCTTCTATATAGCGATTGTTGTGACAACGACAATTGGTGGGAACTCAAGTACGGGTTTCGACATGTCGTATCAGGCACTGGACTAATGAACTATTACCCTACCATGGATGCTTCCCTATCTTATCACAGCTTTGAGTTGATAGTTGTGTGGAGATTGAAGCGTGAATCGTCTCAAGTATCTAGCCTATAGCCAGTCAACGCATCGTCTCCTGGCTTAGGCCTGACTTCTCCTGAGCTTGAGCGTCTCTTTAAGTACGGTACGGCAGGTACTTAGGTAGGTATAATTACTCCGTGTTATGGATGATGAGTGAATGTTTGCCTCCACGACCTCCCTGGGCCTCCCTTTATGGCGAATGAGTGGCCCACTAGATTTCAGGTACGGATACATCCATAATTTCAAAATCCGCCGGGCGAGCAGTTGTTTCGTTACAACTCCTGATCTCTTCGAGGTTATAAAGAGTTCTTGTTTCCATCGTCAGATTCTCCTCCTCTTCGCCCCCCTTTTCTTCTCGCTCCAGGTTTGCCGCCCAGTGTAGTGTCGTCGTCCTTTTATGCCCGCCCGTTTGATTTGCGCCTCCAACTCCCTGGCAGCGCAAGTCCAGCCACTCCCGTCACGTTGTTGCTGGCTAGACCCCGCCCTCCACTGTCCACTGTCCGCGCCTAACCAGCCAAAAGTTGTGAAAGAGACAGGGACAACTCCCCCATTCACCATCTCCAGCGGCTCTTTTTGCCTTGACACCTACGACCCCATCATATCTGGTAGAAAGGAACATTTCGGATTCTTTCCACTTCAGCCCATCGATCGCCCCTGGGATCCCCATCTCTTGGCGACCGAGTCTAGGCCTCCTATTCCCACTACGGCCCGAGAACGACCCATCTCAACATCGGACGGGGCAAGATAGCGATCGACTCCTTTTCTGATCCGCTCAGTCACGACGATAACTTTGTGCGACGCGACCTGAGCATCACTCAGCTCAAGCCCCAGAAATACTCGTCCGTCCTGAATTTTCTCCTACGAACAACATCTTTAGCGCCCGGCTCGCCCAAGCCTTATAAACTTTTCGGTCTCATTACCTGACGTCCGACCTTGTTCCAACAGTTCCTCTCACTCCTCAAACGAGCGCTGTCCCTTGTTCTCTTCTCAAAATGTCCGATCCTTTTGCCCCGCGCTCTATGAAGCGCAAGAACGTCAAAGGTCTCGCCCTGAAAGCAGCTGCCCCTCGACCCCCGCCAACCGCCGAGACCAGCAACCATGAATACAGTGGAAGCCAAGATGCTGGCAGAGATGAGCAACTAGAAATTGGTATTGAATACAAACTGGACTTGCGACCTGAGGATCTCGAAATCCTCAAGGAACTAGGGTCTGGTAATGGTGGTACTGTCAGCAAAGTCAAGCACCTTACAACCGGGACCGTTATGGCTCGCAAGGTATGGCTTCTTTTTTTGCAGATTTCGAGATCCTACTAACAAGCTACTAGGTAATTCATGTCGAAGCCAAGCGAGAGATACGGAAGCGAATCGTCCGAGAACTTCAAATTATGCATGGATGCCATTCAGACTACATCGTGACGTTCTACGGCGCCTTTTTAACCCCGAACAACGATGTGATCATGTGTATGGAATATATGGACGTTGGGTGAGTACAAACAAAGAGTGCTGAAATCGATATGGTGGTTAATGAGGAACTAGTTCTCTCGACCGAGTTTCCAGGGTCTTTGGTCCCGTACGAGTTGATGTTTTGGGCAAGATTGCCGAAGCCACTTTGGGTGGCTTGACATACCTTTACACAAAGCACCATATCATGCATCGTGATATCAAACCATCCAATATCTTGGTCAATTCAAGGGGTGGAATCAAGCTTTGTGACTTTGGAGTCTCCGGTGAGCTTGTCAATTCTATCGCTGATACTTTTGTTGGAACCTCCACCTACATGGCCCCTGAAAGAATTCAGGGTGAAAAGTACACGGTCAAGTCCGATGTCTGGAGTTTCGGCCTCAGCATTATGGAACTCGCGATTGGCAAGTTTCCTTTTGCGGCTAGTGAGCAGGTATCGGACGGTGACTTCGCTCCTGCGGGCATCCTGGACTTGTTGCAGCAGATTGTTCACGAGCCAGCTCCGAAGCTACCTAAGAGCGATGCTTTCCCTAGTATCCTTGATGATATGATCCAAAAATGTCTTTATAAGGAGCCTGAGCGTCGACCGACTCCCCAAGAGCTCTTCGTAAGACGCCTCTCATCCATTAACTCTGAGCTCTGTGCTAATCGATTCAGGACCGCGATCATTTTGTACAAGCCGCCAAGCGTACGCCGGTTGATCTCAGGGAATGGGCTGTTGGCATGATGGAACGTGACAACAGGAAATCGCACCTGGCCCCCCAGCTCTCTCCTTCGACGCAGGACCTCCTTCGCTCGAGTGATTCTCCTACCCAATCTCAGCAGGCTCAAGCTCAGGCTCAGGCTCAAGCTCAAGCTCAACCCGAAGAGCGTTCTCATACTCCCACGTCTGGGGAGATCCCTATTGGGGGTGCTGGTATTACCTCTCCTCGCGATCAATACGGTTCAAGCCAAAGCCGATCACCACCTCGAAACGGATACGGCTCTTCCCGAACACCTGCTTCCGCACACCCTGGACTGGGATCCAGAGTTGTTACGACAAATTCCATCCCCAAGGTTTCGGGCTACCCTGAAAACGTCGGTCCCGCGAGCGCAAACGCTACAACTTTTAGTCTACCTGTCCGGCCAGCTCCCCCAGGTGGCCCTCTGCCGCCAGCTCCGCCTCGAAAAGAAACACCTGATGAGTTGCGAAGAGAGAACAGGAGACAGGCAACTTTCGGTTTGCCGCCCAACCCAGGCTACGGCATGCAGTAGTCAGCCTGCATTTATGCTGTTCACAGAAGCCTGACTGACTCCCTGACAATTACCTTGACGAACATATTTGGGACAACGGCCCATCCTTGAAAGTCACTTAGCATATTACATCGGCGCACTATTTTGAAACCTTTATCGTGGTCTCTGGCCAGATCACTGTACTTGAATCGTCACATATTCTGTCTTGAACTCAGGGCACTGTCTATTTCATCTGCAGAGAAGACCACTCTTGTTGATCCCGGTTGTGGAATTTGTCTGCTGTCTGGCTCTGGGTGGGTGGTGATGTAGAGCAGGACTGGGGCTCGTGTAAGAAACCTAAATAAAATGAAAACTCATTTGAGCAGCTACTATCCGAGTCGCTTTACTTGCTAAGAGATACTATAAATATTCTACCCTACATAAGCTGGTGGAAGGCCACAGTCATGGTGTTTTACTCGGAACTGACTTCTCTGCCCACGAAACCATCCTCGAGGATGCCAACGAGCTCATCCAACGTAGTAATGACCAAGTCGGTGTGTGCATGCTCCGCAAGGGGCCGGTTCACATCATTTATGAGCAGTACGGTGGCTGCGCCCGCCCTTCTGCCCGCTGTCATGTCGTCGATGGAGTCGCCTACCATGATGAGTCCACTGGCATCTCCTTCACCAGCTTCATCCTTCAGACCCCAGTCTTTGGCGATGTGCAGAATACCGGCAGGGTCAGGCTTGGGAGGGCGAAAGTCTCGTGTAACAATGGGATGGAAACGGGAGCCCTCAAGAAACTTCTCCATGAGATTTTGAACAGGAACATCAAAGTTGCGGGTGCAGATTGCCTTGGGAATGGCGTTGGCGTCGAGGTAAGCCATAAGAGTCATGAGACCGGGCTGAGGAGTTTGAGTCTCCATGGCTTGTCGTTCAATGTTGCGAATAGACTCGAGAGCGCCTGTCTGCTCAGATTTTGGGAGGGTGTCGACATGTTCAAGGATGTCTGTCGTTTTGTTGATTCCTAGCACATCCCTCATTTCCTTGAACATGTAGGTCTGAGGCTCACTACGAGAATGTTAGCGATAAGTTTGGTACGCTGACTTGGCAATTTTCTGAACGGATTCCATCCCGTCATTCGATTAGGAGGGGCTCTCTATCTTGATAATAATTCATACTGATCAGAACAGACGACTTGAAAATCAAGATGTTTCTGAGTCTTATGCAGGGTAGGCAGGGGAGTGTAGATCTTACCAGAGTGTGCCATCCATATCAAATACCACGCCTCGAAGACTTGGAGTACCATTGGGGAGTTTATGGCTTCCCTTCTTGAGTGGTATGAAACGCTTTGGGGATGACGATGTCATGATGGAAACAACACGGCGTAGCATAGGGCTGAGTTGGGGATGTGCCGATGTGTGAAGATACTGTAGAAGATGGTGGGGGGTATATAGCGTGGGTTCAACTTTTTCTGAGATCTGAGGAGTATTACTCGAACATGAAGAATGGCTTGATTCTATTATTTTGAATCTTGAGATTGGAAGTAGTTGATAAGGACAATGAGTGAGTGCTTTGATTCAGAGATGACGCTCTCACTTTGGGAGTGGAGACGAGTAGGTAGAATCCGGGGCTAAGAGAGCAGGTACAGTAGCATTTATTCAGCCACGATCTGTCTGCCTCATTACGTCCATCGTGATTGATATCCTTTACCCTGTACATGAACAAATTTCATGGATCGACGAAGTCGCGAGACTTGGGTTATATGTGGTTCAATCCTGTCATCGATGTATTCTCAACATCATCTCTAACTGAGTGCCTACCTAGCTTAGCCTAGCCTAGTTGCTTGATTTCCTCACCAAAGCCATCATTTCATACTCATCAAGCCCGGCTTCGGCTCCTTGCCTTTTCTCAACAGCTGCAAATTGCCCATGGAAGCAAGACTCAAAAACCTCCCAGTCAGCCATTGGGCCTAGCCACACGATGACCTGTACGTTCAGTCCCTCACGCGCAATAGCCTTCATGTAATCAATAAGCAAGCCTGGCTGGCGTGGATAGACAAACATCAGCGATGTCACATCTGGGTCCTGCAATCTCGACACAACGTCCCAACTGCCACGGACGGTGTAAATGGCTTGTTCTGGAAGATATTTGTTGACAGCGTCTTTCCCAGCCTGTTGAACTTCCACACCCCCCACGTTACAAGTACAAGAAGTAATGCCAGTGTCGGAGTTATCTTGCTGATATAGCAGAAGAGCTTCCAGCAAACCGGACCCGCTTCCAACGGAAAGCACGGTTGGCTTGTCTTTGTCTTTTGAAGTAGTAGTTCTGGAGAATATGTCTGATAGAATGTCGAGTAATTTTGTTGACAGCGCAAGACAGCAGTCTGGAAATCGCACTGGTGCTGCGTCTGGGTTGAGTTTAGGATGATCCATCGTCAAATTTCAAGTGTAGAGGAACTTGTGTGGTTGTTGGCGTATGACTTCTCTGTGAACATGTCTCAGATCAAGCTTAAGTTCTTATTGAGGTGATACAATTTCTTCGGGCTAGAGCTGGAGATCTAAGGCTATCTAGTGGGTACAGTACTCCAGCCGTGTAAGTTTAATCAGGCCCAAAACCTTTATATCCTGATTCGTACCTATGAAAGAATAAAATATTTCTCCATGGTACCATGAACACAATGAATTTGACTTAGAGCGACTACCAAGAGGATAGAGATGACTGTCAGACATCTCAGTAAGTGCATTGCCTTCTCTTACTTGATCAATCGAATCCTGCTTCATAAGAGAACTCAGTACTGTTTGCATTCGAGATTTGCGGTCAAAATCCAATGCCTAGAGTAGATCATCATCGTCTTTCCGTTCATGAGCACATCTCACTCCTCGACTGATTGTTTCACTTGAACGGTGACCTGGATGCTTCGGATCACACGATGAAGACGGTGATAAGATGGATCAATAAAATACACTCTCTTGGAATATCAGCCTACCTAGATAGGTATAGTAGTTTGATGATATTCGTTCTTGTTCCTGTTGATCTCATGACTAGCCGCCAGCTAAATCGGTTGGACAACTAGAGCTAGTACCTGTCCCAGGTGTTGTCACTGTATTGTATCCTGACGGGAGACCAGACCCAGACCCAGCTCAGGAACGTTCCAACGGGCGCAACCGTCAAGGTGCATGTATGGAGCCTAGGAGCTCACTAGAACTTGCCTTAAAACCGGACTCGTAAAGAGCTCTTCGACCAATGATAGAACTTCCAGCGACCTAATAGCTAGCTTCATGGCCCACTCTAGCTGGGGTACATGCTCGGCGTCATCCTGATCCTTGCAGTAAATTGTTTCCGTCCATTTGTTCCATTTCCATCCTACCATCCACGTCCAACGACATCCTTCCATTCAATCTCTCTCTTTCTCTCTCTCTGCTTTGTACAACCAGCAACAGCGCATACATCAAGAACCGACCGTCTGTCATCCTTTCTCAAAACCACCGCTGCTTTATTGAACTGAATCTCTGTTACACACCCACCACCACCGTCTTTCGTTATGGGGCTCTGAAATCCAAGAGAATGAAGCGCGCCAGAATACCAAGACACGACGACTCTCGAGACGAGTACTATCCGAAAATACAGCCATGAGTTCTGCTACAAGCTCTTCAAATTTGGCATGGCCACCTAAGAGACGCCCATCCCAGCGAACGGTATGAACCCTGTGTGTATAAAGGTCATGGTAGCGCCCATGGTTAATCTTTGATACGTCGGGCAGAAATTGAGAAACGGAACCTTTATTATACCCAGTACCGGCGAGCGATCGAGACAAGAGTTCTCGTTACGTACTTCCACCAATGCAACCTCTGCCAGTGATAACGATAACAAACCGAAATTCCATACTTTTGATGAGGCCGAGTCGATTACAGACCGCCTACAGATCATCACACAAAACATCAAAACCGCTTTTGTCCTAGTTTGGCTATGGCTACACACCGAAGAGGGACACGGCGTCCTCAAATGTGTGCTTGCCTATGTCCTCGGTAGTCTGGGCACCTTCTTCCCACCTTTGACATCTTTTCTTGGCAACAGAGATGGAAAACATGTCTCAGCTACTATTACTGTATATTTTCACCCAGCACGAACCGTTGGTTCCATGCTTGAGGCGTCCGTGATAGCATTTGTTGCTGTATTCTACGCCGAAACCGTGTCATTACTTTCAATGGTTATAGCTGTTACTATGCGAACTCAGTTTGGGCTGACTGCTGCCGCCCATGCTCTCATCCTTATCGTTTGCATTGGTGGAGGCCTGGGTTTCGTCGGTTGGGTCAAGCAGAGGCTTAACAGCCCTCTCGTCAACGTTGGCTCTACCTTGGCTTCTATTGCAATCATTTCCGTAATTACAAAAGAAGAGAGCGTCCAAGGAGGTTACTTCGATGACGACAAGATTGTTCAGGTTTTGAAGCTGCTTCTTGTTGGCATTACTTGCACTTTCGCTGTTAATTTACTGCTTTGGAGGGTTTCAGCCAGACGAGTCCTCCGAAATTCCATAATGACTGCCAATAGCTCTCTTGGCGATAAGTTGTCGTCCATCACAAAGGGTTTCCTCAGTGGTACCGAAGACGAGTTCTGGACGAACGAGTACAGCCGTGTTTCTGCCCGGTACAACGTTGCATATGCAACTATGAACTCAACTCTCCGCGAAGCTAAATTCGAGTATTACTTTCTTGGCCGAGAATCATTTTATCCACTTGACAAGCGTCTGTCCAGATCTGTTGAAACGCTCTCCCAGGCTCTTGGAGGACTGCGCAGTGCTCTGGAAACCCAATTCACTCTCCTCAGAGAGGTCCCTAGTTTTGAAGATTCCTTCCCTTCACCCAGGAGTGCCGGACTTACACCGACTTTCACGAGGGCTATCACTGCCTACTTAGAGGGTGGGGGCCAAAGACTGTCCGACATTGATGAGTCGGGCGAGAGTGAAGAAGAACGGCAAGCTACGAGGAACAAGTCAGATTCTGCATTGATGGCGGCCCCTGCTTTCCAAGAGCCCTCAGACATATTTGCTCTCTTCATTGACATGCTTGGCCCCTCCATCAAGTCACTTGCTCATACACTCTCGGAGATTCTGCGTGAACCAGCTTTTGGCAAAGATCCGAATCGAGATGTTACTGTGAACGAACAGCTGAGGGAGAGTCTTCGTGACGCTCTCAATCTCTATAATAATGCGAGATCAGAATCTTTGGAGGAGCTTTATCGTACCATCGAATTTGGGCGAACTCGTTCCGAAAAGATTCAAGCAGACATTGAAGAAGTTGCTGCTGCCTGTGGACACTTTTCTTTCAGTCTACAGGCTGTTGCCGAGGAAACTGATGCATATTTGGATGTGTTGGAAGATGTCAAGTATACCACCGAGACCGCATCGCGTTCTTGGGGCTGGCTCAAGTTTTGGCGGCGCTTTAACCGTTCTAGATCTTCAAACAAGGATGTGATTGAGGACCCGGAGCGTGAGACCTTGATTCAAAAGCCACCTGTTCCCAGACTACGAAAATCACAAATGCCCAAGGGCATCCCCGACACGATGGTAGTGCGGCGAGACACCTTCAATTGGGATGCTGCTCCCCAGGCTAGTAAAATCAAGAGGAGATTCGCCCAGAAGATGCTCCAGATCTCTCGGTTCATTGTCCGGGAGGATATTCTCTTTGGCATCAAGGTTGGTATTGGTGCCCTTCTTTGGGCGATGCTTGCGTTCATACCAGGGACAAGACCTATTTACCAGAAATGGAGAGGTGAATGGGGTCTTCTATCCTTTATGATTGTCGCTGCAATGACAACAGGTTCGGCGAATACTACCGGAACCGCGAGATTTAAAGGTACTATTATCGGCGCAACCTTTGCTGTGGTTTGCTGGACAGTCAGCCAGGGCAATGCCGTTGCCCTTGTGTGTTTGGGAGGCCTTGTGGCTTTGTTCAACTTCTATGTGATTTTGGTCATCAAAAAGGCACCCTTGGGTAGAATTGCTCTCCTTGCATACAACGTGAGCACCCTGTATGCGTACAGCATCTCGCAGGATGTTGACGACGATGATGACGACGAAGGAGGTGCCAACCCCCTGATCTTTGACATTGTCTGGCACCGAGTAATTGCCGTGACCTTAGGCATTATCTGGGGTATAGTTGTTTGCCGATTACTCTGGCCGATTTCTGGTCGAAAGAAATTCCGTGAGGGACTATCAGTCTTGTATCTTCAGATGGGGCTCATCTGGAAGCGTGGCCCTCTTACGGTGTCGCTTCAGAAGGACAGCACGCACAACACCCTTGACTATATGCGAGAGGGTGAGCAGGCGGCTCTTCAGCGATATGGTAAGTCTATACACACGCTGTGATAATACATGTGCTAACTTTGCTACAGCATTCAAACTTGCGAGCCTTCGGACTGCGGCGAAGTCGGAGTTTGAGCTTCGAGGTCCCTTCCCCGATGCAGCGTATGGACGCATTATGCGCTCTACTAAAAACATGCTTAACGGATTCTATGCCATGCGTCTTATTGCGTCGAAACGAAATGGATTGACCGAGGGCGAGCGAGCCCTATTAGAGTATACGAGCACAGAAAGAGCTCTTCTTTGCCAGCGTATCTGCCATGTTTTCCAGGTAATTGCGTCATGCGTCATGCTGGAATACCCCTTGACAGATGCCATTCCTACCGTTGAGAACAACAAGGATCGGCTACTGGGCAAGATATACCAATTTCGAAAGGAGCATATGAGCGCAGATCTTTTAGGCGACGAGTCCCCTCTTGCTGTCCAGGAGAGCGATTACGCGCTGCTATACGCATACACGCTTGTGACATTACAGGTTGCGGCGGAATTGAACAAGGTGAGAGCGGAGATTGAGAGCCTTTATGGTGTATTGCACGAGGAGGCGTTACTGTTACAGTGAGTAAAGAATGGCCGTTGAAAAAAGAGTTGTCGGTCGTTTCTTGGGCCATAATTTAACTCTAGGTTACTGGAGTGACGGACTGTGCGATCATGTCTTATATCTACAGTAGATAGATCAACAATAGGAACGGCGTTCTTGATTAGGAACTTGAATTTTGTTATTGATGCGTCGTGACGGTGAATCTCACCCGTGGTAATGAACAATCTATCTATCTTACCTATCATTGTGCACCGAGTAAACCGCCAACCCCTTAACGCCATCAGCTTTTATAGTCACCAACCACCTTAAATAGTACATTCTCTTAATTTTCCTTGACGGCCAAGTTCATATTCTGCCCATCGAGCGACACCTTTACGCCCCGGTACAAGGACACTGCCAGGGTTCATGACATGGCACCCTTCGTAGGTGATACAGAATGGAGGGGCGGTTGTATCAAGCAACACCATGGCTGTGGGCAGCGGATATATGTGCAGAGATGAGGCAAAGTCCCAGTGAACGGGGCGGATGGCATGTCGGAAAGGCGCTAGGTAACCTTGGTCAAGGATAGTTTTGACCAACTTTTGGGCAGCATGAATATCGTGGGGAACAAGGGGAGTAACGGGAGAGCCGGCATCCGTCGCGGTGGGATCATCGTGGTGAGCAGCGTCAATGTCCATTGGTAGGACATCGTCAGGAGGATTAGGATTCGAACTCTGCGTTTCGTCCATATTGCCATCATTGGCCTTAGGCTTGAGACGGACCGAGGTTCGACGCAAACGAGCAGATACATCATCTCTGAAGAGAAGAAGTTCGTGATTGGGGCCGAAGAGACTAATTCGGCTTGGGTTGGAGGTCCAAATAGCTGCACCATCCGTCTTTCCTCCTGCCTCAGCATTGGCTGTAGCAAAAGCACGCCGGATTCTAGATGTGAACATATCTGGTACTTGTTTCCGTGGCAAGGGCACAGAAGCACCTGCTGTGAAGGAGGAAACCCAGCCGTCGTTGTCGCCTGGGACGAAGACAAAGGTAGACGACTGAAGTAATGTTGGGAAGTCGCTCAGAGTTGAAGCCAGAGAATCAAAGTATTCCTTGTATTCAATACTTCCACCACTGCCTCCCCGTGCCATTACGGCATACTGAGTAAAATTTCCCATCAGCACAAATGTCAAGGGTGCTGATCCTGTAGGTTCGGCGACATATGTCGAGAGAATCTTTCGCAAAGCCTGAAGAGTTCGGGGCTGATCGAGGTTCAGCTCGCCTATAATAACCGCGCGCCCACGAGATGGCGCATCGTCTTCGGCTCTGGATCGAAGGAGGCGATTTTCTAGCCTGCGCATTTTAATACCTAAGGCGCGTTCGCTGCCAACGCCTAGGAAATCGACCCAACCGAAACCTCCCCCAATGGTCTGCTCCTGGCCGCCATCGGGTCCGCTGATACCAAGAGTAGCCTTGCGTCGTTCGCATGGGGGTTGACCGATAAAGAAACCCTGGAAGCGTCCACCTAAAATACCTCCGACGCCACTGCTACCATTGAGGCCCTTTCCTACGGATTCATCTTCCTCTTCGTAGACACCATCTACTAGCACAATCATTCCGGGACAAAACCATGCTGAGTCCTCGGGTATAGCAACAGCTTGAGAGAGATCCAGGGCGATGGTGCCAGTCAAATCGCTAATGGCGAGATCACCAGTGGGAAGGACGCCGAGAAGTCCCAGCAGCATGTGACTGCTGCCGTGACGACCTAGCAGATTTGCAATCGGCGTAAGCTTGAGTGACTTCTGGTTTGACAAAGAACGTTCGAGCGTGCGTTTTCGGGAGGAGGAGACAGCTGACGATTGGAAGGATTCGTTGCGCAATAGTCGTTGGTGGATAACATTGTAGCGGTTGCGGAACAATGTCGTTTTATGTGATGCTGGTGGAAGTAACGAAGGGGCTGAAGGATCCCTGAATAAGTTAGCTGGGTACTGGCTTGATGATCCGTGAAATGACTGACTTTTCAAAGTGCTTCTTGGCAACATTATAGAAGAATCTAGGCTGCTCATAGGCGTTTATAATTTTGAGCCAGGCTCTAGGATCGTTTGTATCCGTCTCTTCCTGCTCCTCATCGACACCCAAGCCTGACATTCCAAAACTTGAGTTGCTATCTTCTCTCCTCACTTCCGCCGGCCGCAGTCCTAAGCGTGTGTTCAAGGCGTCGTTATCTTTGAAATCGAGCATACTGTCTCCTCGTGGTAGTCCCCTCACTGGTCCTGTAATTCTGCCGCCGCTCATATTGCCCTCCAAGGTCTTGAGGATTTCCTGCATCTCTTTACTCGATCCTTCCACCATAACCCCTCCGTTTCGGTTCTTCCAGCTTCGTGCAACATCCTCGAGTACCCTTTCGGCCAAACCCTCTTCGCGCCATCCCGAACCACAATGTCTGCCAATGAAGGCAGCAAGTTCTTGAAGAGCGGAAGATGTGAGTGTGAGAGAATGCTTTTTTGTGAATGTGCGGAACGCAAGAGGTCTTAGTGTCGCTGGAGGAAGGATTATTGGTAGTATCGCAGCTTTGGGGGCGTTGACAGCGAATGGCTTAAGAGGGTGAACAGGAGTGCCAAAGGCGGGAGAAGACGAAGGTATCGCTGAGGACGGTGGCGCAGGGTCTCGCTTTCGAAACATGGGAGCTGGTGTTTTGTCCATGATTCAGGTCGATGCGCTTGTACTATCAATTGGGCATGATATGTATTGAAGGCTCAAATGCTGTTGCCAGTGCTCTGTAACTCGACACAAGGTAGGCAGGAGGGTTGTCGTGACAATTCGATATGCGCCTGCCATTAATTTGTCTGGGTCCTCGAGGGGTCGTGCCGACCGCGTCGACGCGTCGGGTTTAATTGATTTCGTATTGCTACATAGACCTTGTAGATGCATATTTCGCGTTGGCCCACCAGTGACCTCATCCACATCGTCTATGATTGAAGCTCTGTATAGGTACTTGAACTTGAGTGCGGTCATATCTATTCAACTTGAGTTTTCCATTGATTGCAAAATGCTAGGCACAACATTTCGCTTCGTTGCTCGCCAGAAGGCGGTGCCCTTTCGGGCAATTTCTAGTCTCTCGAGTAACCCAAGTATTGTTAGTTTATACAAATGTCGACAGACCAGAGTCGCTGACCATGTTCAAGAAAGTTGTGAAAAATTCCAAGACACCATTTACAAATTATCTGAGTTACCTTGACAAGGAACCACCCAACGAGCGTCTAGCAATCGGAACAACTACCGAGCTTCCTCCAACACCCCGTTCTTTCAGTGAAAACCATGAATTTGTCAAGATCCTCAATGAGGTTGTGTCTGAATATGGCCACGAAGATGAAGACCTCATCAACCAAGCTCGAGCATTTGCTAGCCCTGGAGGGTTTAACCTGGGGTCGGGAGGAGTCTTCTTCCCTCAGAAACGACCTGATAGAGGCCGATCTCGGAAGCAGGGAGCTGGAGGTGGTGCTGGAGGGGATGGGGCAGGCGGTGCAAGCGCGCAGGGAGGAGCGGGTGGTGGTGGACGAGGAGGATATGTTCATCTCAGCGACAGAAGAAACCCACCAGACTTTGGACGGATAGCATGGCCTGAGGATATCCTGGGCAGTGTTGAAGTAGATGATGCAGGAACAATCATTGGCAAGGTACAGCCGAGTGGGACATATCGCATTCTGACCAACGAGGGAATGTAAGTTTTGAGAGACCAAGCTAAGTGTTTTCATTGCTAACAAGTCATAGCCTGGGACTCAGCCCATTTCTACAAAAAAAGCTGGTTGAACGGTTGAAGCAAGAAGAAGCCAAACAAAAGTGAGCAGATTGAGAAGCATAAAGTGCATATCCCAAGGAACACAGATGGAGGTATTAGAAAAGAGAAAAATTCACTCCTGTATCATAAATGTAGTTTATAGTGTAACAAGAATGCCTGTTAATTGTGACATGTTTTGAAACCAAGACCATATATGCAGCTGCGCATGGATGCCAGTTGTACAAGCAGTGCTTCTTGGTTGCTAAAGTATTTACCTATTCAGTTCTATCGTCTTGAGTAACATGGTCTCATATTGAGAGTTCTTTAGATCATATGAGAGCGGTTATTCGTGCGACTTTTGCGATATCATGAGAGTACCCCCATGAATGAGTTGTTGGGAATCCAGCATTGGAAGAGCATGTGAAAATGTTGGTATCCGTGGATATAGCACTAGTTTTGATTACGAGGCCGTGGTCTGATTGAGACGGTTACCAGCAAGACACCAGCAAATAGCAACAAGAATCTCCTAGGAAATGAAGACTCAGTCGAAGATTTTATTGGACATTGCTTTATTGTATTAGGTTTATAAAATATGAAAATGTATACATAATTGATAGAGGGACATAAAACTGGTCACATGTATGAATGTCACTGCAACCTACCTACTGATATAGGAGAGCTCCATTTTTTTAATCATAGATACCAGCCAGGATCAGATGTTCTGAAAGTCACCCATCCATGAACAATCAAAAGTTCACGTAGGTTGGTTGGGTGCGTCGGTTCTATGTCTGAATTCTGAACTGCCCTGTCTTTACTTGACCCCTCACTAGCCTAGCAGTCGGGTCCCATACAGTTCATTGCAGATCCACCTAGGTATGGGAGGTTAGAGGGACAGTTATGGGCATCCATACCTATTGAAAGTTGGGCGCTATAATACCTACTAGATACACTACCACGGGCTACCACTATTCACCTCTATACCTACTACCCACCACCTTTCGTTGATCGTCGTCTCATTTTCACCCATTCTTCTCCTCCCCCTCACAATAAATTATTCGACTCTTCCGCGCATTTCGAAGTGTCGCAATTCCTCTTGTGACATACTTTCAATATCAGCTTTCAGTATTTGATCACCGACCGAACCCAAACGCTCTTGTTCAACTCTCAGGACCCCGCCGCTCGATCTCTTTTCGAACCGACCCGCTCGTCTCGCCTTGGCCTTCGGTCAAGGCATCATACGTATCGCCATGGCTCCCCGAGGCTTCGAGGATGAGGAGCTCACCATTTCTCTATCCTCATCTCACGTTCGTCGTCCGCAACAACCGCAGTCCCAATCACAGTCGCATCAACAGGACGATTCCCACGATGCTCCTCAGGCTACTTCCCGCCCCGCCGATGCGCCGCTCAAGGAAAAGATCAAGACGGAACAGCGCATCGGCGCTTACAAGGTCCTTCGAACTCTGGGCGAGGGCTCTTTTGGCAAGGTCAAGCTTGCTATTCACAACGGCACCGGCCAGCAAGTAGCTCTTAAGATTATTGCCCGGAAGAAGCTGATCAGCCGTGATATGGCTGGTCGCGTTGAGCGTGAAATCGAATACCTCCAACTGCTGCGACATCCTCACATTATTAAGCTGTATGATCCCATGGAACATTGATTATTTTCTCGGAACCATCGAGGGCTGACACCAATACTCTAGCTTCACGGTTATCAAAACGCCCAATGAAATCATTATGGTTCTCGAATACGCGGGCGGCGAACTATTCGATTATATTGTTCAGCATGGTCGAATGAAGGAGCCCGAGGCTCGTCGTTTCTTCCAGCAGATGTTATGTGCTGTCGAATATTGTCATCGCCACAAGATTGTTCATCGTGACCTGAAACCCGAAAACTTGCTGCTTGACGAGAACCTCAACGTCAAGATCGCCGATTTCGGCCTGAGCAATATTATGACGGATGGCAATTTCCTCAAGACAAGCTGTGGCAGTCCAAACTACGCCGCCCCTGAAGTCATCGGCGGCAAGCTGTATGCTGGCCCCGAAGTTGACGTCTGGAGTTGCGGTGTTATTCTTTATGTTCTTTTGGTCGGTCGACTTCCTTTTGATGACGAACACATTCCCAGTCTGTTTGCCAAGATCGCAAAGGGTACATACAGTATACCCCAGTGGATGCCCAACGGGGCTGCCAATCTGATCAAAAAGATGCTGGTGGTTAATCCTGTACATCGTGCTACAATTGAGGATATCCGGGCTGATCCTTGGTTCACAACCGACCTTCCCGTCTACCTTCAACTTCCCGTCGAAGAGTTCTTTAACACTGGCGTGGACCCTAACAAAGCGATAAAAAAGAATGACATTGCCCCCAACGCCTCAGAAAAGGTTCAAGAAAGACTGCACAACGAGGTCACAGAGAAGATCAGCAAGACTATGGGATATGGCAAGAGCGATGTCGAGGAGGCGCTGCAGGCTGCCGAGCCGTCTGCCATCAAGGATGCCTACATGATTGTGAGAGAAAACAAAATGATGCAAGTGAACCGTGAGTTTTCTCGTTTCTTTGTCGGTGATTCTTTGGCGTATTGAAACTGATTTAGATAACCCCGAAGCCCTGTTAGCAGAGCCAGAGGGATCAAGTCCCATGCTTAGCATGTCTTCAGCACGTTCAACGACCTCGCAGGCCACCACCACCCCTCGCCCCTATGTGAGCAAGGTTGGTATTCTGCCTTCCAGTTTACCCGCCTATCACAAGGACTACATGGAACGCGAGAAAGCCGGTAGTGTCGAAAACTCGCCCCCCAAAGTACTTATCAACGATGAGCCCCTGCTTAACAGAACAGATGCCGAGAAAGAAGAGACAGCGCGTCGCCTTCGACCTCATTCAAGGAGTCAGCTGCGGATGGACGAAGCCAACACCAGGCCCCAAGGCATGACACCTATTAACCCTCCGAAGAAGTCTAAGCCTGTACGTTGGCAGTTCGGTATCCGATCCCGTAACTCTCCCTGGGAAGCACTCCTTTGTATCCACAAGGCACTATACAAGTTGGGGGCAACATATATTCCTGATGAAGATTATGAGGCCAGGACGGCAGAAGAGAGGGCCGAAGCTTCGGGCGAAGGCAGTTTCGCGGATTCTCAAGACAATTACCGGGGTTCCACTTTAAGTATCGATCCTAAGAAGCGCTACAATCTTCCCGCCGACCCTTGGCACATTAATGTGCGTTGGGATACTTCTGGTACGTTCTTGAAAAAGTCTTTGCTTTAACAATCGTTGCTAACGAGTTTCAAGCTATCAAAAAGAAGGCTGGCAGTGCGCCTAGTGCACCTAGTACGCCCAGCTCGCCTAGCACACCGGACGGTCATCATACTACTTCTAAGGAACCTTTCGTTGCACTGCATCTGGATATACAAATCTACGAAATGGAGCACGGCGTTTATCTCGTCGACTTTAAGTGCTCGGGATATGAGACAGCCCACGGCCGGTTGCTTGAGGAGAAGGACGTTACGAGCCCCTTCCCTTTCCTGGACATGGCTGCTAAGTTGATCATGCAGCTTGCAGAGGCCGATTAAGAAAAGCTTCTGTTGGCGGAGCAGCATGTAATACATGGCGTGTCGAATGCATACGATGTACTTTTACTATTACTGGTTGACTGACCCCAACAGGGGACCAAGGAATGCATGTGCAGCCAAGGCTACTTGTAAAACAGTACAGGCATAACGGGATTTCGGTTTAGCAGGTCCGGCAACCAAGGGTGTCGGGCGAAGTGTCGTTTAGCGAAGTCTTCAGGGTAAAGTTGACAGGAGCTAAGGAGCTATAGAAAAAGGGGGGTTGGTATTTTTGGCTTGTTCCATCTTCGAAATCGATTTTCAAATAAAGCGCTTTTTGTTATACTGTTGAGTTATATAAACCACCACGCTGTTACGAATTCTGATGCATGCCGTAAAGTTGTCTGGGAAAACTGATACGATTGCAAGAGGAGTCAGTTGAAAAAGTACATTGTAGATGTGAAGACGTGAAGACATGTTAAACTTGAATGTGGTATTCTCGTAATCTAACAGCAATATAGCCACATATTTTGTGTCATACAATATAAAGAAATGCTAAACCCAAACTGTAATATGATATCAAATGCTCAAAATATGACCAAGATCTTGCTACTCCGCCTTTTTGTTCTGAGACCCCAAGTCTTTCCTGTTTCAAACGCAATATTATGTGCCGTTCAATCAGTTCCTAATCACACTCTCAGTCACTTGACGACAATTTATTTGAACTGATCCTCAGTAACACCAGCGCCCATAGCAGCTGTGGAACTGATACCGCCTGTGACCATCTTTTGCAACTCGTCGACGTATGTAGCACCGCTCCATTTTTGGTGCTTGACAACGTCGACCTTTTGGTCCATCTCAGGCTCTTGGACAAGCTCACCGTAGGCACGCATGCCGACAGTGCTGTAGGCCTTTGCAAACTGGTCGCTGATCAGAGCTGTTGTGTGCAGACCTGCAAGAGTGATGAACTGCCAGCAGTAACCGAGCGTGGCCAGGCGACGAATGTAAGTCTCCTGCTCATCGCGAGGCATAGCTGTCTTCCAGTTGAAGGACGGAGAAAGGTTGTAAGCAAGCCTGGCAAGGTACTCGTTAGTCCATTGGCATTTCAACTATCACATGAAAACTTACTTCTTCTCTGGCCAAACAGCATGGACGCCTTCGGCAAACTCTTTGGCTTGAGCGAAATCGGGCAGCTTGGACTCCATCCAGATGGCGTCACAGTAAGGGGCATAGGCGATGGCGCGGTTCACTGCACAATCGCATCCACCTTTGAGGCGGAAGTAGCCTTCGCGTGTTCGAGGGGCGTCCCAGTCGAAGAAGATATCCTGACCGAGAATCTGGCGGGCGATAGCACGGGCCTCAAGGTTACTCCTTCCCTTTGCCTTGGCGATATAGTCTTTCTTGAGACCAGCCTTATCAGAAAAGGAACCGGCATCAATGGCAGCAGCGACAGCGTCGTCAAAGCGGCTCAGGTTGGCCTTGGCAAGCCACTCGTCCTCAATGCGCTGCAGCTCAGCGCCACTCTTACCTGTAGCTTCAGCGGCGATCATAAGATCGTTGAGAGGCTTGAGCGTAGGGTTCGTGGAGCCGAGGATAAAAGCATGGTCGCGGGGGTCGATGTTGGTGGAAATAAGTGTGGCAGCCTCAGCATCAGTGCGAGCAATAGCGAGGAGGTCGGAACCTTTCACATGTTAGTCTTGCTTCTTGGAGTTGTGCTACCACTGCTGCACATGTGACAATTGGAGAAATCTGGGGAAAGGCTAAACTTACCCATGATGTCAGCCTGCGCTCGAATCGCAACGAGGCGGTTGATATGTTCCTGAATGGGGACAAGGACCTTTCCGGCCATATGACCACACTTCTTTGTTCCAGGGGCTTGGTCCTCAATGTGGATTCCTGCCGCACCCTTTTCAATGAACAGCTTGGTAAGCTTCATGACTGCGGTGAGACCACCATGTCCAGTATCCGCGTCGGCAATAATGGGGCGGAGATAGTCAATGTTGAGAAGGTTTGCGCGCTGTTCCTTGGGGACGCTGAGACGCTCCTGTCGCTGCTTTCGGTCGTGGAAGAGCTGGGCCATGAAGAGATGGGCGACCTTGTTGGGAACGGTGGTCTAGATGCTTGTCAGACGAATTGACATCAAAGTGGAAATATGTTCTGTACTCACGTAAGGGTAGTCAGCCAGATCAGGACCAGGCTCGTCGGAGGCGGAAGCCGTTGACGATGATTGCCAGCCAGAAACATAGACAGTGTCGAGGTACTTGGCCATCTGGGTGACCATTGTGGGTTCTAAGCAGCCATAGGTGTAGCTAGCATCTCGGTTCTGTTGAAACAGTTAACATCTGGTATCTCGGTCCTCGTAGAGAACCACGGTGACTCACCTCAAAGCGGTGCTCAAGAATCTTCCACAACTTCTTAGCCTGAGCATTGCTGGCATAATCGACAGGGAGGTACCCGCGCTTAGAAACGATCTGCTCAGCGGTAAAGGGTCGCTTGGTGTGTCGCCATCTTGAGTCGGACCACCATGTCTTGACAGCCTCGACTTCTTTCTGGAAGAGTTCGTCTTCGATGTCGGGGCTGACAGCAGGGTTTGCCATATTTTGTGACGCCATTGTGATTGTTTTGTGTGGTGTTCCTCAAAGTGAAGATGAGTGTTGAGCAGGTTGGTGGCGTGTAAGTGAGAGAGTGAGGTCGGAGAGAAGGGTAATAAAGATGAATTGAATCTTTGAAATCGAAAAGTAGGAGGGGAGAGCAGAGAATAAGTATCATCTCAACCGGGAGTTGTCCAGTAGGTCATCTTGAGTCACTCTTGGCCTCCCGTGCCCCGACGGTCCATTGCCCAAGGCTGGGCGGGATGGGGATGACTTTTGCTCATACTCAAGAGCTCGCTAACTCTCCGTTCCCGGCAAGAACGTTGACGACTTTTTGGTGGAGATCCTGACTCTTGGGTTGTCTGAACCAATTGTATCTCGGCTTTGGATGATGAAGAGTAAAGCTGGGGGAGTGAAGTTCGGCTGTAAGTGGACGAGACCAGACCAAGAGTTGAGGCAAGACTGAGGGGTGGTCTTAGAAGGGAAGTTAGCGGACCCGCTTCTCCACGAGGCGTCAGACCTCGTTCTTCCATTGTTAGAGAAGCACACGAGTATGTTTGTTAAGGATTTGTATGATTTAATCCAAGGTTAATAAATGATCGTACATGTATAGGCTCTAGCAATAGAAAAAGCAATTCAACATATATAATTGTTATTCATCTACTGGCATTCCGAACAGTAACAGTCGAGTTTCTTGAAAACAACTATCACCGTATTACAGTACTCTACTCTACTCTAGCTCGGCCTTCCACCGAGCACAAGCCAAACCCAGACCCAGAACTGTCTCTTTTATCTTGTTTCACCTCGGCCATGATCATGGTTGTGTCAGATCAGCCTCTCCCATCTACCGTCACGAGCCGCAAAAGAAACAGATACATAGGTACGTACCTCCGGACAGTCACCGAGGACCTCAATCCGGTTACCTACAGCCGCCAGAATAAGGGAGCAATTCAATGCTGTATCTGCTGCTCTGTCTTACACCCTTTAAACGAAAATCAAAGCTTCATCGAATCAAGACATGCAGCGTGATCGCGATGGGTAATTTACCCTGCAGAACGGCACTGTTCCAGCAGTACTGTAATGCGACCTCGCTAATATGACGTCTTTGCTCAACCGCTTCGGCTTAAAGGGTAGGGCCCCTCGTATGAGACCAAGATACCGAATGCCGTGAATGACTAAGTAAAGTTCATTTCGCATTCATATCTTTCCAGGAACAAGCAGATAGATAGGCATACGTATTATGTCCACTACTAGGCAGAACATCCTTTTATATATGCACATTGACACGGCCATCAAAACAGTGAACCTCAAATAAATTAAGCAATTTTGATATCTGCTTAGATACCAAGATAATGCGGTACTGTTCCACTACTATCATAATTGAAACAGGACGTATCCCCGATTCAAAACCTGGGGAAAGTGTTATCTGTATCCGTACGCACCTTAAAACCATAGTCGTTGATTCATTACCTAACCGGCAAGATTGAGATCATCTCTTCTTTTGAACAATCTAGAAGAAATGGCCCTTTCATCAAAGACCAGATACCTAGAAAACAATAATACAAAGCAAAACGCCTACTATCATGAGCCATCTCTCTTACAAGCCTGCAGTAATATCTACTACATATACATCTCGGCCTTCCTCCGTCTACCGGACCCACCTGCCCCGGAACGACGGAACTTGGCCGAAATATGGGTCTCCTTCCAGCTCCGGGGCAGCGGAGGTTTCTGGCATGTGAAGCCGCGCCCCCAAGAAGCGATCTCAGTACCGATTTGACAGTTCTGACCTCACTCTTGTAACAGGCCTACACATTGGCTCGGCATTCATTGTCCTTGCGTACTGTAGGTAGTTTATTATGGATGGATTTCAATCTCCAACGATTGTTTTCATCCCACCTCGGACCCGACACCTTAAAGCTTAGAATCATTATTTTTTACCTCGGCCGCCTCTTTACCGAGATCCCTCATGATCCTCAGCTCGTCACAATTCTTCACCTCCTCACGTGTCCTATAATTCGATTGGCTTTAATCATTATCGCTACTTCCCGAGTCAGTGGGCCGTTTTATGCTTCCTGCAAATTGCAATCATCTTGCCCTTGAGCTTATACAAGCAAATTGCCCTTCCAAATATGAGGCAAGCCATTCAGTTGTTCCAGAAATGCCTGTGATACTCGGATGGCTACAGCTATTCGAAGATAAACCAACAGCAAGGACTGGATCAGAGGCACAGCGAGGAGGTATAGTAACATTCTTATCCTACTGATATCGATAGCTACAATAACATTTTCCTTTTGCTAAGCGCTTCTAAGTCTGCAATAACATTACCCTATGAACTGAGCAGGCCAGCGAGCGTTTTCTCTTCGTTCTGTTCGATAGCTTTCATCAGTGTATCATAAGGTGTCAGGGCCCCCAGTGCTCTGCGCATGTGAGCATTGATGATTTGCAAGCCATAGATATAGCTGGCGTTGACCCATGCAAATCTATGTCGATGTCAGTTATCGTTCTGGTGAGTGTAATCAAGCTTCAACATACCCTTCCTTGTTGACACCTCTGAAACCAAGACCTTGGTTGCCGTACTCTGCATCTACGCGATGGGGGTCGGCTGGTCGTGTCACGTCGTACTTCTCAACGACAACGCCGTGGAAATCAACAAAGGCCTTTGTGACCATGAAAAGCCACTTGTAGGCAATTCGCTCTGCCTCTTCAGTGAAGCTGTAGCGAATCAAACCGGTCCACGCCAGCATTTGCTGTGGAGGCCAGCCATATGGGTAATCCCACTGTCTGTTAGGTCGATCAAGGCCGACGGCTCCACGCGATTCTTCCGTTCCTGAAACTAGACCGCCGTATGCCTCGAACTTGGGGAGAGCCTTGCGGACCATCTCAGCCGCCTGCTTCGGCGTGGCAATGCCAGCCCAGAGAGCCCAGAAGGTTGTGCAACTCTCATATGTGCATCGTTGGCGCTTCGCGGTGTCATAATCGAAGAACATGCCCTCCTTCTCATCCCACATCAGCTTGTCTACAGTAAGCTTACGGCGCTTGGCTCGGCGATCCCAGGCCGCCGACGAGAGGACCTCGCCAGGCTCATAAGGTGTGCCGGCGCAAAATTCCTCGGGCATGGTCAGCTTATCATTGAAGACACTGCGGATAGTTCGGGCGATGTCGGTCTCGTATTTGAACAGAAGACTGTTGAGGTCGATCGTGGCCAGGTCGGCACACACGCCCTCGAGACGGTATGAAGTATCGTGACCCGACTCGCGTACAGCACGGTCGTGCATGAAGTATTCGTCGAGTTCGGGCTCCACAATGTCGCCGTGATTGTACTTTCGCACAAAGTCTTCAAAGTTCGTGTTGTGCTTCTTGATATAAGGATCAAGGATGTGCACGAAGTGAGTAGCCTCAGTCTCAGGAGGTACTCCACGACCTTCTGGGCGGTATCTCGACAGTCCTGTGGTGGGGTCTAATCGGGGCTCCGAGACCCAAACGCTGTGATACTCCTTGATGGCAGCCAGGATGGATCGTCGAAGGAACTCCTTGGCATCGGGTTCGTGCTTGATCTTTTCATAGACACGAAGCGCCATGTCGGTCAAGAACGGAGGCTGTGATCGACAGAGATAGTAAGAACGAGTTGCATTTAGGATCTTGCCGTAGTGTTCGATACAGAAGCAAAAGTTGATGACCATTGACTTGGCCAGATCGACCCGGTCATTGACAAGAAGACCCAAGGAAGCCATGTAGCTATCCCAACCATAAAGCTCGTTGAATCGACCACCAGGAACCACAAAGGGCATACCCTTGAGAGTCCATCCTGAAGGGTGCTCCGGCTCCGGCACTTCTTGCGCGTCGACGGCCAGGAGACCAGGTGCATCGTTCATGTCACGGACGTGGTCTGGGGTGATCTTCTCAGGCAACATCTGAACATCCAGGCGCATCTCAGGTCTCTCTTCGGCAACTCTCTTGTAGAACTCGTATTGTTTAGGGCATCGATACGGAATGTAGATGCGTGGGCGTGGGTCGGCTGTCCAGTCTTTGGGATCTCTAGCCGCAATATCGACAGTTGAAGCATCAATGCGTCTCGTCAAGTTGTCCCAGAAATGGTCACGAATCATACGAGACAAACGGTCGACTGGGTTTTCATTGAGACGACCTTCGTCCAGAACAATCTGCTTTCGTCCGTACTCTTTGGCCAGGGTCAACTCCTGCAGTAGGTTGGACAGCATATAAGTTCCTCGCACGTCGAAACGGTTGTGACCAGCTGAAGCAGCGGTACGCAGAGAAATGACTTTGGGTCCATTGTCCTCGATCGTGATTTGCATGTTTCCATTGGGGTCTTCTTGGAGTGACAGACTTTCCAATGTTGAATCGACTTGAATTAGAAAGCGTCGGTTCTGTTGAGAGACCTCATCTGGTAAGGAAAAGTGTTAGCACAGTGGGCAAATCCTTTCATGATCCTCCTCTAAGACCTAGGCTGCCAAAGCAAAGTAGCCTAAAGGCCAATCTAAGCTCGCATAAGATGACTTGGTTGTTTCATCTCTTATGCTTTCGGCGGCCAATTCTTTTGACACCCTATCAGATTACTCACCATGGCTGCCACGTCGAAAGGGTTCCCGAAGGTTAACACGCTCGAAACGGGACATCAAACTGTTCTATCTCCGTGTCAATTAGAGCCACAATATAACAGGATCAGTAGCACCAACCTGGGAATAAGTTCGGGTGCGGGGACCGGCACGGTTTTGGTGACGCTCTTCCGTATAGTAGCTTTTGGCGTCGTCGTAGACACCGAGATCATCAGAACCGCGAGTGCGGTGACCAGAAGGCGCGGCCATAATGGTTGAATTGGTTTACCAGGCCTGTTGTCAGGAGACGAAGCGGGGTTAGAAGGATGAAGCCAGACTCGGAGAGAAAGCTCGTTGGGATTGTGACACTGTCCAGCTACGTCGACTAGTGATAGTACGAAGATCGCAAGACAAGACTGGATGAAAACAGAAACAGGAAGAGGGTAAGAACACGGAATTGAATCTCTCTAGCGTAGGAATACAGTAATGTCAATAGGTAGAAGGAGTAAAAGTTTGTGAGGATGAGGGCGAGTAAGTAGGTACCAAGTTGAGTAGGTAGAGTAGGTATGACGGCAGAATATTATGGGGGCCCGTTGTAAGAGCGAGAGAGAGGAGACAAGAACAAGGTAGAAGTGGAGAGGAAAGATAAAAAGTGGCGGATAGAAAGCTTGGGTGGAGGAATGGCCCCGTAGTCCTGGGGTGACGACAGTGACAACTGAAGAAGTGGTCCCCCCCTCTCTTACCTGATTATAGTAACTTCCCGCACGTTTTGGTGGTTTCTTTCCTTAACAAAGGAAAACAAGAGATTCACTCCGGTCTCGCTCACTTATCGAGGTAAAGCTATAGGAGTATACAGTACAAAAATTTGAACAAATAGAGCGGTGAGGGGAGCGTGGGGGGTTGTCACACCTCAGACGATTGAAATGCGAGATCAATGCAGGGTTATTCGGTGAGGGAAGCATCAGACAATAATATCAATTGCTGTACCTGACCTAAGGTTACCTCAGAGCCCGGCTTTAGGTGAGCTGCAGCCCAGGCAACGTAGCCCTGGAGGGAAGTACCTTAGGTAGTATGGAGGTTTGGAAATTCATGGACGGGATGGACCTATGGCTGCCCCTCATCACCCCTCCGTAAAGCTTCAGTAGTTGTCCACAGGCTGTGACGATATTGCGCCGTAGGGGTACTCCACTATCAGGGGGATCTGCCCCACGCGTTGCCGTTGACTTACACCACTAACCTCACTGAACGCTCCTCTAACCTGATGCTGTGCAACCTCAAGGGAGGCTTCAGATCTGGTTTCAATACCCATACCTTGCGTTCTGAGTGATAGATTCCGTCCCGCCTTTATCTGAGTCCATTCTTGTATATCTAGTAGGTACGGAATATCATCTACTTGGATCAAATACCCTTCAATTCCTAATTTACTTCATCCCCAACTACCAACCCCACTCTGGCCATCCCACCTCTTTAAACCTTCCTCTCAGTCTACAAGGGCTCACTTTCGGCCGATACTATCACACATTCTTCTTGGTCACTCGATTGCCGAAATCTTAGTTTGAGCGCCGTTATGATCTCGGCGTGGGTTTATCAAGCTGATTTATTATGGGACATATGCGAGGTGAATCCGGGGATTGTTATGATGTGTGTCTACCTAATATGGTCCGAAGAGACTGAGACATGGAGATTTGGTTTGCATGGCTTTATTCAATCTAAGAACACGGTTTTTTTTTTGGCATGGCTGCAACCCTAACTTTATGTTTATCTAATCATCTTGATCCCATACTATCAGATGACCTTCCTCCTGCGCATATATCGATCTCGTGATCGTCCGTAAATTCAAAAACGACTTCTTGTCATGATCTGCCCGAGAAAGGCATCAGGAGTTATGCTCAAGTGATGCTATCTCAGCAACAAACACACGTCACTTATCAGTAATGCGTGCTGGTTACCACAGCATCCCATAACGTTGCACCGAGGCACATGAATTAGACGACAGGTCTAGAATATATAGCCACGTACGCCACCACGACAACGGTTTTATTATTCACATACCAAGTAACGTAGCTCTAGTTCATAACAGCTTCTATTGGGAGAAAAATAAGATGAAAGGTTAAATCAATCTATCGATGTAGTGGCGCATAATGCTCTTGCACCCGACTTTCACTTGGGTATTTGTCGTATCCATCACCATATTCAGTATCCGTCCCTTGACGCCTTCCAAATGCATAACTCATGTCCAATCCGTTACTCCGAGACAAGGCTGCAGCAATGATGACTACTCGTCACTCTCAGCTTGACTTCGACGTGCCATCATCCTCCTTCGCCTTTCTTCTACGACCTCGGGGTCCCAGGTCCCTGCAAAGATATCCTCACACTCATCGTCGTCGTCAGAATCGAACTCGACTTCCTCTTCCTCACCTTTCTTAGGTGCCATGGTAGCCTCCTCATCGTGCTCATCAATGGCGTCTTCCCAACTCCGATATGTAACGACTCGTTCCATTTCTAGAATGAACTTGCCGACTTTGTACTTTTGGCTCTGCTCCTTGGCATCCACGTATTTCCAACCAAGTTTGCTCGAGCACGCCCCACAGTTGATATCAGCAACGACATGCCACCCTGTTACGAGTTGCCGATTCTCACTTTTTCCCACCCGTATGTTGCTCAGGGTCTGAGAAGCAGGGAGAGCAGGCGGTGCGACAAGAAACGCCCGTCCGTACCGGCCGGTGAAGCCCTTCGAGATGACCTGGGAGGCAAAGGCGATATCTGCGGAGCATGTCGAGCAGCGCAACGTATTTGGCGAGGTACGGGACAACCGGCCTCGTCCAGACTTGGACAAGAGACCATCGTTCGGAGGTGAGCTTGCTGGAGTTGTCACCGCTGACGATGCGGCAGATTCTGCAGAGCTCGAAGAGGTTGAGTGGCGACGGGAGAAAGGAAGCTTGATGCTAGGCAGCAGGAAATTAGGAAAGACAGGCTTTGTAGCCGAGATGCCACTCTCGCGAACCATCTCGGCGGTTGTGATGTTAACAAATCCCGGAAACTCTTCAGGTTGTTGTCTTTTGGAAGAAGTATGTAGGCAGGCTCGCTCTTCCGACGGGGACTTTTTGGAACTTTCTATGGAAGGGTTAGGGGTCTGATAAGGTGTGGGGGAAACGTTCCACTGAAAGCGCCAAAGCTCCACAAGTGGCGTACAACAAAGTCGTTGCAGACGGAAGCTGGTGCTGTTGCAAGTTTGTTTTATGGCGAATGCAGTGCCTAGGAGTACAATTCGCAGACAGCTGTAGTCGGTGAACAAAAGTGATCTGGCAGTTTCATGCATCATCTGGGGTATGGAGAAAATTAATACCAATAATCTGATCAGTTGGTCATTCTGCCCGACTCAGCCGAGCAGCGATCACCAGACTCACAACCAGTGATGGACGAGGAACCTCCACTAAGTCTGAAAGGGGCGAAAACAGCTCCAGGTCTTCCTCCTATCAATAGCGACTGACGTGGGGAAGACCAACGCAGGAGGGCGAAAAAGAGGGGTCCAGCCACGGACAACGATCAGATGGTACGTACCTACCGTATCAGGTACCTTATGCAGGGTTCAGCAATTAAGGTCTGCTGAAGTTGGTAGATTGATTATCATGAACTGGGCTAATCCAAATATTCATAATGTGAAGCAGTCCGTAAATAGCAATGTTCATATTGTTCTTTGTTCCAAGGGGTATTTTGTCCCGATTCTTTCTTCATATGGTACATTAAACTAATTTTATTTCCCTAAGACTGAGGCTCCTCGGCAACGTAGTGGAGGTAAGCTCCCAGCAGCTTAATACCCTCAATGTAGTTGCGCTTATCAAGCTTCTCGTTAATAGAGTGAGCACCATCCGTAGAGCTACCCATGGGCAGTAGGAGCACATTCTTGCCTGTAGCCTCCTCGAAAGTAAGGGTGACAGGGATGCTGGTAATTGTATTAGTGGTGACACACCAAGTTCAAACTCAATGATTGACTTACCTTCCACCCTCGCGAGTGTAATCAGGCTCGACGCCCCATACACGCTCAACAGCCTTGGCGGCGGCCGAGAAGTTCCAGTGCTTTGGCGAGGCAACCCACCACTTACCGGTGTGCTGAGCATACACCTTCATGGTGTTCTTGCTGCCAAGCTTGGCAAACTGGTCTTCAACATACTTGTATACAGCTTCGTTTGTCTTATCAATATCCATATCGGGAACAGTTCGAATGGAGAACTTTCCAATGACCTTGGCAGGAATGACAGTCTTGGCTCCTGGAGCAGAGAAAGCACCCTCCACACCGTGGATGGACAGTGACGGGTATCGCCAACGGCCCATAAGTGTACGCTTCTTGTCATCAAAGATGGTTGTCTTGCTGCCCAAAGATTCATGGATGTTGTCCATGGTGAAAGAAATACCATCGTATAGACCCTCCTCGTCAGCGGTGATGGGAGCAACCTGCTCCTTGATACCTGGAATCTGAATCTCGCCACCAGTGTTGACAAGCGATCCAAGTACTCTAACGAGATCGGTCATGGGCTCCTGGGCGGTGCCACCGAAGACACCACTGTGAAGATCAGCACCGGGGCCAGAAATCTCGACTGAATAGTAGTTGCAACCGCGAAGACCGTAGGTCAAGCAGGGCTTCTCGGTACCGAGCCAGTAGTTATCCGAGATACAAACGGCCTCAGCATCGGCAAAGTATTTCTTGGCCTCCTCCTTGATGAGGTCGTCGAGGCCTTCGGAGCCGTACTCCTCCATTCCCTCGAAACACATGAGCAAGTTGACAGGGAAATCGACGCCCGCCTTCTGGTGGGCCTCAATTGCATTCAACCAGCCCAAGACGGGGCCCTTGTCATCTGTAGATCCACGTCCAAACATACGGCCCTTGTCGTCGACGGTGAGGTCAAAGGGCTCAGTAGCCCAGCCGTCGCTCTTCTCAGCAGGTTGAACATCGTAATGGCCATACACTAGGATGGTACGCTTGTTCTTGTCGCTTCCATATCGTGCAAGGACGACAGGGGGAAGGTCGAGATACTCCTTGTGAGGCTGCTTTCCAAGAGGTCGAAGCTCTACAGAAGCTCCGAGAGCCTTGAGCTCGTCGCCGAGCCACTCTCCCATGCGAACAACATCAGGTCGGCGCGCATCCTCGGCAGAAATGGAAGGAATGGCAACAGCCTTGCGTAGCCGCTCAATGAAGTGGTCGGCGGAGCTGTCAACCTGCTTGAAGAAACCGTCGAGCTGAGGAGCCATTTTCTTTGCTTGGTGAGCACGAATAGAGTCTGTGAGATAGGTACGAGAAGTGAGGTTGTGTTTTTGAGAAAAACTTTGCGAGATGGGTACTCGTAATGATAAAAAGGGCCTTTTGGGGAGCGCAGTTACCACTTGAGCGCAACACACAGCTGCCCTATTGAGGCGGAAGGTGCGGGGCATTACACCAGACTTGATCTCGGACCTGCTCTATCGGGCGGGCAGCGATATAACAGCTCCGTTCTCACCTTATGGCGGGGCAATTGACAGTTCGCAGATGGTCCGGTTACTTACGGCAACCAATGGCAAACCACTGCAATCCCGGAGCAATGATTAGTCACTTGGAATAAAGAGACTTTGGTTCGAGCTCTCACTGTCACTACACTTTTCCATGTGAGCGGGGTGCTGAGTCATCCGGAATAACTTATATGCGCGCATCCACCTCCTGCTCGATTAGTCACCCTCAAGGGGCGGATCGCCTCTCCTCTCTTCCCGCTGCCCTGTTGTTAGAAGACTCTTTCTCTCCCCACACTCTCTCCATCGCTCACCCATTCCTCCATCGTCGACGTCCTCTTTCGCCATCGATAACTCGACGTACGGAATTAACGCAGTCGCCAGACCGCGCTCTTCTTGTTCTCTTGCCATTTTTTTTTTGTCTCCGCTCGACGCCTTGAAGTCCGTATCTCGCGTGACCAACGATCTTCCGGCTTATTGACACGATCCCATCACTTTCACGCGATCCTCGACGAATCGTCATTTATCCGTCGCTCGAGATTCCCTCGTATAACGTTTCGCTGGTCTGCTCCTGCTAGGGCGTAAGCGCTAGGACGTTTGGCTAACATAAAAGGTTGCTGGTTGAGTGGTTTAACGAGCGTTGGTGATCTGGAAAGTGAGGTGGAGTTTGAGGGCTGTTTCTCTTCTGGCTTATTTTGCCAGCTGTACTCCTTATTCATTGCACCCATTTCTTTTTTTTTTAACCCTATTGCCACTATTGTTCCCTCAAAGTACAATCAAAATTGATTATTTCCATTCACCTTGAGAGTTGAAAGAGGCACGGCAGTGCAAGAAAGAAGACGAACAAACAGAACAAGCTGCCTTGTTTTGCAAACGCAAACAATCAATCAATACTTACATAGTGCTTTGTGCGACCCGCCCGACCTGACCTTTGGACTTTTGCCGACTTACGGTATTTGAATCTCAACAAACTTCTGTTCCCTACCGTGTTGTGCGTTTTTTTGTTCCTGTAGGAAACATCTAGCACATCTCAACCAAAATGACGTCCTCCGTCTATTTCAAATTCAAATCCCAAAAGGAACCTACTAGAGTCGAGTTTGATGGTACTGGAATCTCAGTTTTCGAGCTGAAGCGTGAGATTATTACCAAGAGTGGCCTCGGAGACGGTACCGACTTTGATCTCCATATCTACACCGATGATAATAGCGAAGGTGAGTTCGCACAGTTATTTATGTAGCCAAGATTACTAACAAGCACTTAGAATACGACGATGATACGACTATCATTCCCAGGTCAACGACCGTCATCGCCAGGCGTCAGCCTGCACTCAAGCCTGGCGCAGGACGTGCTGCTCGTTATGTATCTGGCAAGATGCCCGTCACAGCCAAGAATGCCGGTCGCAAAGAGCAAGCGGCCAAGGCATCGGTTTCCAAACCAAGCTCTGATGCAATCAGTCAGATGAACAATGCCATGACTGAAGAGGAGAAGATGGCGGCCATGTTTGCTGCCCAAACCGAGCAGTGGTCCGCTCAGCAGGAAGAAATGTCCCAGTAAGTTGTAATCATGCTTGAGGTGTCTCGTTCAAAACTAACGTCATAACAGCCAAACACCAGTCTTCAAAGCTGGTGCTAAAAGACCCGCAAACGTCCCTGACCATGATCCCCCGAATGGTTATATCTGTTACCGATGTGGTAACAAGGGTCATTGGATTCAGTTATGTCCGACTAACGACGACCCTGAGTTTGATAATCGTCCACGAGTCAAGCGAACCACGGGTATTCCTCGTTCGTTCCTTCAAAAGGTTGACAAGTCCGTTGTCCTTGCGCAAACTGATGGGGACGAGTCCAAGCGTCCTTCGGGTATTATGGTCAATGCTGAAGGAGATTTTGTTATTGCTGAGCCTGACAAGGCGTCATGGGAACAGTTCCAGGCCAAGGCCAAGTCTTCAGCCACGACGAATGCACCTTTGGCCGAGGATAAGGAGATTCAGGAACAGGGCTTGGAGTGTTCGATTGACAAGAAGATGTTCATAGAGCCAATGAAGACTCCTTGCTGCCAGAAGACCTTTTGCAATGATTGCATAACCAATGCTCTCATCGAAAGCGACTTCGTTTGCCCCGCATGTCAATCAGAAGGTGTATTGATTGATGACCTTCAGCCAGATGAAGAGGCCTCGAAGAAGATTCAAGAGTACCTGAAGGAGAAAGAAACAGCGAAAAGCCCCCCTCCCCAGTCACCCAAAGCTCTGGAAGATGTCAAGACAGATGGTGAAAGTCAAGACAAACCTCAGGATGAGACTGCTAGCACCACGGAGCAGAAGACTGAGAATGAATCTCACGATAAGCCCGAGGATTCGTTAGCCAAGGAGACCTCAAAATCGCCCGTGTCACAGCCAGCAACAGTCAAGTCTCCCCCTACAGGCCCTAAGAGTCTTGTATCTGCCTCACACGATGCGTCCAAACAAGTAGATGGTTCAAAACCCACAGATGTCAACTCCAGGAAGCGACCTGCCGACGATATTCTTGACAACCCTAGAATTCCCAAGGGCCCCAAGGCCATGCAGAATCAACAAAATCAACAGAACATGATGAACGGCATGGGTATGAACGGTATGGGCATGAATGGTATGGGCATGAACAACATGATGTTCAACGGAATGCCTATGATGCCTAATATGATGGGCATGCCCAACATGGGAAACATGAACATGGGAATGCCTAACATGAATATGATGGGAATGCCAGGGATGATGGGTATGCCCGGATTCCCTGGCATGAATGGCGGATTCGGCGGTATGAATGGCTGGGATATGGGAATGAATGGTATAAACGGCAACATGGGCAACATGAACGGGGGCATGAATGGCTTCCAAAACGGCAACTTTGGACAAGGTGCTGGTCCCGATGAAGATGCCTACTTCCGCAAGCCGGTCAACCCTCATCGACATCAGAACAAGCAGCGAAGAGTACGACCCAGCGACTACCGAGAGCTTTAAACCACGACTCGACATACAGGACCCGATTACATCCTTGCTAGCGATTGCTTTTGTCTATTTTCACTATCATATTTACATGGGTAACTTGCATTATACGCATACATAACCGAAGGTCACCCCCGGGGTTGGCTTACCTTGGATTGAGGATCAGGTCGCGGTTTGCTTTTTATTCGGCATTGCTTACCGTCAGATCGGACGGACTGGCGTTGGGGGAGAACAAGGGTTTCGATTTTTATGAGAGGGTTTCATGTCTACGTCTGCTTGGGTAATAAGGGACAATGCGTTACACCGCTCCAACAAACTTTGAAATAGTCAAAGTCAAACAACGCATAATCAAAATCTTTTTGACAATAACTGGGTATTTCTGTTCTGTGACTCGATTCATCTTGAAAGCGCATGATCTCGTAAATCATCGATCAAGCCTAGCAACTCCTTTATGCCATCAGGCTCCTGTATGCACTACGTGACCTTTTGTTGTTTTGTTTAACACTGCTCCAAATTTCTTTCTATCCCCAGCACTTCGCGTATTTCATAATATGTCTGTGTTGTATCTGCTTACTCAGGAGGAACATAGGGAGTGACAAGCATTTCACTGAACTTCTCGAGCTTCTCCTTGCCCCGGACCTCCTCGACAAGAAGGGGCATCTTGACGACATTGAAGTCCTCGGCATAAAGCTCCTCGTATTGGTCGAGGTACTTGCGCTGCATCTTGCGACGAGCGTTGCACTGGTCACAGTCGCTGGCCTTCTTGGGGAAAAGCAGCTGGTTGACAACGATGGAGTGTGTGTCAATACCATATCCAGCAAGCTCCTGGATCATACGCTCAGTCTCGTAGAGACTGAGGAACTCTGCGATACAGACGCAAACAAAGGTAGTGAGCTCGGCATCCTGGAACTGGGTGTTGACCTCGCCAATTGTCTCGCGCAGAGACTCAAGTTTCGCGATCATGTCGTTGAGGTTCTGGCCGTTAGGGAGCTGGCCTCCGGAGCCAAGGAAACCGTTTAGAAGAGGACCATATTGAGTCGAAAGCTGAGAGACCTTGGCGAGGGCCTTCTCGAGGACGGTGGGGAACTGGAGGAAACGCAGGGTGTGACCTGTAGGAGCTGTGTCGAAGACAATGGTCTCGTAAGAGAGGGACTTGACTTGCTTGAGAACCTCGGCAAATGACATGGCCTCATCAATACCAGGGATCTAGCTGTTATTAGTATGCGCGGTGTGATGTAAGCGTTGGATTGACATACGGCAAAAGCGAGGTCCTGCATCATGCCTCCCAGAGGGCCACCAGCAGCAGCGTTAACGTCGTCAGCTTCACCCTGACCAGCTAGCATATCCTGAATGCTGCCGTTGGGGTCGATCTCCATAGCACTCAGGTTGTCGAATCCGTTGACGAGACGGGCCTCCTTGCCGAACTTCTGAGAGAAGGCATCTGACAAGTTGTGGGCGGGATCGGTTGAGATGAGAAGTACAGATCGGCGGACCTTTGCGAGCTGAATGGCGAGGGAGCAAGAAGTGGTGGTCTTTCCGACACCACCCTTTCCACCGACAAAGATCCAGCGGAGGCTGCGCTGGTCAAGGAGGGACTGAAGAGAGGGCTCGAGAGCATCCTCGGCGGAGATGAGGGCGGTGGACATTTCGGTGGTGATAGTTGGCCTGTAGGTGTTTTCTGTAGTTCCAGTTAGGTAAAGAGAAGAGGAGTGGCGTGAAGGTGTCAACTTACTGTGAGGCAGGAGGCTTGTCCGGGGTAGAATCAGGATTTGGGTAACTTCTAGAAGCTCTTGGATGGTGGAGTTGACGACACTGGGGGATTTGGAGGGGTATCGAGCGACATAAAGCCTCTTCAGATAGTGGGCATGATACCGTAAGTCATGACTGCGCTATTCTGTCAAGTGTGCGCCACATGCTCACAGCCCACTAGCCACAACTTGGGCGACAACTCACATCTTGGACAGAACGATAACTCAATACTTCAGGGTATTTGTCGTCAATGACTAGGACTGTAAGATTATCGTAGGGCTGAATAGTCCTATCGCAATATCAGCTATTTCTCATTAAGTGACCTTCAGTCTTTGTCGGGCCGGTGCCGACCATAAAGATAGGACCTCTCAAGTACCGGCGAACGGCGTTAAGCGTCCGGAGCTGCGCGTAGATAGATACAAGTAGCTCAGTTTCATCTCAATATCATTTCTTCATTTTATCTACGTAAATTTCACCGCTCATCTATATAGAAGCGGCTTCTGAACACTGTGTTACAGCTGGGTCTTGCTTGCTTACTGGTTGCTACTGAAGCGGAAACAATTCTTAGGCCAAAAACTCACTGATTATCTGCTGCTATAAGCTATAAGCAAGGTAGGCTGTGCGCCTCAGTCTCTCACTGCCTCAGCTCACCTCACTTCAGCCCGAACCCCTCTTCCTGGCAACTCTCTCCTCCTCTCTTATTTACTCAGGCAGTGATCAAACAAGACCTGAGACCAAACACTTGAAGATATTTCGGGTACTTCTGAATCTATCTTGCCTGCGTCTCATCAACCGATCTCACTCATACCAGGCACATTTCAGCTTACAGTGAAGGCCTCCCCCACCTTGACGTCAACCTCACCGAATATCAACCACCACACCACAGTCAACCACATCGTACACCAAATACTACTTTGACGATGGCTTCACACACAAAGGACCCCATTACTTGTCACGTTCTTGACACTCAGGCTGGTCGCCCCGCTCGCGGCATCCGCGTCCGCCTTGAAGGTCCCATTCCTGCTTATGCCAACCCGCACTCATCCGCTCAGCCTCGGGCCAACACCTTTGAGTCCATCACTGACGAGGATGGTCGCGTTACTTCCTGGTTGCCCTTTCTCTCCGAGGACTCTGCCGGAGAGCCTCCCCTCCAAACTCTTGTTGAAGTCCTTGAGGATCGCAAGGGAAAGGGCTCATCTCGCTGGACGTTGCGCTTCGACACCGGGGCTTACTTTGGCGAGGACAAGACCTTTTTCCCAGAAGTGACGGTTACCTTCCGTATGGAGGAGAGGCAGACGTACCATGTTCCTCTACTGCTGAGCCCCTACAGCTACACCAGCTACCGTGGAAGCTAAATCGACCGCACCAACTTTTCAATAGAGATGAAATAGGCCAAGGTGGTATCTCGGGACCTCGATATGAACACCAATACGATTAGCGGAGCGATGGGAAGGATGGTACAAGATGTTTCACAGATAGGAGCATCATGAAGAATGATGAGCATTTTAAGAATAGCGACCAAGCTACCAAAGTATTAATTCTTAATGAGTGTCTGTGTCGGTCACTTCACGGTGAACCGACAACTGTATATGAGTGACATTGCTGTCTCTGCCCTGCCAGAGGGAACTATAATATCCAAGCTTTTGCCTGTGTTGCAGACAAAACTCCGTCCCTGTCCTGAAATCTGATCCGTGATCCCAGATAAACGCCACGCTATCCACACACAAATGGAAAAAGGAAAGAGAAACAAAGAAACAAAAGAGTGGTTTTTGAAAAGAAATGCATCTTGAAGATGCGGTCGTTGCAGGTCATAAATATTCGGCCGTATACGTCGTTGTAGCAGTCATGGTCGTGTCGAAGCCAGGTGGTGGTTGTGCACACCGCAATGAGGCCAGACTTTTAGTCAAAGCACACCTAGTTTCTTCGCCATTTGCTCAGAAATCCTTTCTTAGAACGGTGGGACGGGACATCAGGCGAAGTGGGTGGTGTGTCTTCGTCTTCCCTCCTCGTGGCCCTTGATGCGAGACTATCGGTTTCGTCCCTGGAAATTCGAATGCTGGGCGTAGTTGGGCGAACGCTGACAAGAGATGGGTTGGTGGCGATTCTGAGACTATCGTGGTCTCCTCCGTCGGATTGAACAAGAGAATATGCGCTGTAGAGTGCCTCCGAGGCGGGAGTAATGCGGCCATGGTTGAGAGTCCTTCGTTTCTTCCTCAGGAATGATCGACGGGTTCGCATAAGAGCCCGGTCGGGGTCAATGTCCTCTTGGCTGAGACAGGCGTTTGGTGAGAGATCCGCATCAGGATGTGGTAGAGTTGTGTTACGGACTGAGAGGAGTTAGTCGGGAAATTCTTTATTGTTGGCAAGGAAAGAAACACTGACGACTGTTGAAAGGCTCAGGGAACCCTGTGTCTCTGGGTTCTCTTCGAGTCTTGGCGGAGCCAGTGGTGGTGATGGAGCTCGCCATTGTGTCGGTGTGATAAGTAGGGTTGGAGTGCGAAGTCATTGAAGAGTTGGTTGAGAGTTGAGTGTTTACTCGATGACAGTAGTTGGATTTAATAAAATGAACAAAGTTTCGAGGCGTTGCTGAGTCTTGAACTACATCGACTCTTGCTCAAAAGGTTGATTGCCGAATGGGGTAATGGTAGTGTGAGCGTGTAAGCGCGATGCCGTTTTCGTCTCCCGCAAGAGCAAAGCCTCAGCGGTTGCACGCAATCTGTCACTCTCTAGGGTGCGAAAGAGAATGCGAGAGAGTGCAAGAGACTTTTTGTATAAATCAAAAGTCGAGTGAGCGAGTAGACTATCGGTTGAAGAGAAAAGGAGATTCCACTTTCGCTTCAGTGAGTAGAGCTCTAGCCGGAAGATTTGTGGTCAAATTAAACCAATGCTCTGAAGTTGCTGGGGTAGATATGGAGGTCAGGTAGGTAGGATGGGAGAATGAGCGATGAGAGGGGGTTCGACAGGGTTATATTCGGTACAAGCAGTAGTGCTGTAGCAGTAGAATGATGAGCAACATGCATGTACGATTGGACTGGATTTGGTTTTTTGTTTTCTTGGTCTCTGCTTGGCTTATCCGTATGTCTGTTTGATCGGATCTTCGGCGCCTCCAATGTCAAGTCCAAGTCTGTGGCTTGGCTCTCGCTATTCGGCACCTGGCCAAGAGCTACAGCGCCCAAGAGACCACTGCACTGCACTGGAGATGGCAAAGTGGCCTGTCTGCGCCCCGGAAAAAGGGAACAACTGCCCGAACAAGGGTTCACTAGGGCCAAAGAAGAAAAGGTGCGTAATTGACAAGGGGGGGTCCGGTGAAAGTGGTTCCGATAACCAGTGAGTCTTTGTCTCTTGTTCAATTCAGAGACAAGAGACGGAGACAGAGACAAGACACGACTGATCCTTTCCCAAGATGTACCGTGATGAGCAGATCAATAAAAATTAAACAAAACACTGAGACTTTGATGGGGCTGAAGATCTGCGTTGCAGGCTTGCAACTAACTCGTAAGATGGCAATTTAAACCTGACAGTCCGAATAAGAGTGACGACAATATGGACCCTTCCTTCCCTGGGCCTCTTCAGGTGGCTCTTTCTCTCGGCTCTGGAGCCTGAGCTTCGGATAGAGAGTTTTCCAGAGTGTCTGGGGTGCAGTGCTTCTTTTGAGGCTCGGCCCAGCCCATGGAGCGCTTCGCGCAGTGGAGTTGGTGGTTCGTCAGCCTAGAACAGTTGGCGCCGCGGCGCTGTCTTGGCGAATGATTTGTTGAGGTGGGCGCCAAAAAGTCTCTACTTAGTGGAGGCTCTCACTGGAGGTTCTGCAATGGATAGCCTCCCCAGCTGCTGATGACTGTCGGGTCCGTAGGTCAGATTCCAACGTAATCCAGTGGCTGAAACGACACATATAGATTGAATTCAACGTCGACTTTGATCAAATGCCGTCTCGTTCCGGCCGGGCTTTGCTGTGTTATTTATAACCACCTGCTCTTCGTCAGCGTCACAAGACGATGCTACGACACCAACTCGATTCGATTCAATGTCTCTAATACTGCATCTCCATTCATCAGTTCTGTGCCGAACAAGCGCTTCAGTGCACTTCCCTCCCCAACGACCCAGGCAGTCAAGGATATGCCCAGTCCAATCCATCCCCCGGTCCCATGACGACAAAGCCGGACCGTGCAGCTGGTACAGTAGTCAATTCAGCCGGTGTCTTGCAGGCCAGAGTGTTAGTGGTTCGCCAAGAAGCTCTACTGTCATGACAGATTCACTATTGTCCAAACGTGCGCTTTTCCTATTGTTCAGGTTTTGGATGATTCGTAAGTCTATGCCACTTCAACGCGGGGTCACCGACCTTTTCCTCCTCGGCGCATCATCACGTGCATTCTTGATTCTCTTGGCCTTTTACCATCTCAATTCGAGTCTCTGGTTCATTCCACCCCATATCCATGCCCTCTGTTTTTGTTGTTGGGCCACCTATACCCTTCAATCTCTTTAATCTCATTTAAATCCAACTCCTCGGCCGCTAGTTTATTAGTGCTAGCTCTTGATGCCCCGCTAATTCCCGCAGATTCACTCTACTTTCTCCTGTAACCTGGGTATGGACTCATAAACAGACATCGATAAGAATTGGCTCCCTCCCAATTTAATTCCAGCCCCTGATTGTCTATAGGGTCGGGCACTTACCAACTTCAATATCCACTGAAGCTTAAAAGATCTACAATAACAGAAAAATTCTCATCGTGTTGTCATGACAAACAAATATTGGGCCTTGTTAAGTTGATCATGAACCCAAGTACAGTACATACCCGACTGTGTTCATAGGCCCATAAAGTGTATCCGATAACCGCCTACAGTTCGTGTTCGATCCGGTTGAAAGGCCATGGGAGGTCGAAGCTCAGTTCTTGGCTGTGCACGACAAGAACTCCGCTATCGAAGCGGCGTGCCTATTCCAGAAGGTCAAGTAAATACCTACATCTTGTTTATCCGTAAGCAGTCCTAGTCATGTTGGTTGGTCCTTTGATCCCTGGATTTGAAACCAAGATTTTGGCCAATGGCTGGGTACTCAAGTCTTGGCCGTGTGCACGTCTCATAGTTTCAGTCTTTCTCAACACCATACAGATTCTGCTTCGTCCTGACGGCAAGTTAGTACATAGCGGGCGCCCTCTGATAGGCCAGCCCGTAATTGTCTTTGCCCCTCCAGGCTCGGAACTTCTTGACTTATACCGTACTTCGAGCCGCACCTGCGTACCTGACTTTACGAGTTACGTCCAATCGTCTAAGCCATTTTACGATCACTGAGGTAAGTAAAAATAAAAACTAACGTGGCGTTTACCGGCAGTTTTCACGCATGCTCCCATCGTCACCAGAAATACAACAATACGTATCCATACAGGCGCCTTCAGATCCAATGGCTTTTGGGTTTATCGACATCGGCATTCCCGCCTCTAGTGGGCTCTATGTGGGGAATTGTCCCAGCGGCTATGACGATATTATTATATCTACACTACTGGGTTGTACTGAAGAATTATCTTTTGACTTAGGGCGCCAGAAATGATACCTATTCAAGCTCACGTAAAGTAACTATATTATTCTGTCTCTTATGCTCTTGGCGGTCAATTTTCGATACCTTATTCTGCTCTACTCTGCCGATCAAGCCCTGTCAGTTTCGCTGAGTTTCATATCGCATTCGAAGTTCTGATCGGCATTGAAAGTAGATCTTACTGTTCTCATAGCAGATGGGCCACCATATTGCCTAACATACCTAGATTACACAGACGGTTGGTTAATGGAGACGCAAAAGCATAATTCGAATGTACCGCGCAGTGGCCCAAATCTGGTTTCTCTTGTTGGATACAAATTAACATTGAGCTTCGAGTAAGATGTCGCTATCATAGTATATCGCAGAGCCACCAAGTACATATGAATGTCTCCAAACAGGACGAGACGGGACAAAATAGGACAGCCAGCACACATATTCCTCTTAAGTCAGTGACTGAGACCCCAACTCTGATACATCCGCCTAGCAGCATGCAAAGTTCATCTCCGAGGCTATCATAACCGAAATGTTGAGGACAAGACGAGTCGCGTACAGGTCAAATCTGCGAGGCACGACAGTGACTGGCGATCAATATTGATTTGCATGAGCGGTAAACCAAAGCATTCTCAGCATTTCATTAAATATGGATCAAATCAACTCCAGTATATCAGCGTCGCCGGACTGGAAATTCTATGTATGCTGGTATTGATACCCTGTTCCGTCTCTTATGAAGAATAGCTGCCTAGGAAAGGTAGTTGGAACAACTGGCTACGCCGGAAGAAAACCCCAAGAAATTCATACTTTCTCAATCTGAAGGCAAGGACGATAGATTTAGTTACCTCTCCGACCCCCTGTGCTCATAAGTGTGATTTTCTGTTTCTTTTTCTTCTTACCACCTCCGCTTCCACCATTGCCGCCGCCACTGCTGCTTGGCCCTGCTCCGCCGATATCATCCGGGCGAAAGCTACTTTCCGCTGCTTCAATGGCCTGTATTTGCATCGCAATATCCGTTGTATCGAATAGGTCCTCGTCTCTGAGCCACCCGTCGTTAACATCTGAATGTTGCACAGCTACCATCTCAGGCGATCCATTGATCACCCTCGTGCCCCAGACCGTCCTCTGGTTTGATGGGCTGGTTGATATATCAGCCAATGTCTCAAATCCTGGGCGAGGATCCGGGGGCGTGGTTCCAGAATGACCGCTCAATGGTTGAAATTCTTCAAGGTCCATCCGAGGGGCATTATCATCCTCCAACGGCTCAGGGAGTCTCTGGTAACCCGTAGTTTTTCGCAAGTTCGCTGCTTCGACACGTTCAGCTTGGAGGCGTTCGCGTTCCTCTTGTGTCTCTTTGTCGCGGTTCCGTCTTCGTCTCCGCTCGATCTCACTTGAGAACGACGCCAGCGTTTCTTCTGGCACAATATCGGTCCAGTCGCACTCCAAAAAATTGACAACGCATCCACGAGGAAGGTGGCCCAGGTATTTTGCCCGTCGTCGCATAGCATCATCAACCACATGGCCAGTGGAGATATGTTCGACACGAGGAAGAAGCGTAGAAGGGAATGACGAGAAGGACCCATACTTTGTTTTCAGAATGCGAATATCCAGCGGCGACAGGTATAAGTGTGGCGGAGAACTATAAAAATAAAAATCGGCGTCTGTAGAAGCCTTTGTTGATGTTGATGGACTCTCCACAACCTGAAGCTCGGTCAGCTTCTCCTTGGCGGCTGTGATCGCTCGAATCGCCTTCTGGGACCCTTCGTCGTTCTGCCCAAACAATGTCTCATCTTCCTTTGCCTGCTGGGCCAATGCGGCGATCTCCTCGTCGTATTGAGCGGACATGTAATCGGTAGTACCTTTCATCATTCGGGCATAATCCAAAACATTGGCAGCAAAGTGCCAAGGAATATCGTCCACAGAGTACAAAGCTTCAGAGCCGCTCTCTCGCGGGAGCGCCATTGTAGAGTTTGCGTTGCGTGCCATCAATCGGAGGACAACATCATCACCAATTCGAGGGAACGGGCTTTCTTGGCCCGCGTAGAACCTGACAGGCCTCACATCTTGCATATAGATGGAATCTTCGCAAATAGGACACTTCTTCCACCTTGGACCTCGACCCTTTGCCTCATCCTCGCTCGACACTGCGTTCATGAATCGGATAAGACAGGGCAGGCAGAAAATGTGACCGCATTTCGCCATTCGTGGCGCCACAGGCTCGGAAAGACAAATTGGGCAAGACGAACCCTGTGATTCGGTTGAAGCGATAATCTGCATTACAAGAGACCAGTCAAGATGGGTATCGGCATCTGTGGCTTGTTTGTTGTATGTGCCCTCTGGAGAGAGGATGAAGCGATAATTGGCATGGACATATCTAGCCTTGTCGCTGGCGTGGTATCCTGACCCGGGTCCCCATGTTGGCGTTCTTCTATAAGACCTTGAATGCGAATGATGATCCTGTACTGGTCGTGCCACAGAGTAATTCAACAGATGGGTGATGGAAGTCTGCCCGCGCCTGCTATTGGGATTTCTGAACGCTCTTAGCTCAGCCATGGCGTCTTCGTCATCGGGGCCGGTATCTGCTCTGTCGCCAAGTCCAGGTCGACGCTGGCTCCGATGCTGCTTGCGCGAGCCCTGAATCTTTCGAGGCATCGATTGTGTGTATGAGGAACCGGCCTGTGATGGCCGACGGGATGATTCGAAGCTTGTGGTCGCGGGGCCAGCTTGAATAGCTGGTGAATTTGACGGCGCAGGGATGGACTTTCCCACGTTTGATGCAGAGGAGCTCATTTTTTTCGTGACAGAATGATAGGAATCAATCGTGTTGAGGTAAAAGATGGGCTCAATCGTTCGATGGCTCGCGCTTTGTCTCGGTGGCGGGGACGATGGTAAGGTCTAAAGGCAGGTATCTAGAATAGATTGCCGCCTCTGCGGATGGTCCGAAAGAGGTAGAGATTGAAGCCTCCAGACAGTTTGATATATAAGAGAGTCAGATTGAGATTCACGAAGGGGTCCAGTTGGGACGGACCCCGTTGATGGATGGAAGACGGAGGTGGATCGAACGAGTCACTGGCGGGGCAAATCGTGACGGAGTTGACGGGCTCGGCGGCGCAGGGCAATGGCGTTACCGGCTTCTGGTTGATGCTCAACACGGCTTACATAATGATTGCGACTTAGTCATTTTCAAATGAGGCAAATCGACAACCATGTCTATCACATGATTAAAGGGAGCAGATTAGACAGCATAACTCTTCAAATATATATCCAAAGTTTTTCTTTTGACCTAATAACAGGATCAATCATAGTTGAAGTCCGGTTTCAATCAAAAGTATGCGCGTAAAAACTGACTATGAATTAGGTATATGACGGAGATCCACGTCCTCAGTGATCTCAACCACCCTCCTCTTCCTCATGGATCCAGGGGAATCATTGATAAACGAAGACACCAATTGCAATAAAACAAAAAAAGAAAAACCCATGAGACGTCTCTGATACCACATCGTTGCGACATTAGCTTAGTTGCCTCATTTTCTTATCTATTTGTCAGAAAACTTGTGCTTGATCTTGCTGAACATCGAGCTCAGTCGGTTCTTCTTCTTCTCCTTGCCGCTGGCCGCAGAAGCGCTGCCGTTGCGTGAGGTATCGGCAGCCTTGGTTTCTGTTGTTGAGGCACCGTTGCCAGTTGCTGTCGTGCCATTGCCAGCTGTTGAGCTGCCGTTACCGACCGCAGAGGTTTCTGTCTTAGCAGTCGACTCTTCTGTCTTGGCGGCTTCTGTCTTGGGCTCCTCCGTCTTGGCCACAGGCTCAGCGGGCTTGGTCTCCTCGGTCTTAGTCTCAGCAGGTACGACAACAGCAGGCACGACAGGTGCGGACTCTTCAGTCTTGCTCTCGACCGCTGAATCTGGCTTGGTCTCGACTACAGGCTTGGTGTCGTCGACAGCAGGAACAGGCTCAGCCTCCTTAAGAAGCTGAGCTTCAACCTCCTTCTTGTTCTCAACAGCTTCGGCGCTAGCGGCAGCCTCAGGACGCTCACCTGCCTCAACGATGGAGTCCTTGACTTCGGTAGGAACCTCAGGGGCGACCTGAGGGGTCTCATCGATTGTAGCAGCGGGCTTAACTTCTTTGAGGAGCTCGGCCTCAACGAGTTTCTTGTCCTCAACAGCCTCGGTGTTACCAGCAGCCTCGGGGGCCTTGCCAGCCTCAACGATGGAGTCCTTGACCTCAGTAGGAACCTCAGGAGAGACCTGCTTGGGCTCCTCCTTAGGCATCTCTGGCTCAACGACCGAATCGTAGATGCCGGTGACAGGCTTAACTTCCCTGAGAAGTTCGTTCTCGACCTCCTTCTTGTCCTCAACGGCGGCAGTGTTGGCAGCAGCTTCAGGAGACTTTCCAGCCTCGACCAGGGACTCCTTGACTTCAGCAGGAACCTCAGGAGAAACTTCCTCCCGAATCTGCTCCTCGTTCTTGGCAGCAAGAGTCTCCTGAGCGGCGACAGGAAGCTGCTCCTTGACAGAATCAGGCAGGTTCTTGTTAGCAGTGTCAGTGATGGCGTCAGCAGCGTTGTTGAGAGCTGGAACAGCCTTCTCCTCCACTGTCTCCTTGGCCGCGAGACCAGCTGCAATAACAGCGCCTCCAGCAGTGGCGGCCAGGGCGGCGAGGGTAGTGTCGGGGGTGTTCTCCGACTTCTCAGTACCAACACCAGCTGTGCCTACCGAGGTGGCAGGGGCCTCGGGAACGGTGCCCTTGAGCTCTTCCTCAACCATAGTCTTCTCCTTGACCTCAGCAGGATCTGTGCTAGCCTCTGTAACGGCATTGGCCTTCTCCTGGCTTTCCCTCACGACCTCGGGAACGAAAGCGCCATTAGTCTCGAGGGGGACATCGGCAGCAAGACCAGCGGTAGTGGCAGTAGGAGCAGCAGAGTTAATAGTGGTAACATCCGCACCGATGATGGGAAGGCTGGACTCGGGAATAGTGGTGGCAGTCACAGGAGGAGGTAGCTCGGTCTCAATGCCAGGATAGGCATCACTCTTCTCATAAGACTCCTTGTCATACTTCACATAGGCATCGGTGCTCTGAGCTGTAATAGACTCAGGGATCTTCTCGCCAGGTGCGAGCTTGACAGGGTTTCCTGGGCCCTCGGAGGCGGGGAGGGGGTTGATGCCAATGGTCTTGTCGAGTTCGTTCGCGGGGGTAGCGGGGAAACCACCAGGAATGTCAGAGGGGGTCTCGAGAGGCAGCTTCTCGTCTTGGGCGGACTGTTCAAAAGTCAGCGCACTGAGGGTGTTGTCTTGACGATCCTCTCTTCAATTACCTTTTCATCCAGAGCGGCGGACTTGTTCTCCAAAGGTTGTTCACTAGCCATGGCTGCAGTTGTGGACGAAGGTGTCACGGTGTTGAGAATAGCGGCGGCGGGCGTTTCGTGGGTAAGCTGGTCGGGAGTAACGAAGTTGTTCACGTTACCCTCAAGATCAGGCTCGTTAGGTGCTGATTGATTGATGATCCAGTTACCGTCGACGATGAACTAATATCGAATGGTGAGCGATAGTCTTTACAGTAGTGCGACAAGTATGTGAGAGAGTGCAAGAGCAATTGGGTTCGAAAGAGGGGACAAAGTGAGTTTAATGAGCTGGTGCGATGACGAAGAGGAGGACGGAGCTGAGAGCAAGAGCGGGTCGGGTATGCAGGCACACTAGCGCGCAAGCAAATCAAGCACCGGTTTGAGGACGCCTTGGCAGCACCAAGGGACTTTGGCTCTGCGCAATCTGCGCAACGCAATATCGTCGGCTGGCGCCGCAGAATTCTGCCGGCGTGACCAGGAAAAAGACTTGATATGGGTTGGTAGTAGCGCTCTCCGCTCACTAACGCATTCCAGAACTGTCGCGATCGTGGTCGCCTTGCGTCATACCGAACCGCGGGGGATTTTGGTTGGGGATGGTGCGAGATGCTAATGGGTCGCAGAGAACCCATGACATGACAGCCAGGGAAATGAACCAGGGGCTCAATCCCCGATCCTGGCACAGCCGCAAACTTGCAAGAAAAAAAATCCTTGGGCAGGGGCCTAAGATTACGGCAGCCACCGCCATTGCGCCTCCAAGTTGTTTAGGCTTAAAAGAGCCCTGCAAATAGTGATGACCGTAAAGCACAGGTTCCCGAGTGGCACGGTCATCGTTGCTATCCTTCGCTCTTGTCCCAACACCAACTGCGCAAAGATTTGGCTGGCAATAGCAATGACATGACATATCCATTGTCTTTGTAGGAGTAAGAGCCTTGGTTTGGCGCTGGCTAGGATCGCGACATGGCATAGGGTTTTCAAAGAAGGTCAAATGCAAAGTGAATATCGGGAGGGAAAAGAGGGCAGTTTGTTGGCATTGCGGGTCGTTGCTCGCAGACGCTGACGCACCTTGTAGTAAATCTTGCCCTCGGGCTCCTTAAGGTCGACGGTCTTGGAGAAGACATCGCCTTGCTTCTCGAGCTTCACGCTCTTAGTCCAATTGTCGAAAGTGCCGGTCACGTAGACCTCGTCGGCGGGATGCTCCCTACACAAAATTTGGGGTCAGTCTTGAGTGTCTCAGACATGGACGAATTGTCGCAAAATGTAACTGCAACGTGAAGCACCATTATAAGATACAGGTATTGGGGTAGGCAGGCTCCCGTAAAAAGGTCAATGGTGTTGTTGCGCGTGGAGGTAGACAAAGTGCGACTCGGGGGGCTGGATGAAGCTGTGTCGAGCGGCGCTGTATAGTGAAGTGAAGCGCAGCGCAGCGCAACATAGGTTCGGTAGATTGCGACTTACCACTTGAAAGTGAAGCTGCCCATGGCTGAAATAAGATTTTTGCGGAGCGACGAAGGCTTCGGGTTGGATTCGAGAGAACGCAAAAATGATTTAAGGTAGGGTGACTGTGACGGTGACTGGCGTTTGGTGCGTCTCGAGGTTGAGTGAGATTTTGTTTTGTTTGTGGGAGAGATGTTGGGTTGGGCCTGGGAGAAGAAGAGCCAGTTCGTTGACGAGACGGGGAGACACCAAGACAAGACCGGTTTGGCGTTGGTCAACAAGGCTGGGGGGGACTGGAGCGAAATTAAAGATTGTCGGCGGCGGCGGCTACGGGTACGGGGCAGTAACAGCGACACGAGAAAAAGGTACAGTCGGTACAAATCAAGGGTGCTGCGACCGCATCGACCGGAACGATTGAGACAGGGATTGATTCTAGGCCGTTTGAGAAGATGGTTTTGCCTTCGCCGGATGCAGAACAGGGTGATAATTGCAGCGATACGTATAGTCGATACGGTGAAGAGATAGGTTTTGGCTTGGGGAACTTGAGAGAAGGTCATAGAAGGTGTCTTTTTTTTTTCTCTCTCTCGAAAGCGGAAAGTAGTAGGTAAGGTAGATATGGAGATACGTAGTAGGGAGGTAGATGGATGGATTGGGAGAGAGATAAGGTAAGGTCTCGAAGTAAAAAGGTACAGGACGGATAAAGATGATGCAGCGGTGGTGATAATGGAGGTATGGAAAGAAGAAGCAATTGAGCAAGAGCACGTGGGGTTGTTTGATTTGGATTGTGTGCAGAATCAGTGATGATGTGCAGCAACGGCAGGAGCTGAAGCAGAAGCAGAAGCAGCAAGAAGAAGAAGGTGAGTCGCAATTCAGAGCAAGTCCGATGAATGAGGTTGTTATCAGGTATCAAAAACAAAACAAAAAAAGTCAACCCTTGTGATGCAGCAGCAGCAGGCGAACGAGGCCGGGCCAGGCCATGCCATGCCGTGCATACAGATGGATTCGCTGCGATGCAATGCAATGGATGCTTTTGCCCGCCCTGGACTCGAACAGGCGAGCATCTCTCTACCTATGGATCAAGCCAAGGATGATGTACTGTACAACGCATCTGAGAGAGAAAAAGTACCTCGTTTGTTTGTTCTCGTCACTCCCAACCTCCAATTTCAATACACCGAATTCATCCAATGTTTTCATCACCGCCGTATCAGTATTGGTTGCTGACGATACTTCATCCATACATCGCATTTTATGGCAACCCTCTTGATGTGACTCCTCATCAGGTACAACGCTCAACTCTTTAGGAGGACCCATGATGCAGTACATCCATCTGCAATGTCGAATCTGCATTGGACTCGCAGATGCAGTTCGAGAGCTGTGGGACCTCTCTGACGACATGGCAGTCATGGCGTTTACTCGTTGGCGGTCGGTTTAGCTGGCGTCGTCTGTGGGTAGCTTTCTCTTTTCTTTATTGTACTGTACTGTCGGGTACCATTCAGCTTTTCTGCAATAGACCGCATCCGGGACATTTATAAGCTGCTGGTGGTGGCTGACGACGGCATATATGTTTTGAATGTTTTCAACCAGACAAAACCTGAAGTTCCTCTTCCTCTTCTTCCTCTTCTTCCTCTTCCATCACTATCATAGTGAATCGCATCCCATCTGAAGATAAGCGCAATCTGGCGAATTGCACGGACGCGGTTCTGATCTGAACCAGAGCTCCATCATCACCGGAAGCTATTGGATGTGATACTGGGGTTGTTTTAGTAGCGTTGCATTGCCACGAGTGCCTGGGCTAAACCTTGTCAGGCCTGGGTCACCTAACGGTAGACTAGGCTAAGCTCCATTAGTGGTACAGTGCACCTCAGTTGATGGGTTTTCCTTTCTTTCATGTGAAGAGGTTGGGTTGGTCGGCGGTGAATTGGGTTCAATTTCAATGCATCTTGATGAAGCCTCAGATTCAATGGCTGGTCACTGTTGAACCCAAGCAAGCAACTGAGAAAGCTTTGCTGTCTTTGAGCTCAATACTACGGATATCTTCACATGTGTTAACGTCCCTCATCATACGATGTCCACCGCATCTTGGTTGGTGCACTAGTACAGTACATAAATGACTCTTCATGACACCCAGACCCATATCATGACAACTCAAACCTGCATCGTGAAGCTTGCGTCGATCGATGGACCATACCCAAAGGCGGTGTGTGCGCAAGTATCGTGCAGTAGGTATACAGTAGTGTAGATGCCCAGCCCAACGAACTATACCAGGATCTTTTTTGGCCCTGCAGAGTCTAAAAGTTATGAGTCGAACTCTGGAACAGCGGTCAAAGACCGGAGGATGAGATGTTTATATTCAAGACTGATCCGAGAGGTCGGCAAAAGATCCGAGGTTGTTTTAGATCGCGATCAACGAGATGGAGAGTACCTACTATCACTCATATTGAATGTTGTCACTTTTCGAGTACCTATAACTTCCTAAGGCAGGAACAGACGAACCTTGACGCCAACCGCCCGACATTGCATTTCGACCAATCCATCTAGGGAAAGTGCAAGTGAAGACCCTTTATGCGTCCATGGTCAGGTACTCGAGGCAGGTGGCAGATCATAAAACTTCTGTTATCATATCATGGATAACACAATGAATTCAAACGCTACCTGGTTAAATATTTGGGGAATAAGAAAGGAAATCCTAATCGATACAACAATTCTCACTTTACAACTCTTCCCTCGTCGCCGTCTTCGCCTCACCTTGCTCTTGACCGCTCTGGACTGTCTTTTCCTTGAATGACTGGACTCTGATGTCCATCTTTGTCTTGTGGTTGTCCTGTCGCTCAGAGTTGATAACCCAAGCGACAACTCCGCCATCTTCGGGCTTTGGACTATACTTGGACAAGTCGACAAGTTGATCTACAATCCAATAGTAAGTTACTGACTGCACACGAAACAGGAGGTCAGATCAGGTTTCTCATCTTACCTTTGCATTCGCTTGCTTCTGCTACCCACAAGGGAAGGATGCCATATAGGGCACCAGGTGCAAAAACAGCAACCTTGTCTTTGTCGCTGGTGCGATCGATCTTGTCAGCCTCAGGGAACTCGACAACCTTCTCGATTTCATCATCGTCGTTCTTGGGCTTCTCGAGCACGGCAAAAAGTGCCTTGCCTTCTCCGTCGGTCCTCTCCTGTTGCTCGATCCACTCACGAACCAAGAGAGGAATCTCATCATAATTCATCAAAAGTACGCTGCGACCACCAGCGTGGTGATCCAAGCCGAGCCATGCTCCGGGGTACTCTCTGTTGGCAAAGACTGCCTTGAGGCCCGTAGCCCAGGGCTTCAGTCCTTTTGGGGGAGGTTCCATCAACTCTGCGAGGGTATACTCGAAAACCTCGAACTGCTTCTTGTCATCACATCTTGATTTGAAAGCAGCCATGGCACCAGGCGCGAAGGGGTTTGCCCACTCGAAACCCTTGACAAGCTCGACTGGCGGAGGTCGCTTCATCTGGAATGCCTGAGAGAGCCCTGCCAGCATCGCCGAAGTGGCAAGTAGTTGGGCTGAGAAAGCTTTCATGATGGGTAAGATGGTATGATACTGATATCGGTTCTTGGCAGACAGCAGTGCGGGATATCGACAAATGAAGTGGTTGTTTTTCACCAAGACACTTTCACCTGTCTTGGAGCATGTTATTTATGTCGGATATCATCTCGTACGGATTTCAATGTGTTGCTGTCCTTTTCGGAGTCTTGATCGCCGAGTTTCCTTTTAAGGGTTCCATCTCGGCCAACATCAACCTGAAATGGTTATAGGGTGACCAGAAGAGTTTCTTAGGCTAAAATAAACCCTCGAAAGTCTGGCAACATGTTAAGTCATCTGCCCTCACATTCCGCGAATCTGTTCTATTGCTATTGCGCTTTGTAAGCTCAGAGGATGGGCTCTATGTGTCTGTTAACCGCTCATTCGCTGCCTACAACTTGCCACTATATTGTTCTTTTCGATGTGGATATAGGTTCTAATGCTAATTCGTACGTCAAGACATGCCTGAGTCTATAGAATCATGATGTTGGAATGTGATCAGTGAAGTTTCATCCACTACATGACAAAACGTCATGCTCCGAACAATTTTGTGCTTATAATGTCAAGGAGCTACGATATCGCGAATCATAATCTTATCAACGCCAAATAAAGATTCCAATCAAATTTCAGCATCTTCTGGTCCTTTACCCGTCCGTGATAGACATATTAAGTGTGCGACGCATTGGTATATTCATTGAATGGTCTGTGTACAGGGTAGGACGAATGGTGAGATGATTTATGCTACTTACTACCTACGCAAGCGACGTGGCTGATTTTATTGCTACATAGTCCATAAGACTTATTCAGGCTGAAACAGACTCAGATAACTAGACCTATTATTAATTAATACTCCGAAATGGTGTTCAAGTGCTTCGTTGTCATTGTATTGCCATTGTCATTAGTCGTGGTTTGGTGTTGTCTAAGCCTCCCGATACATCACGAAGGAATGCCGCGCTAACCGGGATGTTCTAAGTCAGACTAAATGAAATCTGCCCATGGAAAGGTTGAAGGAGCATATACCTTGAACAAGTGATTCATGTTAAAACCTTGGATACAGCACTGTGTAGTGGCGAGTTGGCTCTGCACTTGATAGCCCAAACAGAAGCATAAAGTGAGGGAATGTTAAGACAGTGATAGTGATCTACAGTCAATCAATTCGGATGCTCCCGAAGCCCTGAGAATCGCGATTCTTCAAGCCTCGGAATGGGGTGAAGGGGACTTTAACCATGCCTGATCCTCAGCTCGTTCTAGATCTCAGGCTAGTGGTCTGGTGCTGACAGCAGGTAGCAGTAACTCAACCTAGTTTGCCCATCGAATCCATGCAAAAATGCTCAGCCCTGGACTTTTGAAACCCTTTTGGCTTGCTCACGGGCCGGATGAGGATTAGAGCTCGAGTGCCTGGCATGTTCCTGTAATTCCTTTTCTTGATGGCTTTTTACATTAAAAGCACGTTGGGAGCCTCGCACACCTAGACCAGTTGACTGCCACGTTCATCAACTCACTCACTCACTCACTCGTAATCATGGCGACAAAATCAACAGAGGTCGTTACCACGGAGAAGAATGAGGCGGCAAAGACAAAGCAACCTTGGCCACTATGGAAGAAGCTGACTGCTATTGGCGTGACCCTTGCTGTGATCATCGCCCTATCAGTTGGTCTAGGCGTTGGCCTCACTCGAGGAAAGGGAGGAAACAACAACGATGAAACCTCTAATGCAGAGAGTGACGACTCGGTAGAACCTTATCTCAAGGCCCGCGGCAGTCTCTGGCAACCAAAAGTCGGTGCAACCTGGCAAATCATTCTTCTTAAGCCCCTCAAGCTCAACAAAGACGGCACGGCTAAGAACCTCAAGCCCAACGTTGGCATCTACGATCTTGACCTCTATGACAACGATGCCAAGACTTTTAAGGCGCTGCACAAAGCTGGAAAGAAAGTCATCTGCTACTTCAGCGCTGGATCTTGGGAGAACTGGCGCGATGACAAGAACCAGTTCAAGAAGGCCGATCTGGGTAAGACGATGGACGGATGGCCCGATGAGAAGTGGATCAACCTCCGAAGCAGCAATGTCCGCAATATTATGAAGAAGCGCATCAAGTATGCTGCCCAGAAGGGCTGTGATGCTATAGACCCTGATAATGTCGACGGTTATGTGAGTTAAACACGCATGGTTGATCCAAGCACCAAATCTAACATGACTATAGCAAAACGACAATGGCCTTGGCTTGACTGAGAAGGATTCCATTGACTATGTGAAGTTCCTTGCCGCTGAAGCTGCAAAGTACAACATGTCAACCGGACTCAAGAATGCTGGCGACATTATCAAATCCGTTCTGCCCTTCGTTCAATTCTCCGTCAACGAGCAGTGTGTCGAGTACTCAGAGTGTGAGACCTTTGCCGCCTTCATCAAGGCGAAGAAGCCTGTCTTCAACATTGAATACCCCAAAGGTGCACCAAAGGTCAAAGAGGCCGACCGCAAAGTTATCTGCTCTAAGAAGGGCAAGGCCAAGGGCACCGACAACTTCAGCACCGTCATCAAAAAGCTGAACCTAGACGGCTGGGTTCAATATTGTACCGGTAACATTTACAACACTCCTGTAAAGGATTAATCTACCCAGGCAGGGCTCTGTTTTTCAATCATTAAAAGCAATTCTGCGTATGCTATCAATCAGTCGTTCGCGCTTCGCACCGATTATGGGAATGTTACAGCAACAAGTTTACTACATGTTGTCCAGTCTAATCAGCCTTAAATTTTGATACCCTCATGTTATCTTCGCATGCAATGCCGAATTCCGTTCCAATCTTGTCTCTTCATCAACCAATTGTGAATATGTAAAATCAGGGGTATCGATACTTAAACATCATCCATAACTTAAAATCAACTTTCAATATACAACAATAACCCGCCGTATATCTTACGTAGCTGCCATGTATTTGGGACCACCTTCTTGTTTGAAAAGCCAGTCACTGTTAGCGTCGACCATGAAATTGGTGATGTTGAACTCGTTTGACGCTCCCAAACTCGTGCCATTATCGTTGGACGCGTCCATATTAGTTGGCGGCGCTGGAGTACCATTGACGCCGGCGATGTTTTCACCACCCAAAGGAAGACGTGGTACGTTGAAAAAGTCGAATACATCAAGATACTCGAGCTCATTGGGTGCAGGTGTTCTTGCCGGTGTTACGCTCGGTAGTCTACTGAGAGCTGAACCACCTGGCTGCTTCGGCTGACGCGAAATGAGAAAATCCAGATCGAACGCAGTACGTCGCATGTCAGACAGGATCTTGACCGAACTAGGGGTGACACCGTCTCCCTGTCGTTCACTGTCGTGATGCTCATCCAAGACCCGCTGTAACAGCTGGGAATATCGAGCTGCAACTGGCCAATAATGTCCCATCTCACGCAGGCTATCGACAAAGAACGGAAGCTGAGGCGACAGCTTATGCTCAACCGTCGAGCCATGGACAAGAAGCAGACGCGCCGAAACCCAGAGAGTAAAAGCAAAGGGCGGCCCCAACTTTGCTAGCATCCCATTGTTCACGACGAACTCTCCAAGAGCGGCGACGTTCTCGACCGCACCATGGCACCGTTGTGAAGCGCTATAAGACGGGGTAAAGATCGGAGATCTTGTTGTAGGATACGCCGCGGACGAGTGAAGACGAATAACAGCAGTGTGATATGTAGCATGAAGCATTACCCATGCACAATTGATGTTCTTGCTCCCCGGGTGAAACAATTTAGCCATGTTACCAAACTCCCCTGGAAGGCTAAATTTCCAAGACGTGAGCATACTGTCCAGCTCCTTGTACCGCATCTGCCACTGCTCCACATCACTCAGAGCACTAATGTCGACGGGCTGCTTGAGGAACTTGTGTATCTTCGAGAGAATGCCGAGGATCTCGATGTAGTAAGCAAAAGCGCCCAGATTCTCAGGCTGATCGATATCGTGGCCCGGGGAGCCTGAGTGTAAGTCAGTGCTGAACCACCTAGTGTCAACCTTTTGATTCTTGATCCATAGATCATCGCGGCATGGCAACGTTCTATCGATTTCTTTGTCGTCCAGAGCAAACTCGAAAGCAGTTGCAAGTGTTGCATATCTATCTAACAGATAGATCATCCAGAACAAACGGCGCCTTGCTTCCTCTTCTATGAAATCCTTGGGTTCCGAGAGAGTCATCGCTCGAAGCGTATATATGGACAGGTAGTGAGGTGATACGGTTGATGAGGTAACTTCAACAGCTAGACCAAGCTGCACCACAGAACGGGTAATGAGGGCCATAATGTTCCAGCCCGGTGGTCCGTTACTGCTTCCACAAAGATCGAGCGCAAGTATGACGAGTGCCTGCAATGCCTTGACCGAAGAATTCTCCATACCGTAGAGCAGGACTCGTTCTTTGGAAACTCTGTGATAGTGCTCTCGCCGTTCCTCTGTCAGTCTTGCATCTGTTGAGAAACGCATAGTTGTTGCCACAATTGCATGTAACAGAACACGATCCGTTTCATCGAGCGCAGACGGTCCGAAAAGACTATCTAAAGTCGTTTTACGATGAAGAATCGGGCACCAGGTATTGATATGCTTGAAGTAAAGGTCGACTAATGCGTAGAGAAGATCGTATGGCGGCATATCACGATCGGGGGTCGAAGTTCCTGGTGCAGTGGATAATGGGGCAGTGGGCGAATGGATATTTGGTTGCACCGAAGAATAATACTCTTGAGTGGCGTTATTGTGTTGTATCGGAGACAACTGAGACGGTGCCGCCACGCCTGAAAACGATGTCCTGTTCTGACCATGGTACCCGTCATTCATCCTAGGTGTATGGGCAACGCTGAAATCAAGGCTTGGTGCGCTTGGTGCAAAGCCTGAACCAGGCGCTTTCTGTCCGAATGAGGCTGGATCAGTTTGAGGCGTGCGAACTGGCTCAGATGGTCTGAAAAGGTTGTGATGAGTATCCCGTGGTGTCCCTTGGTCACTGGGAATGCTTGGGTTGCTTTGTCGAATACTGGCGGCAAAGCCTGGGTTTGTATTAGATGCCAAAGACCCGTGAAGAATCTCAGCATGTGAGCGTAGGATCTCCTCCAGTTTATCCAAACGCTGCTCGAGTTCGCGCCCATAACCTGCCCTCAGACCAGGCTTCTTACGCTCTTTGTATTCACATACAGCGCCATTGCGGCTGCACCACCCACACGATGGTTGGCCACGATCGCACTTGACCTGGGAGGCAGATTTGGTTAACATTTTTCCAATAGAAAAAAATAAGAGATGAGACCGTGCATACCTTTCTTTGCTTGCACAGCTCACATCTAGGTACGGCATTGTTAGCTTCGGTGTCGTCGACGTGCTGTATAGTTGAAGACAAAGCAGATTGAATTTGTAATGTCGTGTAGTAGTTGAGATTTGAAGGGTGCGGGGAGGGCAAAGGATGAGTCGATGAAGTGGCCTCAGATGGCATGGTGTTGATAAGAGAATATAGAAAATGCAGATAAGACTCCAACATGATTATCAAATCGGAGATCTGCCAAGAGGACGAAAGAAATCCTTAATTTGAGACATGGACTCGACCGAAGTCTGAGGTAGTAGATTGTAGGTTGGGAAAGGTGTGTAGAAGCAACAAGTAGAGACAACAACTAGACTTACGAGACTGAGACAGGACGTTTCCTCTTCCCATTACGACAGAGAGTTTCGTGGTCGCCGTGGTCTTCATCCTCGCTATGGAATTGGTTGGCTTCATCACTGTCTGCCTCTGTGGAAGGCGGGCGATTCTCTACCGAACCGTCGCCCGACATTTTGCTGGCCCCGTTCTGCATGGCTAAATGTGATATTGCTGTTGGGCGGCAGGGTGGTTTTCCCAGAGCCCTTGTAGCTGGTCTCGTGTGTCGGCACGATGTAAGAACGAGTTCCCCAACGGTCTTGTGAGCGTTGTGAACAGAGACCAAGAACAAGGCGCAAGCCAGGGCTGATCAGCAATGCGACAAAATGGTGAATGGCATATACGCGCGCGAAAGACCGTTCGTGTTTGACCTCGCGATCCGGGATAATGACAAGCGGGATTAGGAGAATGATCGCCCGAGGATAAATAGGCCTGTACAGTACTAAATAGTAAAAGGATGGATGGGTGACCTATTGTCGTCAGGGTAATGTAAAAATTCGACCAATACCGTGAATTGCCGGTACGCATGAATGTCCTCTCATAAATCCTATTTATGAGCTGATCTCTCCCCTTCTTCTGGCACCTGTCTTCTCACTATCCTCTTCGCTTTCTGCTGGCTTTGTGCCTCGGACGGATGGGAAGTGGCGCCGTGATGACCGGGCCAGTTTGGGGTGGGCCGAGGTGGACTCAGAGGGCTACTGCACCTAGACAAACTGCCAAAGCTCGGTCTCGTCGGTCGGTTAACCGGAGCCACAGCTGAAGAGGAAGAAGATGACTTTGGCCAGCTGCTGTGAAACTGTAGAGAAAATATGCTGATGCGATGAAAGGGAAAGGGAAAAAGCAGTTGACTTCACATGCGATGGAAAGCGCTTTCCCGAGTGGCTCAGTTCAGCTAGAACGGATCTATAATGCGGAGAGAAAGAATGATCCTCGCGCCGCACGCGTACCTGCCCAAACCTTCTTACTTCGACTTCAACCTCACTTTCCTCAAGGGGAGATGAAGCGGGGAAATGGGTGAAGCGGTATAATCTGATTCGTGGAAAGTGATATATCAGTGGATCTGGCTGCCCCGGACGTGGTGTAGCTGGTAGCGCTCCCCCAACCATTGGGTATTAACCTTGGGTTAAATGATTGGTTGCGTTCAGTTCAGCCTCAGGAGCTGGATCTGTTTTCAACCGACGCAAGTATAACAAGGGTTGAATGGCCATGTCAAAGTCGGACTTTTAGATGGAGAAATGAGAGTACGAAAATACAGCGATAAAACTGTCTAACTAGTAATCCATCACGAGCTTCGTCCCCAAAGCTTAGACTACCCTATGTACGAAGTACATATGTCGGATCTCTCCACACGGGCTACCGGTTGTCCTCCACTCCCCTGTCACCCCGCAATTGCAGACCAAGTGCTCGGCCTTGGATATTTGTGGCAGAAACAAGACATGGCTGAATGCATAACGATGTTGAACAGCAGCGATTGGCAGGCAGGCAAGCATATAGAGAGGCGGGATATTGTGACTGTCCAAGATGGACATAGAAGACGAAAATGTACCAGGAAAGCAATTTACTGTATCTTCCTTGTTCCAAGACAAGAAAATTTCACAAGGCAAAAGAGAAGAAAAAATGGAACTCATGAGCCGCCGCTAAGCTGAAGCTCCTCCGATCATGGCTTGCTCTAAAAACTCTACTGGAACCCCGACGAGGACCGAGAAATTGTGGAGATGGTCTTGCAATTGGAGATGGTTCCATTCTTCAACACCAACTTCGGTACATCTCATCCCGATATCTGTCTTCGTCAGAGGGGAATCCGAGGCAATGCACAACCCCCACGGGACAATACTTTGCCGGAAAGTATCATCACGAGACTCAGTGGCCAGTCAGTTATGAGCTTAGCAGTCATGTTACTGCTATCTATAATACATACATGATCGGCGCATCCTTTTGTAAAGAGAGGCTCATCCCCAGCTTGTAGCACTTTTTTCTTTCCCTGTCCCACCATCATAACATTTCTTACTTTCTGCGACTTGTAAGCTTCAGTCCATTTCTCTGTGTGAAGTCTGCATAGATCAATTGGCCCATCTATTTCCTCGAAATGTCGTCTGTCAAGGACTTTCCCAAGATCAAGGCCATTAGGTCATTCATCATTGGTGGTGTTGGATCAGGTATGTCGTGCTGGTTTCTTTCGTCGAGGAAGGATATGGGAAACTCTCCTCTTTCATGTAAAATATATCTGGCGAACAGACACTGACTCGGAAAAAAATAGGTGGTGATTATCACAACGTTAAAGGTGGTCATTGGTATGCTCGCCGGTTCTCATCCTGCCCGATGCCGAAGACAACGCTCACATTCGACTTATAGGCTCATCGACAGCGATATCTCGACACCAGCTTCAAAATGGGAGCAATACAAGAAGTCTCGAACTAGCTGGGGCATCAACGTTCTGGGTTCATTCCTAGTTGAGATTGAAGCCACTGATGGAACAGTCGGATTTGCTACTGGCTTTGGTGGTGAGTTTACTCGATCAGCGATTATCAGATTGCGCATTCAACTATAGGCCAGTTGCAGCTTGCTGACAGAGTCGATAGGTCCTCCGGCCTGCTGGCTCGTTCACCAGCACTTCGAGCGTTTCCTCATCGGCGCCGACCCTCGCAATACCAACCTTCTCTTCGAGCAAATGTACCGAGCGTCCATGTTCTACGGTCGCAAAGGCCTACCCATCGCCGTTATCTCAGTTATTGACCTTGCCCTCTGGGATCTTCTCGGAAAGGTTCGCAACGAGCCTGTCTACCGCCTTATTGGCGGCGCTACCAAGGAGCGTCTCGATTTCTACTGCACTGGTCCCGAGCCCACAGCTGCTAAGGCTATGGGATTCTGGGGAGGCAAGGTCCCTCTGCCATTCTGCCCCGATGATGGACACGAGGGTCTACGCAAGAACGTCGAGTTTCTGCGAAAGCACCGTGAGGCTGTTGGCCCCGACTTCCCCATCATGGTCGATTGCTACATGAGTTTGAACGTCAGCTACACTATCGAACTTGTCAAGGCTTGTCTCGATCTCAACATCAACTGGTGGGAGGAGTGCTTGTCACCTGATGATACCGATGGCTTCGAGCTCATCAAGCGCGCACACCCTACTGTCAAGTTCACCACAGGCGAGCACGAATACTCCCGATATGGTTTCCGCAAGCTTGTCGAGGGCCGAAATCTCGATATCATCCAGCCCGACGTCATGTGGCTTGGTGGTTTGACCGAGCTTCTCAAGGTCGCAGCATTGGCTGCTGCATACGACGTCCCAGTCGTCCCCCACGCCAGTGGTCCTTACAGCTACCACTTCCAAATCTCTCAGCCCAACACCCCCTTCCAGGAGTATTTAGCCAACTCTCCCGATGGAAAGAGCGTGCTGCCGGTGTTTGGAGACCTCTTCATTGATGAGCCAATTCCTACCAAGGGTTACCTCACCACCGCCGACCTGGACAAGCCTGGGTTCGGACTGACCATCAACCCCGCTGCACGAGCCAAGCTCATTCCTAGCGATTACCTGTTCAAGGTCCCTGAGATACCTCAAAGCCTTTCAGCTGGTAACGAAAACAACTCGAGCGAGCAGTCTAGCAAGCCCAATGGAACTCTTGACTCTTTGGCCGCTAAAGTGGAGAGTCTTAAAACGTCGACAAGTTCTTAAAAAGGCGATCATCTTATAGAGGGACTTGCCATGATGTTTGCGGAGGAATTTCGTATTAGGTCTGTGGTTATGTTACTGCTTTTGCGACCACGGTATTGGATCTAGCGAAGAAAAATGTGGGTTGCATTTGTAGGTGTTGATTGATATTGTAAATAGATAGGACCCGTATTGAGGGTATTGCATGACATCTTAGTTACAAATTATGAGAAATGAAACCACAATGTGTTTGTTCCTAAGATCTATGATTGAGATGACCAAGAGCGCGTGAGGGTTATGCATGCACATGAACAGAGCTGGTCACTTTTCGTTCGATGCTGTATTCTTTATCTTCGAATAAGCTTGTTGTGCCTTGGGCCCATTCTTGATGCCCCAGCTGTGTATATCCCATACCCCCAGTCCCCCAGCTAAATGGAAGCTTAAGAAATGGAGGGGGGCAGTTTCTTCTGTCCAAAGATTTTACTGAGACGTAAGTACTTACCTATAATTACCTGGATTACCTGGGTAGAGGTGCAAGTTGCGTACAGTCAGACGGGGTAACGTATCAAAGAGATTAAGCCGCATTTGTTAAGCTAAGAAAATCACACGATCTTGATAATGCGGCCGAAACAGTTGTGGTGTGCATGCACCCTGCAGAGCGGATAGATGCGAAGTTGACAAGTGACTGGGGAATGAGGATACATCGTGAGTGCCTTTTTCTGGGGTCAAACGGTGACCGTCTTGAGCTTGAGCCACTACAAGACGGTGGCCGTTCAGAGCGCCAGTGGCAAAATCTCACGATCTACTCTGTACCTAATACTGAGCCGACCCAGTAAAGAGCCGTTGGCTTGAGCGTCTGGGTTCCAAACTCCAGGGTTTTGTGGGAACCGATCGTATTTAGGCTACAGGGGATTATCGAGATTCGATCCATCATAAAGAGGTCCACGATCATTTTTACATATTTCTCTGGTGTTTCTTCTTCCGAGGTTACAGCAGGTGAATTTGAATCACTATCTTGGTAAGAATTTCTCTCCACAATGGATCCATACCTAGGCACTCCAAACTTCTGGCCCAAAAAGTTCTCAGCCAAAAACTCTCCATCCCATTTCTAACCAGCACTTCCCCGCCGGTGTCTCGCGTTAAAACGTACCGAGACAGCGACCAAGACCCCATCATGAGCAGTAAATCTGATTTGACCCATGATTTCTCGCCAACTGTTGCACCGAAGCCCTCCATCGCAATCGTCACAAAAAGGTCCAGAACTGTGTCATGAGTTGGGGGCTTCGGCGTAAAAGAGGCACATTTCTCTTGTCCCACCATTTGCGCGGGTCACGATGGATGCTCACCATCAAAGAGGAGGGTCAATTCGGTACTATTAAGAGCCGTTTGCCGGAAATGAGGGGAAGATCATACAAATAATCAATCGAGGGTTCTTTCACTTTTCTTCATCACAAACCATAGCAATAAGGAAACCATTTCAAAAGTCTCAGTACCTTAAACCATTGTCTACGAAGCTCTCCATTTCACGAAACGACCCCTCATTTTTGGCAACAAAACAACGAGTCAGCTAGAGCAAGAGAAAGCGACCGAAAGTCGAATCGAAAGTCGCGAACCCTAGTGAATCTTATCAACAAGAAACCCCAGCAGTTGGCGGATTCGCATAAACCATTCATCATGTTGATGCCGGCGGGTCTTCTCGCCAACAAGACCGCAATCATCACCGGCGGTACCACTGGAATTGGCCGTGCTATCTGTCTCGAGTTTCTGCGACAAGGTGCCAATGTTGTGGTCAATCATCTAGGTCTTGAAAAGGACCAAGTGCACCTCGACTCGCTTATCGCCGAGGCCGACGAAATCCGAAAAGCATCACCCACTGCTGGACATCTGGAGCACCAAGAAGGCGACGTTCGCGACCCAGCGACAGCAACAGATTTGGTCAAGAAGGCTGTAGAACATTCCACAAAGAAGCGGCTTGACGTGTGCGTATCGAACGCTGGTATCTGCACCTTCGCTGACTTTCTGACGCTCGAGCCGGACCTGCTTCACTCAACGGTGCGAACAAACCTGGATGGTGCCTTCTACGTGACCCAAGCTGCTGCAAGACAGATGGCGCTTCATCAAGAGCCCAAGGGAGGAAGCATTATCGGTGTCTCGTCCATCTCTGCGCTTGTTGGCGGTGGTCAACAGACACATTATACACCCACCAAGGCGGGCGTATTGAGCTTGATGCAGAGCACGGCGTGTGCCCTAGGAGAACACGGCATCCGGTGCAACGCCCTTCTTCCCGGCACAATCCGCACGCAACTTAATGACGCAGATCTGGCTGACGACACAAAGAGAGCTTACATGGAAGGCCGTATCCCTCTGGGCCGTACAGGTTCGCCCTCTGATATGGCTGGTCCGGCCGTCTTCCTGGCGTGTCCAGAGCTTAGCGGATACGTGACGGGTGCACAGCTTCTCGTTGACGGTGGTCTGTTCGTCAATCTTCAGTGAAGGAGAGAAGATTAAGCTCGTGGGGAGAAATGGGGATATGGAGAAGTGGATACGTGGAGGCGAAGCGCTATGGAAATCGAAGCGAGACCAAAACCTGGAGAATTATGGAAACGAGATAACCACCATCAACATGTTGTTCCTTGCTTGTGGAGAAGGGTCATTTCTAGTTGCGCGGGGAATTGCCTGCTTGAGTCGTGAAGTTTCTGACTCGTGGAGCCTGACGGCTTTTTCTCGAATGAATGTATTGGATGTCAGAAATACCCTAGCCTGGATGTCCATTTGTGCAACGGGCAACTTTCTCTGTATAGTACTGTACAGTACTCGGAGACCCGGTGCGGCGCTATCATGTCCGGGGTCGCGGGGCCGGGCTTGGACGGCCAGACGGCGTCGGCCGGCTGCTTCAGTTTTCGTTCTTCTGCGCATGAAGTGTGGATCGATGCCTAATCCGGGATTACCCTGTGAACTTGTACAAGTTGAAGAGGAGAGAGGATGTGACAAGAGGAATATCCAAGCATGTTCGTTAGTTTGCATCAAAACTATGAGCAATCCGCATATCGCGGCTTTTTCCTCCCGTAAGACAACATGAGCTCGATGTAGAGCGCTGCGAATTGAACTGTAGCGTGCAACTGTAGATCTCTGCGCAATCCGCCTCTATCACACCCTTTTTTCCCTGTAATGTTTTGAGGCTGCCATACCGTTGTCTTGACCCTCCATCACAGATCAAGGAAAACGTGAATAATATCCCGTCCGATTCAGAAGGGTGCTGAACGGCAGCGGGAGGATTTGGTCGTAACGAGTAAATGATAAGCAGGAGGTGGCTAGGATCTTGGGCGGGAGTCGACCGAGGCTGTACACTATACTTTGGCCAAGACAACGCCTTGCATGGGCTTGCTGGTTACTGTTACCTACCAATCTCTTGGATTTTTTTTCTCTTGGATTTTTTTCTTGGTGAAGAGGCGAGATATCTCTTGTCACGGCAAAGTCTGAACTCTGTTTGCTGAGGGTCTTGTTTTCTAGAAATTCTTTACAGGGGATGTAGTGACATCACGCATTGCTGTCAACGTCAAAGAAAACAGCCACCAAAAAGAAGTTATTCCCATGGCTCTCAGGCGAGGATAGAGAACCTACCGTACCGTATCAGTCTTACCCACCGTAATGTGATACATACCTAAGTAAATTCACACATCAAGCAGATACGGCAACCATTCCTCACTGTTTTCTCCAGTATTTTTTGCCGTATTTTCCCCTCATTATTAACTTCGTCCGACCACTGTTCTCCATCAAATACAGGGATAATACAAGGAATAGTGGTATTAATCGCGCGCATACCCCGCGAAGACGAGAACGTTGAATCGAGACATATCGAGACTGCCAAGCGTATTGAACCATGATCCCAGTATTAGCAGAGGTTCTTCGCGGTCGACTCAAAAGGCCGTCGCCGCCAAGATAGAGAAGTACAGTAGTTCAACGAATAGATGTTCTTGGACAACGTAAACAAACGACCAGACAGATAACAGGGCATGACAAGGGAAGCGCATGCATGCTTAGCTCATCGATGGTACTCTCATGTAAGAGTAAGACGGGAAAACGGTACGGTGACCATGACGATGATGACTACCGTATCAAGACGACCTCGACAAGCAAAAGCGCCAAAAGGTTGAGCTGAGCCGAGCCAAGACCAGCCAAGCCAAGCTCGGCTGGACTGAAGTGGCAGGCCGGTCGTGGTTCAGTGACATGCACGCAGCCCACACAGCCTGAACTGCTCATGGACGAACCCTTCTGGCGTACAAGGACCCTGTGTGCCTGTACTGGGTGCACTATGCAGATCTGGTCCCGATCCAGGTGATAACGGCTATCTCTTGACCGCGTTTCACATGCTTTCAGGGACAGATCTCTTTGAGTTGTAGTTTGTGTTGCAGCAAGTCATGTTGTGCAACCATGGTTTTTCTCCTTAATTCCTCCTGTTACAGGAATTATGAGTATGTCATCTATTGCGAGTGCGTAATGTCGTATTTCTTGCTCATGTCAAGATCACACAAGGAATTGGCGATTGCTGTGCAATGTAACACTTTTCTGGTATGAATAATCTTTTGCTGATAGCGCCAACCGAAAGTGCCCGTCAAAGACCGCAAGGTGGATGACCGAGCCCACCGGTGGGGCCGTTCGGCGTGGCTGATAGGGCTTCGGAACGGACTGGAGGGGCATTAGCGGACCCTGAGCGGACCCAACTTGACGTCACTCAAACAACGGACCGAAACTGTGCGCGCGAAATAAAGAGCAAAAAGTACGAAACGGGTACCAGATTGGCACAGAATAACGAACCGAGTCTTGATTCCACAGGAGATAGTGGAGGCAGGAAGCTGCTTGCATGCATTTCTACCGTCGACAATGCCTCTTCCTCTGACGGTGACCGTATTGGCGTCATGGATGCGGTGCTTGACGGTGGATACTTTTTGATACAGGTCGAGTACTGAATCCGGTTTCCCTCACGCATCGCGCGCTTGATGTCGTCGGCCTTGCATTAATTCTCACGCCGAGAGTCAAGTAGCGGTACAGTACTTACTGTATGTAGGTAGCCCCTGAAAGCAGCCATCTCGTAGGTGAAGCTCAGGGGATGCTGCTTTGACTGGCTGTAAATTGCCGATATAAAGACCCTGATTGGCGATACGTACATGATAGTACCTCGTCAAGGAGCCTCAGGGTCCACACCACAAGAATATTTCTCTCGACGGTACGGTATAGGTAAATGATACGGTAGAGGTACAGTACAGCATATCTTTGCCGTTCAAAGACGCCACAGTTCTACACCGTTTTTTGCGGTGTCTGATACGATTCAAGAAACTCTGATAGCCAGATTAGAAGACGACAATCAATTGGCGATCAAAGCCATGTCCAACGTCTCACAGACAAAGATGATGACTGAAAGAACATGACAATGTGATACATTACAGTACAGCATGTACAGCTCCAGTTGCGTTATTTACAAGCCGTTGACTGACAAATAACAACAGGGCAGGCATGAAGTGTTTCGTATCTGGTCTGGTCGGTCATGACGTTCAGTCTGTGCGAAGTGAAGTTGAGAATGGGGTTGTCTCTAGTGCAGAACCCAGTGCACAGGTACGCCAGAACAAAAACATGATAGCCCGCCCCAGCCGCGAAGGGGAACAGCAGGTTGCCAGAAGCTAGCGTAGCTAATACGCTGGGTCGAGGCGCATCACAGCAGGGAACAGCAGGTACCCAGTACCCACTCACCTGGCTCTGACAGGTACCTTTGTTGCCCAGACTAGAAAATGGAAGGAACCAACGCCGTCATCAACATCCCTTACCTCATACTGTAAAGTTTTTTTTTCTCCTGCTACTACACTACAACCAAAACATCACCATCACCAAGCTGTGGAACCCTTATTGTGGGTAAAGGAGAATTATCCATGTGCTTGCCACGGTTTCAATAGACGTGAAATGACTCGGTTATTGGACCCCGAGCTACGTATCGACGGGCGTCTACCGAAGATGCCAGCCATGCCGTGCCTTGTCTTGACATGGATACCTGATACCTACCTTTTGTTGTCGATTCGATATCGATCAGAGGCCACAGCCAAGATGACGCCTTGCTCGATGACTGTTTCCTCAGGAATCTTACGTACCTGCCAGTTGCTCTCCGCTTGACAGCTAAATCTATAAAGCCCCGGATTTCTCCCACCGTTCTTGACGGTAGATATCATCATTCTCCATCATTCCCCAGATTCCATATCCACTATCACCATCTACACAAATAGCTCGACACTCCCGAGTAATTCATCGACTATCTCAAACATCTTTGTTCGACCTTCCAACCACTTCTCAACCTCACGCGGCTTAATCGATACGCGTGCGCCTGAACAGGACCATCTTCGTTCTTACACAACAACCACAACAACCACAACAACCACAACAACCACCACAATGTCTTCACAACAGACCGAGTTCTTCAAGGACAACCTCCCTGCCCAGCGCGAGGTCACCACTCCCGATTCTGTCCCTAGCTCTCCTGAGCTCGGAAGCTCCAGCTCCAGTGACAGCATTGCCAGTCTCGGATCTCCCGCCTCCCCCCTCTCCCCTCCTGTTTCCCAGCCCGTGGCAGACTCTTTTGTCTTTGCCTTCGACATCGATGGTGTCCTTGTCCGCGGTGGACGAGCCATTCCTGAGGCCCTCCAGGCCATGAAGGTCCTAAATGGCGATAATGAATACGGAATTCAAGTGTAAGTCGAACCATCCACCATATGCAGTCACGATCCACTATCCCCGGATTTATTCTGGGGAGATCCACATAATAACGGGCATCGTGATTTTTGCCTGGGTGTCACAACATGATACTAACACACCTTGTAATAGGCCTCACATCTTCCTCACCAACGGTGGTGGTAAGACTGAAGAGGAGCGATGCAATGATCTCTCCGGCCAGCTCCAGTGCGATATCAAGCCTGGCCAGTTCATCTGTGGCCACACTCCCATGAGAGAGATGGCTGAGAAATACGGAACCGTGCTTGTTGTCGGAGGTGAGGGTGAGAAGTGCCGACATGTTGCTGAGGGCTACGGCTTCAAGGATGTCGTGACCCCTGGCGACATTATCAAGCACAACGCTGCCACCACTCCTTTCCGCAAGCTCACTGATGAGGAGCGTCGCAACTCCCGAGACCGCGATTTCACCGACGTTGTCATTGACGCCGTCTTCGTCTTCGCCGACTCTCGCGACTGGGCTGGTGATATTCAGATCATGCTCGATGTTGCCATGTCCAAGGGTGGCCGCCTCGGCACCCGTAGCGAGACCAACGACGAGGGTCCTCCCTTCTACTTCTCCCACAACGATGTTGTTTGGTCCGCTGCTCACGAGCACGTTCGTCTTGGAATGGGTGCCCTCCGTCGTATGTTCGAGGTTACTTTTAAGGACCTCACTGGTGGCAATGGTGTCCTGCACACCCATGCTTTCGGCAAGCCTCAGGTGTCTACCTTTGAGTTTGCTTCCCGTTTGATGGGTCAATGGCGACAGACTGAGCACGGCCTTGTTGCTCCTCCCGACACTGTTTACTTTGTTGGTGACACTCCCGAGAGTGATATTCGAGGCACCAACGCTGTTAACAAGGTTGCCGACAATGACTGGTACAGCATTCTGGTCAAGACCGGCGTCTACCAGGATGGCACTGAACCCGCTTACAAGCCTCGCGTCACCGTTGAGAACGTCCTCGACGCTGTCAACCACGGCATCAAGCGCGAGATGGACAAGAAGGCTGCCAAGGGTCAGATGACCAAGCCTGCCCTTGTCCCTGAGTCTGGCATCACCGAGATTGCCGTCGATATGGACGGCATCACCATTTAAGCTACCCACCTACATTCTTATCTTCACATACATTACTTTGGGATAACACCTTTTTTTCTTTGGGAATTTGACGGAGTTATGGGATTTCTTTTGTTGCAGCACAGCCATGCGATATGAACTTTCCTTTATACGCATCTGCATTACGGCTCTTTGCAGGTGCCATGAGCACACTACACCTACAAGTCTTGGAGATCTGATAGAACATACAACATCTGGATAGACGGATGAGTTCTAGATTCGAGGCTTTTCATCTTATCTAGCTAACTTCTTACCTACCTATGATGCACCACCCACCTATACCCTGATGAGCATCACATCAACCCTATAGAATAGCATAAAGATAGAAAAATTCAAGGCTCTTACAATATCTACACAACTACCATTTTGCAATGTGATTGGAAAGTTATAGTCTTCACAACAAGTAATGCACTTCTATCTCGAGCAAGTTAGCAAGTACTTATATTAAGTGAAAAGTAAACTATAAATGTGCAACTGTGAAAGCCGTGGTCATCGAGTAATGTAACGGTTAAGCTTACTCCTTCTGCTATACTTGATTGACACAGCTACATGGCATGTTCAAATTCTCGATCCTCTCGATCATGATATCGATATCGAGATCAAAGAGGTTCCCCATTCTTAACCCCACCAAGCTGTTTCGTAACTCGGTCTCGGTAGAAGCCTACTTGTACCCATCTTTCACGACCGAGGCTGATGAGGCTCAAACTTGATGCCAAATCTTGCTCAAAAAGTGGCTCAGTTGGCGTCAGAGCTCGTTTTGATGGAGATCCTACAATATAAACGACCCAATATTCCTTCACGAGGTCCTTGCTGAGGCTGTGCCTGCCCATGGGGATCAACACCAAATACTGGGGAATGTGAGTGAGGCTCACGATGACGAATATGCGGAACAGGTTTGTGACTCAAATCGCATGATACAATCTGGACGGTCCACATGCATGTTCATCAGTTTCCCTGCACCGGTTGGCTTATCTATAGACAGTTTGCTATGATTTTCATCGTGATTGCATTTTCCCCGGATGAGCTTTATACGTCAGTCCGGAGTAGACCCATACTGACCGAGAAGAACATTTTGGGTAATCCGAGATTATGTGGACTCATTCTCAACTACACTCACTGCTGGGTCGCAGAAGAATTATCTTCCAAGCCTTGGAGCATCAGAAACAACCGGTCTAAGGACTGGTCTAGCTCGTATACAATTATTCCGTTCCCGAGGCTCTTAGTGGTTAAGTTTCCTGGTGCCGTGACGTCTCATCTTTCTCCATATCGTCGGTGTATACAACCTCTCCTTCATCCCTTCCAGGCGTGTCATCACCTTCTTTGAAGGTATATCCTCCCCACTGCGAGGAGGCTACCCATCCAGCCGCGTCCACGACATCCTGTCTCTGTTTCTGCTGATCCAGTGCTTCCTCTGCGCTGATGCCCATCGCGAAGCCGCGCACATTCTCGCGATCAACCCGTAGCCATCCCTTCCAGCCTGCCGAAATGTCACCAGCCCCTGGGCCACCTACAACGATAGTCCCCCACCATTCACGACCAGCGCTTGCCCGTGCTACATCGCCATAGAGAAGAACCCCCTCTGTCTCGGCGATAAGAGTCCGGGTATGTTCTGGGTCGCTTCGAGCTGGTCGTTGAACATAAGCGTGCTGCATATGAGATGGCGAACAGGTTAGGCGTGTAGCGTCGAAACGACCTTCGATGTCGACGACGAGAATAGCATAGGAATGAGGAGGGCTGACAAGATCTGATACAAGTTTATACAGGAGCGGGAGGTAACGGCCAGAGATCCCGATACCTGCAGCTTTGGTAGTGTGGAAATGAGCAGCAGCAATTTCGTCGAGCGGTGATATATGTGTGAGTTTTGTTGGTTGAATTTGAGGTTGTTGAACCTGAGTTCTGGTGCCCAGCACATTCGGCAACGATGAGACGGATGAACGCAAGCTTCGAAGCATCTGTTATTATAATTCAGTAACACATTCGAACAAGTATATGTATGAATATAGAGCGAGAACTCAAACGCAGACGTGCTAACTAGGTAGGAAGACTGGGTAAGGTTTCATGTGTATGTAAACTTGACAGCTGCGTGGCAAGAATCTCGAGATTATATGCTGAAAAGGCTTGAAAATAGCTCTGGGACATGAATGAGCTCAGAAAGATTATTGCGCGAGTTCCATCTCTTGTGTTGCTTATTTTCATGATAATCTTCAAGCATGGTCGACAATGGGGTGGTGATGTGTGATGAGCAAGGCCTAAAACGGCAAAAAGCTCAACCTGGACTGACTGAATATTGAACTCACCTCTTCCAGACTCAACTCCTCAACCTCTCCCAGCAATCGACTCCCAGTCACCGCCTCCATCGTGAAAAACACTGAAGTCGATCTTCTACCTGAGAAACTCCAAAATCAAATGATATTTGCGAGTCACGATCACTATCGCCTTTGAAAATGGGCTACCCGTGTCAAGTTTTCCACGCTTCAGAGCTTCCTGAGCGTGTCCAGACCAACCTGAGCGGTCGCAAACGCAAGCTAGACCAGGGCGCCAAGAATGTCGATCTAAATGGTTGCGAGCTCCTCGAGATGCTGCAGTATAAATGCGAGATCAAGGAGCCTGTCAAATGGGATAGCCCTGTGCAATGTTTCGCCGTTGAACGACTATTTCGAAAGTGAGTGTTCCCTCTGCGACTTTCCCTGTCCTGTCCTAGAAAAATATGGCAAGGAAATAAAATATTCTGACTTTTTGCTCGTGCAGATGTCAAGACAGGAAGGGTTCGTTTATGATTGAGACAACAGCATGGGAGGGCAAAGATTATCCTGCCGAGGGACGGAAAGGCGATGATGGGAAAGATGGCAAAAACAAGGCACCTCCTCAGCACTACCACTGGTCTTCAAGTTGGCACTCACCCGACACAGCAAGATGAACTTGATGAAAATAAATATTGTTTATTCGTTCTACGACTTTTGTTGCTGCAATCCGACAGTATCTGCGGTTGGCTCTAGACGATATGTCTTGCTCTATCTTGAACACGCGCAAATCACCAAAGCAAAGCCGCCATTGATTTAGTTATCTGGGCCAAGCTAATTATACTATCTTACCTATAGGTCGAGCCAAAGTGATCGAAAAACATCAGGGGATGTATGCTTGCTTGAACGTTAGAGGAGCATTGAACCATCTGCAAGACTGTCACAGCTTGATGACGGCATTGTCGGAAAGGGCCGAGGCCGTTCTCCAATTGGCATCCATCCTCAGTCCTCGAATTCTGCGATAACTGCTGCTTTGCCAATCACAAAACATACCTAGCTTTGTGAGTCGTCTCTGTAACAGAGTCGCGATGCTGGTATAATAACGAGTGCATCCTGGTGACTCATTCTCGCAATCTCCAAGGATCGTCAACTCAGCACGAATCGCATTCCCATCACATGTCACTCTGCAAATCCTCTCAAAATTGATCAAAAAGCACATCACGACTCGGTTGCCCTTGTATATGGTATAATTTGTCCAGCGATGGGTTTGGATGAAGCCTCGGTGGTATTTTGCTTTCTACCCACCTACACGACAAACGAAACATTGGCTAGCCGCCTCTATGTGCAGTTCCCATCTTCCCCTATGCCCCAGCTTTAAGTGACGCGATTTCGAACTTGGCATATCTTTGGTTTACTCGTCCTTCTGGGCAGCTCGCTCCTCCTCGAGCTTGATATAGTAGTTGTCGCGGGCGTTGGTTCGGGGCATGTGATAGCCGTACCTGTGTCGGAATGGTGAGTCTCGTAATCTTGCCTATCGTGTCGCTTCATCGATGATTTCCCTTACCAGAAGAAGTTGGCCATGACGAAACCGGAACCTGCGACGTTGCTGGTCAGCTTGTTGCTCTGATCCTCCAACCAACCACATCACACGAATTGTCAGCTGCCCAAAGAATCCTCCTCTTTATAGATAAATTGCCAATTGATGCAGTCTGACTTAATTCGTAGTAGGATTCGACATACCGAGGGCGATGCTAAGGTCCAGGACGAGGTTTCGTCGGAGCATCTAGCGCAAATGTCAGTCCACGAAAAGCTCTGGTAGCAGGAGGAATTGGGGCTCCTCTCGCCCGGGCGACTGCGAAAACCGAGCCATTGAGTCGGGGAAAACGTACACCGGTGATGGGCTTGACGGGCATTGTGGCTGATTTATTGATGCGAAGCTGTTCGGGAGAAGGATCGGAGCTCTCGAGGGTGGCAGAGGTGCTTGGGATTTCGATGTGGTCAATCAGTTCCAAGATGATTCCGAAGATGGGCTGATGTTAATCGCGCTAGAGCACCCGAGTCACGTGCACCCGCCTGCTAACAGTTCTGTTCCGATACCCATTACCATCTCACTAAACCCCACGGCTGAACAGCGGCAAAATACACTACGGAAAAGAATCTCGTCCGTTGAAACGACGCTCTGCTGCACGACACATCCAGCGAGAGCGACTCTAGAGAGACTAATTGGTTTGCAGAGCCCGACGATATCTGCAACCATGAGTCTCCGACTGGCCGCCCAGAGGCTGGCAGTGTCAGGTACGACAATACCGTTCAATTGGCGATGAAAGTTGTATAAACTAACACAGAGGGCCTTTCTACAGCAAGAACTGCGCATCCGGTACCCAGCACACCAATTCCCGTCCTCTCCGCAACCTTCGGACCTACAGTTCAGCGACGACATAAATGGGCCTCAAACCTCTTCAAAGGATGGGGCAAACCACGAAATAAGGGCGCCGAGACCGTGGCTTCCCTGGATCCTACGTCTCAACTTGACAACCCCAAGAGCCGCGAGGAGTATCTTCAAAAGAGCATGTACAGTGGCGTGGAGGACAACATTTTCCAAGACGAAATCGAGACAGGAACTTCGGAAGCCGCCGCACCTGGCACCCCTGAGATCGAACAAAAGACGAAGGAGAGCATGGCCATGGTTGTGGACCCCGATCCTCGAAGCCGAGTTCGCTGGCAGCGAAAGAAGGTCATCCAGATGGTCCGTCGTAACGGTCGTTTGACCAAGGAAGAGCGTATCCAGATGACAGAGCGACAGCTCCTGCACAAGAGCGAGTTCATGCCCACAAGTGTCAAGAAGCTCGTCATGCTGGCCCGTCAGATCGCTGGCAAGACTGTCGACGATGCTATTCTGCAGATGAAGTGGTCAAAGAAGAAGATGGCGGCTGAAATGGCATACTATCTTGAAGAAGCCCGCGATTTGGCTGTTGCTCAGCGGGGAATGGGGCTTGGAAAGTTCAACGACGAAATTTTGAAAACGCCCAAGAAGATACAGACTATCGACGGAAAGTGGCTTGAGATTGAGGACCCTACACGCATGTACATCGCTCAATCGTGGGTTGGAAGAGGACCCTGGCGAGGAAAGAGAATTGACTACAAGGGTCGAGGACGCATGGGTATCATTAGACATCCCAGCACAAGTACGTTCCATGCCATTTTCGGTATATCTTTGAATTCAGAGACACTGACAACCATTTAGGTCTAACTGTCTTGCTCAAAGAGGAGAAGACAAGAATACGAGAGCATGAGGAGCGCGTGGCGAAGAAGAATAAGAAGGGGCCCTGGGTGCATCTGCCCAACCGACCTGTGTATGGACAAAGACCATACTACTCGTGGTAAACAAGATGTTTGTCATATATATCACTGAAGCTCGAAAAAAGGGACGGGGAATTCAAGGGTAGAAAAGACCACTGTATAATTTCTCTTAGAAACTTGTAAGATATGTACAATGAACAGGATGTACACTTGATGAAAGTTAACATGGAGGCTCAAATGCCCCAACGCAAAAGATGACGGCTTCATTTTGTTCAAACATGGCTGCGGCCCTTCCGAAGGTGATTTTGTGGTATCTTGACCGTTGAGCAACCGTATAACGCCGTTCAAATCAAAACTTGGCTCGATATAAATGTCATTTACACTCGTAATTCGCAGACCCTGCAAACGCACTGTCATTATTAGGACCATTACGATTGTTAATGGCCATGAGTGCTCGTAGGCTGGCCGGCTGGTCTGGTGTCACGAGGCATTGTTGTGCAATCGATAGATTGAATGGAATCGTTTGCAATATATTGGTTTTGCTTGTGCCCCTGTTTTAAAACGCCGGAATTTCTTAAAAAGTGAACTCAAACCATATGTCGGGGTTCCTCTCGAGGAAGCATATCCTCATATCGATGGGACATAAGTTCAAGATCATATCCGTGCTTCTCGCCAATGGAGCCTTGATCAGGTGCAGGATAACTGCGGTCTCTGACAGTCATAGGGGGCGACATGTCGTCCATGTGTCCACGTGTAAGGTTCTGCTGGTTCTGACGTTTCTTCCAAAAGAAGAAACCAGCCGTACCGAGAAGAGCGAGGACACCAATAGTAACACCGATACCAACACCAGCCTTGGCACCGCCAGACATTCCACCTGCAGCAGGTTCCTCCTCGTCTTCATCATCTGTCGAGTCAGATGTAGCGGCAGCACCAGCGGCTTCGGAAGTTGCAGATGAGTTATCGGCATCAGTGGCAGAAGCAGATGGTTCAGCAGAGGCTTCATCAGAAGCTTCAGCAGTAGCCTGCTAAGCATGTCAATAAATACACATCTCGAATCAAGTGGTGTTGCTGTCAGTTCTTACACTAGGTTCGACCACATCAGATGCAGTAGTGGGAGTAGCCTCGGGTACCTCAGGTGCCTCTGTCGCAGGGGCTGCTGAGGACTCTGGAAGGGCTGCGGGAGTCGTTTCAGCGTTGGTGGGTTCAGGTGCAGCAGCACTTTCGGATGTCGCTGCCGCTGCATCAGATGTTGCTGCGCCCTCAGTAGGGGTTGCGGCAGAGGCCGGCAAAGCAGGCACTTGTTGACCTTGGGTGCGTTAGTTTTGTATTCTGGAAGGCAGATGGAGCGCTCTCTCTACGGGAAACATACCAACACAGAATCCATTGCTTATGCCGTTGGTGATGGCATCATCTGCAGCAGCACACTCAGGTGCTCTTGCGCATTCGGCAACACCCTTCACAAAGTCGTTTGAAACACAAACACAGCTGGCATCAGCGGGATTTGCACAGCCAATAGTGGGCTTGACATTCTCGACACAGGCGTTCTTGAGGTTATCAGCATTTGTACGTAACTGGATCAAATGGCTCACTGGAAGCTACAACTTACAATACAATCCTGAGCGTAGACACCAAACGTCTGGAGGGCGCCCAGCGCCACAACGGTTGAAAGAGAAAAGCGCATTTTGAAAGGGTCTGGTAACGGAGACGGATCCCGTTACTTGGATGGATAGTTGAAGTACCAGATCCGGAGTAAGTAAATGGCCTTCGTTGGCAGATAGTTGGAATCGAAAACGAGCCGACTGAATCGATAAGTACTTAGGCAGGTGGTTGAGCGCGTGAATCGGCGGAAGGTGCGGTGACAATAGGTAATGCCGACAATATCGTATCGAAGCCAATAAATGCCTCAGGATGACCCAAGTATAGTTGAATATCCAGAGACGTCGGAAAAGAAAGCCTCAAGCAGAAAAGAAAAACGAGAGTCAGACAATCGGGTTGCGTGTAATGTCATGTAACAGCAGGCTTGGTCTAACGTGGCACTCGATGCAGCAGCGGATGCAAGCCTCCGTGATAAATACGAATGGTTGAGTGAGTAGTCGAGCGAATGAGGTTTATTGTCGTCTGCCAGACCAATAAAGAATTCGAAAAGACAGGTACGGAAAAAAAGCAAGGAAGAATATGAAGAGAAATCGACCACAAGGAATGACTGAGTTGGGACACTTGAAAGAGTGAAAGAGTCCAACGAAAGAAGATGGTCGTGAGAGAGCGAAGTCGGTCGGTGTAAAGATGAAAATACAAAAGTAGAAGAGAAGCCGTTCAGCAACGTAACAGGATAGTGTGAAAGAGAGAAAAGGTGGGTTAGGTCAAGTAGAGAGAGAAAGAGAGACAGCCAAGGGATAAATGAAATGAAATGAGATGAGATGAGATCAAGTGAGTGAGAGACCCCAGCGTACCTAGCTAACTAACAGTACCTAAGGTAGTGGCAGTACCGTAGCTGTAACTGTAATTGTGAGGGAGAATGGAATGGATTGAAAACAAACTGGGGGACCTGGTAAATTGCACTGAGGTCAGAAAGAATGCAGACCCTGGGGCTTGTCTGAGAGTTTGAGTCTGAGAGTCTGGGAGTTGGAAGGCAGGACAGTTAATTATGAACAAATATGAATCTGATACGACCCAGCTTGATGGGTATCAGGTTCCTTCCAGGGGATGGGCATCGTGTTCTATTGGACGAGTTGAATTTTCCCTCGATGCTTGGTGCTCTATTTCTCCTCCTTCTCGTTCTCTTCTTTGTCCAAAAATGGGGTGCTCTGCAGTGTTCTTGTGCCCCTGGTGGCTTGGCTATGCGTCTTTTGCAACACCATCAATGCAATGCATCCATAAAACCAGGTCCGATCCAACGTCAGGTAGCGAAACGGCTCTCAAGCACCCGCCGCCATCAACGTCAATCCGTCCCGACCCCAATAAAGGGGGCCAATCACGCCTTACAGGAAGCAAGCTGTCACCCATTCAGGGTCGTGATAGCGCTGCTAGCGGCGGGGATTTACTGGAGGTCTTGCTGGCGCCAGGTACTAGCGTTCGCTATTCTCGTTCGGGCTATCTACCGCCCAATAAAAATACCCTCTCTTGTTTCATCTGACAACGCTGTTTTGTACCTGCAGACACCATCAAAGATCGTCTTTTTTTTCTAGATCTGTTCGACTAAACGGCGGTTGTGATGACTGCATCCTTTATTTTTTCCCCTTTGTCTCTCTTCTTGCCCATCACTACAGTCCCCAAGTGATAAAATAGGACAGACATCCAGAATCTTAATCTTTGATCATGGTTGTTCATCTATCTCAAACTATTATGCGCCCTGACACGCGCCAGTTACAGATTATTGGCAATGGTTCTTCTCTAACGTAGATGATACCGACACCAGGACCAAGAGACGCCCCGGCCAAACCGACGATTGTGCACTACGGATAGAACAAGATAAAGAGTGCACCTCCGTTGCTAAAAGGAGCTTGAGTTAGGAACACAAAACAGTCAACAAAGAATGTGCGAGCGCCATTTTATGCAACTTATCCACCTAAAAGCCTTTGTGACTTTTATTGGGATGTGCAAGCTGCATCCCGGCAAGCCCATGTCACCATGTCACAGGTCTTGGTCAGAGTTGAGTGCCAACGAGCCTTTGTCTGAAGCGAGAGAGGCAGTGCTGGGTGTACCATCACATCCTGTCGCAAGCCTAGATCTTATGTGCAGACCTCCAGCTTGGAAGGATGGGCGAGCTGAGGGAGGGAAATAGTAGTAATTCATTGATCCTTCAGTAGACGCCAGCCGCAGTGGAGCTCAAATCTCAATGCTTCGTAAAAATGGCCTGATAAATTACTGGAGTACGTTCGATGTACTTGGTTAATTATTATTACTCCCAAAACAAGACCTGCAATAAACTTGCAGTGCTCAACGATTGAAACTGCGACTTCATGACGATGGCACTTAGACACAATACGCGCTGATGCATCGCCATATGTTATCTTTGTGCCCAAAAAGCGGGATAGATTCAGCTGCTCTTTTGCGCCAGCCCTAGAAAACACTGAGGGTGTGCGACAGATACCCTGCATGTGGAGTGACCCAGATCAATCCCAGGGATTCACCAGATCAGCTCGTGTTTCCCAGACCCAACATAGTTATTGATTGATTGATTAATTAAGTACTAGTAGTCTGGTGTCTCCCCTCTTCGGTATAACGAGGCTGACACATTTAATTAGTACATCCCAGCGATAGATGATAGATGCCAGGTTAGTACTGTTTTCTAGCTGTGCAAACAGACAGAACATACTGTAGATCTTATCGATGTCTTTGTTTCATCTGACAGTCGGTGTACGGCAAGCACATTCTTTCAGCTCAGCGAAATACGTACTGCAACTATTGATTGCCTTACTCTAGAATGCGTGGTATACAACAGGCCAGACCAGGACCTGGATTGATCGCCTTAGTGCGAAACATTAGTACTACACCGAACCAAGACATCCATACTGGATACTGCTCAGCTCATTCAGCTTCCTCGGCAGGCCCAAATGATGCTGAAGCGCAGTCAACAAAAAGCCAGGCCGAAACAATTCATATGTTCGCAAAGATTAGAGAACCTCCTACACCTGGACTGTGTACTGGTAAGCGCCTATTCGCCTTTGGATGATCTACAAGAGGCCTCAAAGTTTTGCCTACTTTAGCGGCTGATGTGTTTCTTTGTCCAATGGCGTCCTTTCCCACCATTTCGTCGGTAGTTGTGCAAGCCAAGAAGCCCTACCGCCGCATCTGATATGGGACCTACTTTTGCGTCTGGCGATTAAGCAGCAGTTAAGATGTTTAAGGCCCTGTTGTAATACCCACGGATTTTGTATGTGTGAAGATGAAACTTTTGATTTAACAAGCACCTCAGGCTGCTCAAATACTAAGATTTGAGAGATGGACGATGGAGAGTGTCGTCCTGATCCGTGCATGAAAAAAAACTCTAAGAGCTTAAAATGACCAAAGGCAGAGCGATGTATTGTGTTGCACCGGTGAGTGGTCAGTGACCAGTCAGCCAACAGCCATCGTCGTCATTCTTTCATGTCTACGAGTCGGCTGTCAGTGATGCAGTGCAACCTCGGGCATGGATATCAGTGCGGTAAGTTTTTAGTATAGGTGGACAAGTCCTCTTAGTTTTCTGGCTGCATTGCACTGTACATACCTCACATACATCACTCTATTGAAACACGAGCTGAACTGAACGGTAGTTGGGTAGCTCCCCACCAAAGCGAGCAAGTGGCTGGCTACGTTGCCTCCTTGGCCATTGTGAGGTGCCGGCAATAAGTATTCGGAATCAAGTATTCGGAATCATGTAACCGAAATCTAGACGAGAGATCATGCCTCAAACTCATGCGTGTGATGGTTTGTTCGATCCAATGCACCTTGCAAGCATATACGAGTCTTCTACCTAACCTCTACTCTGTTTCTCAGGGCTAATTACGTGTATCCATCCACTTGTCAGATTGTTTGGGCATGCTGGTTAAGGCCTTGAAGAATATCAAGTCTAAATCAGATGTACATGGCCATGATGCCTTTAGCAACCCCTCGGTTTATGAGGTTTGTGCTGCACCGTTCTTGTATCTCAGGATTCAAGTTGAGATGGATAGAGACACGACGATCAATTCCTACTGGTTGAAATGTTCTTTCGACCCTTGGATTGAAACAGTCGGGGAATTTTTTGGCGGCCGACAACAACTGAGCAGCGGATCGGTTTCTACTTTGACTTTGACCGTGCGCCGGGAATAAGAAATCGGGGTCAAAAAGGACACGACTGGTCAAGAGCCCGTTGCAATAAACTGAGTCGAAACACGGTCTAGACTCTTTGCCCGCTTGTGTCTTTTGGGTAATAGATCGGCTGAAAGCCAACGGGTTCCTCGCGCAGTTGTATCGAGTACCGAGACGTTGATCATTAAGGGAGTCGGGTCTGTCTAGGGGGATTGTCGTTGTTTTGTTTTGCAGGCGGCGCGATAGACGAGGACTGAAACCTTTCAACGCGCTGCTTAAAAGAAAAACAAAACTCCAGATCGGGCAGGTACAGATCTGAGTGAGGATTCAGATCTCGTCAATATGATATTATCTTCAACCCAAAATAGCCTGTTTTAACAGGCAGCCATCCATTCAAATAAGGGTTGCATCAAAAGTACCTCTACCACGCTCTTGCCATTACATCATTTGAACGACCCTCCAGCTCGCTTCCCGTTCTTCTGGGAAAGTACCTACGTAAAATCCCTGCACTGCGCCTGCCTCGCCGGTCCTGTGCTAACTCAACCTTACCTAGCTGGTCCCCATCCCCGGCTCAAGCTGTCGAATTATTGGAAGCAGCTTTTTTTCCTACTCCACGCGCAATCTTCCTAAAGAGTTTAGACATCAATCACTCACGCAACACAGCAATCGCAGTCGCTGGCTGATCAATCCAATCTCAGGGAGCCAGGCCAAAGAGGTCGACAAGCGTTGAAAATAAACTCGAAAGACTTTCTGCTGACTCACATTCATTCATTCATTTATTCACATTTACTTACTCGCTCTTCCTTGGTTCCTTCCCTTGGACCCGAACAACTCCTGCGATAGCGTCGACACGTACACGTTTTTTCGACCTCTCGCTTTCCTGTCTCGTGGTCCAGCAACTACCGCCCGCTCGTGTTACCTGCCGCCCGATCGACGTCTCATGCGCTGCCCGCTACTCAAAGACTATTCCAACCTCCGTGTGATGCACTCTCTGTTCTAATCCACCGACCGCGCGATAACCATGGCGAACCCAATAGGCGAAGAGAATTGGCTGGCCTACCTCGAGGAGGTCGTCCGCAACGCCTCCGACCTCGAGCAGCGAGTCAACGCCGTCGAGCACTACAAGCACGCTATCAGCTCTGAGCCCGGCAGCCTGCGCATTTGGCTGGCCTACTGCAACTACTTTTGGTCCTTGTGGGAAGCTACCCAGATCTCTACAGGAGATGGCTGGTCTGATGAGGAACGCATGCTCGGTCGTGAGCTCTTCACATTCAACGCTGCTCTCGATCTGTGGCAGCAAGGATATGTAGCTATTCGCTACCGTCTCGGCGATAGCCACTTGCTCTGGGATCGTTGGATATCACTTGAGATGGAGTTACTGGCCAAGACCAAAACACCCGAGGGCATCAAGCGCATCACTCATCTGTACCGTGATCGATTGCTAACTCCTCACCTCACCTGGGAGGAGACTTCACAGAACTTTTCGCATTTCCTCACAGAATACAACTATGCTGCGTACGAGGATTCCATGAAGGATGTTACCACTAACGCCCAGGAGACGAAACGACTGATCGCCGCGCGTGACCCATACGAGACTGCCTTGAAGAAAGCTGTAGACGCCGGTGACATCGAAGCTCAAAAAGCTGCTTTCAACACTTATCTCGAATGGGAAATGCTTCAGAGCAAGCGCAGCAACGACAACCCCGAAATTGGAATTGATCTATGCCGTGGACTATATGCTCGTGCTCTCACCGGTGCTCTCGCTACAGACCAAAACACTTGGTACGAGTATGTCGTCTTTCTTTCTTCGTCGAACACCGAGCTGCAAGCGCCAAGCAGCCTCCACGACGTGCTGCAAAGAGCCGTTCAACATTGCCCCTGGTCTGGTCTTCTTTGGAATCGATACATTATGTGCGCTGAGGAGGCCAAACGTCCTTTCAGTGAGGTCGAATCTATCAAACATGCCGCAACAAGTGAAGATCAACTGCTCAAGGATGGCATGGAGGGCATGATCGAAATGTACGTAGCGTGGTGTGGTTTCTTGAAACGCAACGCTATGGACGCTACCGCATCTGACGAAGCCGTCGATGTCGCTGATGTCGGCCTGGGTGCGGCCCTTGAGGATGTGTCGGTCGTCGGACAGCGACTTTACGGCAAAGATTTTCAAGGTGATCCTAAATTTCGACTCGAGCGCATTTATATCCAGTACCTTACGGAGAAGAAGGGCGCCGTAGATGAGGCACGAGCACAGTGGAACAAGTTGGCTTCCCTGCAGATCCACGCCGACAATCATGACTTTTGGTTCCGGTATTACATGTGGGAAATGCTCATTTTCTCTTCCGCCGGTGGACAGGACAACAGAAGTCCCACGCCTTCATCTGGCGGTGGCACTTATCGGATACCGACTCTTGCAACTGCAGTTCTGGCTCGTGCTGTTGCTCGCAGAACCATCGATTGGCCTGAGAAGGTCCTAGAAGTCTATATGCAACACTGCAACGATTACGAGATGCCACTGCCTTTACGAAAGGCTGCTGACCGGATACACAAGACCGGGAAAGAAGTAAAAAAGCGCAGGGAGCGCGAGGATCAAGAGAAGGCAGCGGCCTATGCTGCTTACTACACTGCTCCAGAGCCCGATGAGCCGGAAGTCAAGTCACCAGGTGGCTCAAAGCGGAAAAGGGGCGCTGAAGCCGATCCCACGGACGAGCCTGAAGGCAACAGCAAACGTCAAAAGAATGAACCCAATGGAGCAGGACCTAAAGAAACCACTCCAGTACAGCCTCTAAAGAGGGATAGAGAGAACGCCACGATAATTGTTTCCAATCTCCCTGGAGACGTTACACAGACCAAGGTTCGACAATACTTCAAAGATTACGGTCACATCAACAATGTCACAGCGTTGGTGCGTGACGAAAAAACTGGTTCTTCAACAGCACTTATCGAATTCAGCTCCGTCGAAGAGGCTCAGTCCGCCTTACTGAAAGATGGCAGGTATATGAACCAGTCGCAGCTGTCTGTCAAATCAGGACATGATTTGACCGTTTATGTCACGAATTACCCTCCTGCTGCGGACCAAAACTACATTCGTGATCTCTTCAAAGATTGCGGTGAGATCCTCAGCATACGCTGGCCAAGTCTGAAGGTCAACACTCACCGACGATTCTGCTACGTTTCTTTCCAAGATCAGGAGGCATCAGCAAAGGCCGTCAAACTTGATGGAATAGTGCTTGAAAAGACCTTTAAACTCGTAGTCAAGTATTCCGACCCTGGACACAAGAAAGCTCGAGAGGGTGCTCTTGCGGAAGGTCGTGAGATTCACATCAACAATTTAGATCGATCGACAAACGAGAAAGAGTTGAAAGATGTTTTCTCCAAGTATGGTAAGATCACACGAGTCAACATACCTTTAACTTTGGCTGGAAAGAACAAGGGCTTTGCCTTTATGGATTTTGAAACCAAGGAGGAGGCCGCGAAAGCTGTGGCAGAGATGAACAACACCAATCTTAAGGGTCACGTACTTGCAGTCGCTCTCTCCAAAGAGTCTAAGATCAAGCCGGCAGCCAGAACTGTTGTTGCTGATAATGCAAGAGGCTCCCCAGCACCTTCATCTCATGATGCCGAAGGCGATCAAGCCATGCAGGATGCGCCCAATGAAGCACAGCACAAACCAACTGCGGCTGAGATCTCGGCGAGGACGATTGCATTGATGGGTCTTCCTGACACCGTGAACGATGCGCGAATCCGAGCACTTGTCGAGCCTTTGGGCTCCATCATTCAAATGACTGTGAAGCCAGGCAATGGCGGGGCTGAGATCGAGTTTGCCGATGCAGCCACCGCGGGCAAGGCTAGCCTACAACTGGATAGCATGGAGTTTGATGGACACAAGATTCGGACTGGCACACCGGACGAACTTCGAAGAGCAAAGGCTGAACACGCTCCCGACCGTATCATCACTGGCAAGAAAAACAAGGATCAGGAGCAGAAGGCCAAGGGGCCTGGGGGTTCGTCTACAATGTTCATCCCCTCTACAACCGCTGTCCGTCGCCCAGTGCTGGGGAAGCCTGGCCCACGACGTGGCCTTGGCTTCAAGCCCAGTAGTGCCAAACCTGCCCAAAACGGCGATTCGGACACATCAGTGAAGAAGAGCAATGCTGACTTCAAGGCTATGTTCCTTGCCAGTGGAAAGACTGGAGAGAAAAAGGAAGGCGAAGGAGAGGCCAAAAAGACTGAATCATGAGTAAGGAGTTCAACGCTGATTTTGAGTGCTAGCTACGTGGTGTAGCATAATGTAATTTTATACAGTATTGATGATATCCAGAATTCTAAGGAAAGGAAGGGGAAGGGAAGGGAATGATAGAAGTAACTGTAGAGTATAGCTATCAACTGCAAACAATCATGTCACCAAAAAGAAGCAAAAAGCTCGTCTATTCAGTATTGTCCAGTGGCCTGTCTCACAACGGCTTTAATATTGAATGCCCCCATGTGAGCATGACCAACTATATATACATATCAAGTGGTGTGTTTTTGAAGTTTAGTGATCAAATGCCACCTCTGGCTGCAGTCATAAATGGCAGATCTCATTTGAATACGTCCATATTCACGCCTTGATTGCCATTCCTGTAGCAGATCTATCCTGTCCAAAATCTTGGGTGAAGATTCTCTGCCAAACATCGAGCCATTTCTCTTGCTGAGCAGTAGGCAACTTGCCTGGCTGTTTGAATGACCGCGTCAAAAGTTCACGAAGACGCGTCCGGAGGACCTTGATGACCAACATAGTCTTCCAATCTGGAACAGAAAAACGTCCTCGATTTCCATCGAGAATAATTACTCCGGAATACATCTGCAGTTTCTGGGTCAGCACTTTGTCCACCGACACGAAAAATAATCTTACATCACATCGTACATCGCCGCACAAAAGAGCGATGGCAAATGCTTCCACAGCTGTAGCCTCGTGGGCGTGGTATACCCTGAACTATATGTTAGTTGATGTTGATTGAAGAGACCCCCTGCCGTTGAAGAACTCACGCTCTGGATTGCATGATATGATAGTAAGATAGCCATCGAAGATCAAGACGACCTCGATTGACGGAAGATGGATGGAGGCTGATTGATTGGTTTGTACCAATATTTCTTAAGCCCTTGGACCCTGGCGCATCTCTCACCAGGATCTTGGGGTAGAAACTCCAAGCTATGACCGACGCGGAAACAACGTCGTTATCACTGTTGAGGTTAACTCTACGAGGCATGTCGTAAAATTGCTGCTGTCTTCTTCCTCGTCCACCAGCAAATCGGGCACGGGATAGCGCTCGCCTCTCCTCTTCGGTCAGAGAAAGGAACCCAGAATCAGCCAAAGAAGTCAGGAGTTGCCCCTTGAGGTCTTCGATATTGGCTAGAGTTTGCTGACTCAAGAAATTCTTGCGGCAAAATTGGAACTCTTTTCCACCCCCGCCCGTCGACTGGCACACCCTCTTCCAAGCCAGATAGGCGTTATATATCGTAAGAAGGTCAGAGTCACCTCGACGAAAAGCCATGCGGGCGTTGTCTGCTTGTGTGCGCTGACCGAAGGGTGCAGAAAATGGCGACTTGGAAGATAGAATGGCGGCCACGGTAATGGCCATATCCAAACATTTGAAAATAACGCCATACAAAATCAGCTTACCCAGAAAAACGTCCAAAGGTAGCCTAGCCAACTGATTTCCAAGTGGTGTCAATTCCTCGGCCTGGGTAAGGGCACGAACATCGACGAGCGCGTCAACCGCTCGGCGAATATTCTTTGCTGAGGGCGGATCGAGGGCGTCGCCCAGAGTCTCTTCGATACCTCCAATTTTGCAGATTTTGACTCGAATAGCCAAATCTTGCAGTGAAAGACGGAGCATCTCAGGCGTCTGTTGATCGCTCATTAGCTGATCGTGGCGGAACTTGGTGAACATATGAAAGCATAGGCCTTCTTGCACACGACCAGCGCGACCTCGCCTTTGCTTCGCATTCGCTCGAGAGATGAATGTGTCAATTAGTCTCGAAAGCTGACGCCTCTCATCGAATCGCATCTCGCGGTGCTTGCCTGTGTCAATAACACAAGTAACGTCAGGGATGGTGATACCCGTCTCGGCGATGTTGGTAGCAAGAACGATCTTGCGGATGCCAGGTGGTGGAACAAGAAAAGCCGACTCTTGATCCTCTGTTGCGATGGTAGAATGCAAAGGATAGACAAGCCAGTCCTTGGCGAACCTCGGATCACCGAGCAGCATATCATTCAGTGTGCGGATTTCGGCAATACCTGGCAGGAAGACCAGAATGGCCTTGCTGTAGTCCTGAAGTTGGTCATTGACAGCGATCTGGGCAATCAGTTGAAGAATCAGGTCGAACTCGATCCGGTACTCATCAATTTGAGCCAGTGTGGACCTAGTCCTTGATGAATAGTCCACCAGGCTCTTGGAGATATCACTCTTGATGTTCTCCCCCTCGTTCTCAGCGGGGTCATCATCCAGATCCACCATTTTATCAGGTTCAGAATCCGCAGGCGTATATCTAGTAAGTTCAATGGCATCCTCGATGTATTTGACTTGGACAGGAAATGTTCGCCCAGGAACGTTGAGGACTGGTGCACCGCCAAGGTAAGCTGAGAAACGATCTGCATCGACTGTAGCAGACATAAGAACGACTTTCAAGTCTTTGCGTCTGACGAGTAGCTTTTTTAGAACGATTAAAAGAAAGTCGCTGTCAATTGTCCGTTCGTGTACTTCATCAAGTACCAAATGTGTTACCTCCTGTAGGTCGTTGGAGCCTTCGAGCATTCGCATGACAATACCCGTGGTTGCATACACTAGCCTCGTCTCGCGTGAAGTGTTGGCTTCTAGTCGGATAGAGTAACCGACCAAAGATCTACTGGTCCCCAAGTCATTTCTGTTCTCGCCCAGCTCTTCGCTCACACGACGAGCAAGAGAGATGGCGGAGATTCGCCGGGGCTCTGTGCAGTACACCTTGCAGGGCTTCCCCTGAGAGAGCTGATGCTCGAGTAGGAAGGATGGGACTTGCGTGCTCTTGCCACTGCGCGATAGTTAGTTAACGATTCGAAGCCTAAAGGCGCTAGACACTGTACCATCCAGTTTCACCACAGACAATCACAACCTGATTCTCATCGACAGCATTCAACACTTGCTCTCTAAAGTTCCACATCGGGAGCTGCATTCGAGATTGCTGCCTTGTGTCAGTTTCCACGTCCACTGGGATGTTAAGATAAGTATTTCTTACCAGCATCATTTGAAATTTGCGGGTGCTAGATTTGTCTGCCCAAATCTTCTGGTAGTACTCGCCATTCGTGGTGTTTTGCCTCGAACCGTGATTTCCATCATCGCCTGAGTCTATGGCATGCTTGTTGCCTCGTCCTCGGAATGCCCCTTGAATGATGACACCATCTTCAAGCTCTTGGTCATGACGTTCGCGAACCAAGGCCCTCAGCCCCCTCACCACTTCTCTGTCTTGTTCGTCGACGTGAGCTTTCCGAGCTTCCGCGAGCTCTGCCCAAACATCTTTCCAAACGTGGGGAAGTCTTATAGCAACCTTTTCGTCCTTGGTATTGCCACTAAATGTGTAAAACAAAGCGGCTGTAGAAATGTAAGATTCTGATTGCTTCGAATCTGGTGCGGCGATGCCAGTCATGGTAAACGTGAATCGAAAATGATCTGCTACAACCTCAACGTCTGATGAAGCTGCTGGTGGTGGCAAATCTTGGGGTTTAGTCCAAACAATATCCAAAGAATGGCGGTTGGCAAACGTGGCATCTGACACAATGGTATATGAGATTTTGGCCGATGAATCCCTGAAGTCTCCGGTCAGTAAAGTTATCCTGCAGCGGTGACAACATCTTAATTTACCTTGAGCGACAGGCTTCTTCGAGAGCTCTCCGAGGGCTGATACCTGTTGTTTTACCAAAATCGCGAATCACAATTTGACTGCCATCGGTTGAGTTGACAACAGTACGACTTTCGCCTGTGCTTGCGTCGACCTCATTCTGAGGCAGAGATGCGAATAACCCTCCAATATCGTCCTCGTCATCATCGTTCGCTTCAGCCAATATCTCAGCAGCGATACGTTCAGCTTCATTGTTAACATCACCGTCGTCCGTCTTTTCAGATACGGGTTCCTCCTCCGTGGCCGGTTTCTCCACAGCCTGGTCTTGCCTCTCCTGTTTTGCGGCAGCTAGTTGCCTCTCCAGGTCAACTCTTTGGACCTTCCATTGCTGTTCGGCCTCGTATCTGTCAAAAAGCACATCCGACTCGATCTTCCTGATCTTGGCCTCAAGCTTCGCAACAGCGAGCTCCTCATCTTGTTGGATAGCTGGCGAGTTCTCAGCATCACCATGGCCACGCTCGTACTCTAATAGCTTCGCTTTACTATCCAGATACTTTGCAACAAGTTCATCGGGTTCTATATCGCTGTCACAAGCTACAACCAGCTTTTTGGTGGGTGAAAGGTTTTTTGCTGGTCGACCCTTGGCCCCAGAAGATTTGTTCTTGCGACCATTTCGCGAATCAGCATGGCGAGGGGTACTTGAGCGGCTTGGTACTGGACTATCCTGGGGAGTATCTGAAGTGAAAACTTGGTCAGCGTGAAGGATACCTTGAGAGGGTAAGGAACATACGAACCATTTGTGCTTTTAGGCATGGGCTTGAACTTTGGTTCATAGGAGGGTAATTCTTCGATTTTGCATTCACGGGCCAGCCAGTCGAGGGCTTCTTCAAGTCCCCAGATAGATTCTCTGCTTGTCGTCGAGACATTTGGGGCTATGTCCAGAATGTAGCGTATCACGGCAGCAACACGCTCGGTGGGAAACTCGGCTGCAGTTAATGTTTGCTGTAGCGTCCAGAGACGAAGGATCATGTCTTCTTCTGGGGGCATCTTGCCAGCGCCAGCATTGTCCGACGACGACAAACTCGAAGCTGCGAAACGATTTTCTGCTTGTATCAGATCAAGAATATGGTTCATCAAGTCCTGTGGTAGCCATTTGAAACTATTGACAGAGTCGGCTTGACCACGGAACAGACGACGGTCGGTATCGAGCCGAGTTCGTTGACGCACGGCATCCTTTTTCGTTTTTGCGGCATATTTTTCGACCAGAAGCTGTAGCTCAGATTCCTCCAAATGTTTTTCAAACTCCTCGGGGCTCAAAGTCGCCCCTTGGGTGTTGGTGTTGGTAGTCGCATCGCCATTCGTAGACGAAGATGGAGGGGCATCTTTCTGTGTCGATGGAGGGGCATTTTGGCCTTTGGCGACAGCAGGTTTCGACTCGGGCTCAGCAACTTCTGGCCTAGGTTTAGAAGCGACCGAAGTAGTAGCAAAGCCTCGGGCTGGGTTAGCAGCAGGCTTCTTTTTCTTCTTCGCGCCGCCAGCCATGATGGTCAGCGACCAGAGAACGAAAAAGATGTGGCAGCGGTAAGTCTAGGAAAGAGGAAGAACGCCCGGGAGAATGCGATTTAGGTCAAGGGAATCATGAGGCAGCAATTAGTAGGCCTGGAGATGTCTGTCCTCTGTGGAAATATGAGATAGCGGGATCTGGATCCAAATCGATGAAAGTCCTAATCGACAAGAAGATTGCAGGAGTGAAGTGAAAGCGGGTGGAGGTTGTGACGCAAACCTAAGGCTTTTGGCCCATTTGTGGATCATAGATTATACCCAGGTACTACTTATTAGAGATGATAAAACGGCCATGTAAGTGGCAGTTCAGTGCCAATGGTTCAGGTATGGGGCTGTTAGGATTCATGGAAAGAATCTAGAAATACTGGCTGCACAATCCAGTAGCAATTTTATCGAAATCTTGTTCTCTGTTGCCTGGGATCTGCAAGGGACTTACAGTACTAAGTTACAGGTGCATTGTTGAACGTTTCCAGCCATGCTCTCGGCTCGTGGCATATTTGACTTTATTGGATCCAATAGATGCAACCAATTCTACCTACCCGAGTCAATCTAAGCCTTAGGTAGACAAGCCGTTTGGGCGCCTGTACAAACCCCCCAGGCCTTGTCAACATAAGGGGCCCGTCCCGGATGCGTCATACCGGGATGGACCCATTCAATGCGACGGACGGAAGCCCAGTTCCAATGGATGGCAGAGTCGCGGCTTTCAGGGCTCTTAACCCCACCAAATTGGCACCATCAAGCTGTAAGTGCTCGTTCAGGTGGGCGGGCAGGGCAGCCTCAAACAGCTCCACGGGAAAAAACAGTGTTATGTAAGTTAGGTTACCTATTGCTTCGACGTGGGGTCAAAGTCCATACCTACCTCTTGATAGATATTTCCATTCTCACTTAACGGATTTGGTGCCCGAAAAATCCAAAACACCACCAACCACTCATCACCAAACTCTCTGGATTTACCTTTCTCTCCGCCCCGACCGCGGATACGCCTCAGATCCGGCGTTTGCGAGCTCTGGTAGCCCCAGATGAGTTCATCAAGCCAAACACAAACCTATATATCCGAACTCCAGAATGTCTAACGGCGACTCATCCCAAACTGGCGACCAGGCCAACCTCGACATCACGGCCGTGAAACAGGCTCTGGCCTCCTCTTCGACCAATGTTCGAATCACCCAGCTACGCTCCATCGAGGAAAAGCTTACCCAAAAATGTGCGCAAGTCCCTGCAGCTCACCAAGGCCTATCAGCCAACTAACCTTTGTCCCGCAGCCCTCGACAACGCCTCAATTGCACGCCTCACTCAACTGCTTTTCGGTACATACGCTTTCTATGCTGATAGACAGTCCCGACTATCCGTTCAGAAGTGTCTGGTTGCCTTGATCTCAGCTGGCGTCGACTCCAAGACCATTGCCCCGCTCATCACCGCCCTGCGCAAGGAAAGCCAGAAACATGGCATTGCTCCTACCAACGCCTTTGTACTCGTCGAATGGTGTAGCTTGTTCATGCAACATCTCGATGCCTCATTGTGGGACCAATTTGCTTCTGATATTATCTTGACAGACGCCGATGCGTTGGACAAATGCCACCAGCCCACCTCGAGGAAATCTGTCGCCCACTCTGCTATCATTGTTACAAGGAGAGGCTTTCGAAAGCTTCTCTCGTCACCAGAATCTAGCGAGAAGAGACTCTCCTCTTCCGTCGATATCCTAGCTACAAAGGGCGCCCAATCCACCCCCAGAAATGCTGTTCTTCTTGGAGTTATCGCTGGTGTATCTTCTAGGAAGGATCACTTACGACCTATTCTTGATACCCTCAAACCCAAGTACTATGACTTCTTTACGAGAGAGATAATTGGCTCCCGTGTCGCTGTTCCGGAGCATGCAGTGCTAGGGCTTGGTGATTTCTTTGCTTCATTCGCAACTCCTGAAGAATTCTCCAAGGAGCTGGTCCCTGCTCTCGAGAAAGGTCTTCTTCGTGCGCCCGAGGTTATTCTCGGTGGTGTTGTCACGCCTCTTGTCCGGGCTCTACCTGACAGTTTTGATCTTTCAAAGGTTCTTGAGCAAAATCTTCTCAAACCATTGTTGTCAAATGCCAAGTCTACCAATGCAGCGATTCGTGCGGGTGCTTTGGATGCTTTCCGTGCTTTAGTGCAAAGATCGAATGATACCGCCTCGTTGGAGAAGGTCGTAAATGAGATCGCAAGCCCTCTCAAAGCAGGAAAGCTCGCATCTCCAGATCATCGAATTCTGCACGCACAGATGCTTGAATCCACCCCTCTTTCGACCTCAAGTGCCGAACAGATTGCCACTGCGGCGGCCACTATATCTGCCAAGGAAGGTAACGAGGGCGCTTTAGCTTCAGAGACATCAGCCCTGGCAAATGCCGTAGCTTTTCTGCTGGCTCAAGACAGTGAGGTGCCCAAATCTGTCCTGGAGTCAATTACCAAGGGGCTTGCTGAAAAGAAGATACCTTCTCGCAAGTGTTGGTTGCTCCGCGTGGGTTCCATTCTACAATCCCTTGCCGAAGCACAATCAGTATCCCCTGGTATGGTTGCTTTTGTGGAGGCCGTTGTACCAAAGCTCGTCACAACCTTCACGGAAGTGACAGCTAATGCCGCCTCTGCTGCCCAGAGCGGTCTTGTTGTTGGTGCCTACATCTTGACAGCTGTGAGCCTGCACATACATCGACTACTTCCCGGTTCTACAGCAGAATCTTGTTTAACGAAAGCATCGGTAACAAAGCAATCATTGTCCCTGGATCCCAAGTCATCCTTCCTCCTCAGCCATCGAATCTACTCTAAAGTGACAGCCAACGAAGATCTTGGATGGTTTGCGCGTGCTTTGAGTTCTGTTTCCCAGAGCCTCGAACAGAATGGGGACAAACAGGTGGCTCTTGCTTGGTCTGAAGCATTCATCCATCTGATCATTGCCCACAGCGTGCCCGCTACGATCCAGCAGGAAACATCCAAACTGCTCTCTGATCTCTATGTCCATAACCCGCGATCGGTGTCCACCTGCATCGTCAATGGCCTGTGGGATCATCTCGAGCGTGTCGGATCCAGCGAGAATGAACAGTCATCAAACGCGCAAAACTTGATCCAGGTCGTAAAGTCCATTTGTTTAACTCCCACTGACATAGAAAAGTCTGGCCAGTCTGTTGCCAAGGAAGACCTTGAATCTCAGGCAAACAGCCTTCTTGTTCTAGCACGACCAGAGCTGATACCAAGAGCGAGCTGGATTGATTTGTGTCTTAGGATGGAATTGGATCCTGGTAATCTTGTAACAAAATACCAAGACGAGCTTATGAACGAGATCGAAGTCAGAACATCTTTTGATCAGAAGGTTTGCAGGCCCACTACCACCCGTGTTCAGAAACTGGACAGTTTTGCTAACAAAGTGCTAGAATGAGGTCGTCAAGAAGGCCGCGTACAATGCAGCCGCCGATCTGGCTTTCGTTGCTCCTGAGACTGTTATCCCACGCCTGCTGGATACACTGCGCCGAGACCTCAATGTGGAACAATTACAAGACGTCGGTCCTGTCGAAGCCGCTATCTATAGAACCGCTGAGGGCACTGCGTTCATTGACGTGCTCGCAAAGAAGTCTCAGCAAGTTCTGGATAAGAATAACAAGGACTACGATATTCTTAAATGGGAGGAAGAGCTCAGGGGACAGCTTGAGAAGAAGAAAGGTCAACAAAAGAAGCTTACCCCTGAAGAGAACGCGAAAGTCAACGCCCAACTCAAGAAAGAAAGTCAAATTAGACAGTCAATAACTCAGACTGTGGCAAGGCTTTTGCGAGGCATTGGTATCATCCGCAGCTTGGCCACTGGTCCGCCAACCGATGCCACGCAATGGCTCGGCACTGCAGTGTCCCTCCTAGTCGGTATCATGGACGCTGGTGCCACGCTGATTACAGGCGACGCGGCACCTTTGGCTTATATCACTTGCGCCGAAAAGGTGACAGAGCGTCTGGGATCGATGAGGCCTTTCGTGGGAATTGCAGCTCTAAGACTGCGTGACGTGTCTTTGTCGGAAAACTATCAAGAGGAAGCTGTAGAGGATTTGATTACAAGAGTCCTCTACCGATTGCGTTTTGCGGGCGAGCAGCGACCTTTCGATTCTGTCTCGCTTATTTATGCCCTGCCGCTCGTATTGGATCTTCTACGCAAGGGCGGAGTTGGCAGTTCGGCAGACGACGCCGATGCTCAATTAGTTTTGGCTATCGAGTTCCTTTCGTACCATACAGATGTTTGTGCAGATGAGGCTGTACCCCGAGCGGAGCTTCTCTCGGTCCTCATCAGTTCGATGCAAGCATATGCTCAACATTACAAGCTCCTCAAAGACTGTTTTGCTGATATGTGCCGCTGCATCGCTCCGAACATGGATACCGAGGAGATGATGGTTTTGGCAAAGGGTACGTTGGTGCCCGAAACACGGGTCAGATCTACGGTGTTGCAATCGATCAGTGCCGAAGTCGATATGAGCGAACTAGGTCATTCCGACGAGATATGGATTGCTGCTCACGACGACGAGGAAGAGAATCAGGATTTGGGTAGGGAAATCTTGGAGGAAAGTGGCTTCGAAATTACAGAGGCAGTGCCATTGAGATTGCTACCTTTTCTTGAGAGCAAGGATGGCCAGCTGCGTCGCAGCACTGCTCGCGCCCTTGCTGAAGCAGTCAGTCTTCACCAGGGGACTTTGGAAGCTGTGCTCGAGCAACTTAAGTCTACGTATGCCGAGCTAGCGAAACCCCGCGTTCAACAATTAGATGAATTCGGGATGCCAAAGAAGATGGATCTATCTGATCCTTGGGAGGGCCGGCAGGGTATCGCAACGGCTTTCAAAGAGCTCGCTTCAGTTATTGATGCCAATCAGCTGGATCCATTGTTTGGCTTCCTTATTAGCGCCGGTCCTCTTGGTGATAAGAACGGAGCCGTACGCAGTGAGATGCTGGATGCCTCAATCAAGGCAATCGAGATCCACGGCAAGACTATCCTTGACCAACTCATGTCAAAGTTTGAGCAGACTTTGGAGCAGCCAGACACGAACAGCGATGCAGCTGATCGTGTAAACGAAGCTGTCATCATCATGTATGGTGCTTTAGCTCGTCACCTGAGCCCTGGTGACCCCAAGATCCCTATTGTCATTGATCGCCTAGTGGCAACTCTGAGTACGCCTTCTGAAACAGTGCAATACGCTATTGCCGAATGCTTGCCTCCCCTCATTCAAGCCTGCCCAGACCAATCCTCCAAGTATTTCGGTCAGATCATGGAGCAGCTTCTTAGCTCAAAGAAGTACGCCGTCCAGCGAGGTTCGGCGTATGGTCTGGCTGGACTTGTTATGGGTCGTGGCATTGCATCACTACGAGAATACCGAATTATCTCAACTCTCACTGATGCTATGGAGAACAAGAAGGAGGCAAACCAACGTGAGGCTGCTTTGCTTGCGTACGAGCTTCTTTCCACTATGCTCGGACGTGTCTTTGAGCCTTATGTGATCCAAATCGTGCCTCAGTTGCTGACAGGCTTTGGTGATGCCAATGCCAATGTGCGAGATGCCTGTCTGGCGTCAGCCAAGGCATGTTTTGCCAAACTGAGCTCTTACGGTGTCAAGAAGATCATGCCAACGCTTCTTTACGGTCTAGAGGAACAGCAATGGAGAAGTAAGAAGGGTGCATGTGACCTTCTCGGTGCTATGGCATATCTAGACCCTCAACAGCTTGCCAACAGTTTGCCCGACATCATTCCTCCTCTCACCGGCGTGCTCAACGACAGTCACAAGGAAGTCAGAGCCGCAGCTAATCGAAGCTTGAAGAGATTTGGTGAAGTCATCAACAACCCCGAGATCAAGTCCCTGGTTGATATCATTCTCAAGGCTCTCAGCGATCCCACGAAGTACACAGACGAGGCTTTGGACTCACTCATCAAGGTTCAATTCGTCCATTATCTCGATGCCCCCTCCCTGGCACTGGTCACTCGTATTTTGCAACGCGGTTTGGCGGATCGTTCCAATACCAAGCGCAAGGCAGCGCAAGTCATTGGCAGCTTGGCTCACTTGACGGAGAAGAAGGACGTTATCATGCACTTGCCTGTGCTTGTGGCTGGCCTCAAGGTCGCCGTTGTTGACCCGGTACCAACCACTCGAGCTACAGCCTCCAGGGCTCTCGGTTCTTTGGTGGAGAAACTTGGAGAAGACACGCTTCCCGATCTTATTCCCGGTCTCATGCAGACCCTCAAGTCAGACACTGGTGCTGGCGACCGGTTGGGATCTGCCCAGGCTCTCAGCGAGGTTCTTGCTGGACTGGGAACGACGAGACTGGAGGAGACCCTCCCAACCATTCTCCAGAATGTCGAGTCCTCCAAACCTGCAGTCCGCGAGGGCTTCATGTCCCTTTTCATCTTCCTTCCTGTATGCTTCGGCAACAGCTTTTCCAACTACCTGGGCCGCATTGTACCACCTATTCTTGCTGGTCTGGCTGACGACATTGAATCTATTCGTGAAACTGCACTACGAGCAGGCCGTTTGTTAGTAAAGAACTTCGCTGCTCGAGCTGTCGATCTCCTGCTGCCAGAGCTCGAGCGCGGTCTCGCCGATGACAGCTACAGAATCAGACTCAGCTCTGTCGAACTCGTTGGAGATCTTTTGTTCAACCTCACCGGTATCAAGGCCGGTACCGATGCTGAAGATATCGAAGACGACGAGAACATTAAGGAGGCTGGTGCATCTCTCAAGGAAACCCTCGGTGAAGAAAAGCGCAACAAGATCCTATCAGCCCTTTACGTATGCCGATGCGATACAGCTGGCGCGGTTCGATCAGCCGCTATCGCTGTCTGGAAGGTCCTTGTTCACAGCCCCAGGACCCTCAAGGAGCTTGTGCCAACCCTCACCCAACTTCTCATCCGACGTTTGGGAAGCTCCAACATGGAGCACAAGGTCATCGCCAGCAATGCCCTCGGAGAGCTTATCCGAAAAGCTGGAGATGGTGTTCTATCAAGTCTTCTTCCCACTTTGGAGGAAGGTCTGCAGACGTCTGTCGACGTCGATGCCAAGCAGGGTATCTGTCTCGCGTTGAGAGAACTTATTTCTTCCGCTTCCCCTGAGGCTCTCGAAGACCACGAGAAGACCCTTATTTCAGTCGTCCGTACAGCACTTACCGACTCGGATGAAGATGTTCGAGAAGCCGCAGCAGAGGCCTTCGATTCGCTTCAACAAATCTTTGGCAAGCGAGCAGTCGATCAGGTTCTTCCCTTCCTTCTCAACCTCTTGCGTTCCGAGGGCGAAGCGGACAACGCTCTGCAAGCTCTTCTTACGCTGCTTACTGAAACAACCCGATCAAACATTATCTTGCCGAACCTTATACCAACACTCACGACTCCTCCCATCTCGTCATTCGATGCCAAGGCTCTTGCCTCCTTATCCAAGGTGGCTGGTCCTGCAATGAACCGTCGTCTGCCGAATATTATCAATTCTCTTATGGATAACGAGATCAATTGCAAGGAGGATGGCCTCCGCGAAGAGCTGGCCACGTCTTTCGACACTGTCATTCAGTCCATTGACGAATATGACGGCCTCAATACTGTCATGAACGTTCTATTGCAGCTTCTCAAACACGAGGATCACCGTCGCCGAGCAGCTACTGCACACCACATGGGTAACTTCTTCGCGGCTGCCAGCGTTGATTATTCACGATACAACCAGGATATCATCCGTTCCCTCCTCAATTCGTTTGACGATAGAGACACCGATGTTGTCAAGGCTTCCTGGACAGCTCTCAGTGCCTTCACTAAGAAGCTTCGGAAGGAGGAGATGGAGTCACTTGTTATCTCAACACGTCAAACCCTCCAGCGCGTTGGTGTCGCAGGGGCGAACCTGCGCGGTTTCGAGCTACCAAAGGGCATCAATGCCATTCTGCCCATCTTCTTGCAGGGTCTCATGAACGGTACCGCCGATCAGCGAGTCCAGGCTGCTTTGGGTATTTCCGATATCATTGACAGGACAAGTGAGGCCTCTCTCAAGCCATTCGTGACCCAGATTACTGGTCCCCTGATCCGAGTCGTTTCAGAGCGTGCTACTGAGGTCAAGTCGGCAATTCTCCTGACCCTCAACAACCTACTGGACAAGATGCCTGCCGCCTTGAAGCCTTTCCTTCCTCAGCTCCAGCGCACATTCGCCAAATCCCTTGCGGATCCATCCAGTGAGACATTGAGAACACGAGCTGCCAAGGCGCTCGGAACCTTGATCAAGTATACACCGCGTATTGATCCCCTCATTGCTGAACTTGTCACTGGATCCAAGACAGCAGATGCCGGCGTCAAAACTGCTATGCTCAAGGCACTGTACGAGGTCATCAGCAAAGCAGGTGCCAATATGGGCGAGGCCTCTCGAGCTTCTGTTTTGTCACTCATCGATATGGACACAGACGAGAGAGATGAGACAATGACTATCACTAACGCTAAGCTGCTGGGCGCACTCATCAAGAACGTTCCTGAAGAAGCCGCTCTGGGCTTGTTGAAGAACCGTGTGGCCACTACACACTTTACACATTCCTCTGTGCTCGCGTTGAACTCGGTTCTGGCCGAGTCCCCGGATGCTCTGCTTCAAAGCTCCTTGGCCGACTTGCCCGACCTGCTGTGCCAGGGTATCACCAACAAGAATGTGAGTAGCAAGCTGAACTCTTGTTTGTTTGTTCCAGTAAACTAATTCTTTCCAATAGGTCTTTGTCGCCGATAACTGCATTCTTGCTACTGGAAAGTATCTGCTCTCGGATTCCGCTAAGACCTTTGAGACAACAAAGGGTATTTTTGAGGCTCTGGCTTCCGTTATTCAGCCTGGCAATGCAACCGACTCCCGTCGACTTGCCCTTGTCGTGGTTCGTACTGTCAGCCGGAAAGACATGGAAATGGTCCGACCTCACGTTGCTCTGCTCGCACAACCCATATTTGCCAGCGTTCGAGACCCCGTTATTCCTGTCAAACTTGCTGCAGAAGCGGCATTTGTGGAGCTGTTCAATGTGGCAGATGAGGAGAGCCGCATCTTTGATAAGTTTATGGCTGGTCCCGGTGCAGACCTTGCTCCTAACACCAAGAGAAGCATGGGTGACTACTTCAAACGTGTTGCGATGAGGCTTGGTTCCCAAGCCCGCGAGAGGCGCGAAGCCGAGGGTGGACAAGGAGGGCTCGGCTTATCGAACGATGAAGCAGAGGATGAGAAGGAAATCTGGAGTGTGGGCAAGGTCGATGTGGGCAGCGAAGCATTCTCGTAAATTTATACTCCATAAAGAGTTGTTGTCTGTCGTATTGCATGAATCAGACAAATATATAAGATTTAATCATGTTGTCTGGCGACATACAAAAGTGAATAGTGCTTGTAGCTGGACTATCACATATACATAGTTCCACAGGTAGTTAGTGTGAATGATCGATATATTATGAAGCACTTCTCGCCCAACAATATTACTTTTTACCCTTGAAACCTCAAATAAAGTAAAACGATGTCGTGTTGATAGATCGATTGATGGGATCAGCACGATTCGTGTGGGGTCATAAATGGTTCAGCAAAGAAACTAATTGCAAGAACCGTTCCAAACACATTCGTCGAGTCAAGCTCTAGTCATAAATTTCCCAATGTGACCCATACCGGGCTACTTTTTGAAAAGCATAGTCGTTGTCGAACTGTTCCACCAGATAGGTAGCTACTCATCTTGATGATGCATCACTCGCAAGCCAAATTCACGATGGTCTAACTACCTGAACATAAGATTAGTGAATACGGCAGGAACTGCACACCAGTTCAATATGTAACCGTCATCACATGGGAGGAGACACTCCGAATAGACGTTAAGACCAAATTAAATGAATGATCTAAACATTTTTTGCCAATTGGAACGAAAAAGACAATACGTAAAGTAGACAAGAAAATAGCGTTCTGTGGCGCGGTCACGTGCACAGAGATTAGGGCCTCGCCTCGTTAGCGCACCCACCGTTCGGAACAGACAGCGAAATCTGAACATTCTTTGCAACCCCTCGCCTCTGTCTTCATCCAACTTTCATCGAGGGCCAGCCGTCACCACTAACGACAATCAAGATGTAAGTGTCACCGAACGATGAGAAGAGCGAGAATGTGATGCAGAAGGAGTTTTGGGAATAGTACACGAGCTGGGAACAAATGCTTTTGATGGCTTCGTTCACGGGCTCGGTGCTTGGGAAAATCTTCAACACCAATTATCATCATCATATTATATCAGAGGAGACTGGTGGCTAATCGATAATTTTCTTTACGACTACAGGGTCAACCTGCGAACTCAGAAGCGCCTGGCCTCATCGGTCATCGGCTGTGGCAAGCGCAAGATCTGGCTCGACCCCAACGAGCAGAGCGAGATCTCCAACGCCAACTCTCGCCAGACCATCCGAAAGCTCATCTCCGATGGCCTCATCATCCGAAAGCCCGTCACCCAGCACTCTCGATCGCGCGCCCGCGAGCTGAACCTCGCCCGACGAGAGGGCCGACACCGTGGTTACGGTAAGCGTAAGGGTACCGCCGATGCCCGTATGCCCAGCCAGGTCCTCTGGATGCGCCGCCTCCGAGTCCTCCGCCGTCTTTTGGTCAAGTACCGTGCCAGCGGAAAGATCGACAAGCACCTCTACCACGAGCTGTACCACAGCAGCAAGGGTAACGCCTTCAAGCACAAGCGTGCCCTCGTTGAGCACGTACGTCTTAGTCCTATCCATCAAGATACCCCATCACCGGGGTCACGACGAGGGATGCCTGCTGACATGGAGATTTACAGATTCACCGTGCCAAGGCTGAGAAGGCCCGCGAGACTGCCCTTCAGGAGGAGATGGATGCCAAGCGTGCGAAGAACAAGGCTGCCCGCGAGCGCAAGCAGGAGCGTGCGGCGGCGAAGCGAAATGCTCTCCTTGCCGAGGAGTAAATGTAAGCCTAGTGGACAACGACAACATTTCGGTCTTGAGAGGAGGCTGTATACGGAGTCTGCGGGTTGGGTCTTTTTTTATGCCCTTCTGGTTTCTACACTTGTACCGGCGGGGTTCAGGCACGTAGCATTTAAAAATGGAATCGATGATGCTCGGATGCTTGGATGTTTTCCCATTTACGACCTTGTCATGAGAGCAATTGTTTTGCTCATCACCGCAACAGTACTGCCAGTCTTGAAAATAATGTGTGCGTTGGACTTGCATCTGAAGTCCCATATGTCACGTTTGGTTTGCATTGTCGAATCGATTAGCGAATGTGATCAAGGCCCACCTCGCGGGCCACACCTTTGTAAGCCTCGATTTTTGCTCGCAACATCGCGAAACATCTTCCCCTCATTTCACAGATGGCGGTTTCAGTAGCATAAAATCACGTCTCGAATGTCATAAGGCATAGAAGCAATCACGAATTGAGGACAGCATCTGTTCCCCGATAGGCTGGGGTTGCCGGCAGGAGACAAATCAACTACGTAAGCGAATGCTAACTACCTAACTAGAATGAGGGTGAAAAAGATAGTGATAGAAGACAAGGTTAAGATCAACTAAAGTTGGATCAGATTCCTTCATATTGGCCCCTCATGAGTGGTGAGTTTGTGCCAGGGCATCTCAGCATGCTCCCGCCGAAGCGGATGAACCAATTTGCTGTCTTAGCGGTCACATCACGCCCAATTTAGTTGATAAAGAAGGGAAAAGGAAAGGGAATAAGAGGAGGGTCATTTCATTCATTATATACCTCGATCACCGCCACAGCAATACTTGTGGCTAGGACTTGATGGTAACCACAAGGGTTGGATTGAGGTTGGGTCCATCTGATGGATGGATGTTATCGAGATGCACAGTACAGTACTTGGTTTGATGGTACTGGATTTCCATGCGTATCCCAGCCCCACTGGAGCGGTTGCGTAAACAGCAGGTGCTCTGGACATGTCAAGCGCTGAGCACAGCATAAACAGGGGAGCTTAGCAGGTAGGTACATCCTACGCAGGTACTGGCTGTTGGCCTGAATGAAAGGCATTGAGCCTATGCCTGGGTATCATTCGAGTCTCGGCCCTGCCCGGACTTCCTCCACCTCCATCTCCGCTACCTCGTCGGCACTAAATAAGCCCATACCATCGCATCGTATCAGTCGATGACGTCCTGAGCGAACGCGCCGTTGAATAGTCACAACCACATCGTCAATTCGTGTTTGGTCTTTGGTGAATACTTCAACAGCCACTCTTCTTCTCCTCCTCCGCTGTTATTGTCGATTTGCCTTCCATCCGACAGCTACACTCCGCCATGTCTCTCACAGGCGTGAGAGGCACCTCGCGTGTCTTGCGACGCATTGCGAAACCAGTCGTCGTATCCGCAACATGTACTCGTCCGGCTTCATCTTTGACCTTGGAGGATCAACAACAAGTGCGTTTTGTTCAATTGCATTTATACAATAAGCCTACGGTCTAACGAATTGCGTGTTCTCTCACAGGCTCTCTCAGCCCACCTGAACAAAGCTGACCCCGCCGTCTTCGACATTATCGAGAAGGTTAGTTATCTTGATAACGGGATTTCGTCGCAGGACTCCTTTATTGATCAACTGGGCAGGAGAAAAACCGACAGAAACACTTCATAAACCTAATTCCTTCCGAGAACTTTACCTCCCAGGCTGTGCTCGATGCACTCGGTAGTGTGATGCAAAGTGAGCTTTGACGACCAAGGCAGATGCATCTACAGCAACTCGGAAGGCTAACAAGCTTCACAGACAAATACTCGGAAGGATACCCAGGCGCTCGGTACTACGGTGGAAACGAATTCATTGATCAATCCGAAAGACTTTGCCAACATCGCGCTTTGGAATCGTTCGGCCTTGACCCAAAGCAATGGGGGGTCAATGTTCAAGGTTGGTAAATAGGAACAGAATTCGTACTTTCTAGGTCTTCCAGTGATGCTGATTATCTTCGTCAGCTCTGTCCGGTGCACCCGCCAACCTCTACGTTTATTCCGCTTTACTCAACACACATGATCGTTTGATGGGCCTGGACCTACCGCATGGTGGTCATCTATCACATGGTTACCAAACACCGACCAAGAAGATTTCAGCCATCTCAAAATACTTCGAAACTCTACCATACCGATTGAACGAAACTACTGGATACATCGATTATGATAAACTGGAGGAGATGGCAAGCATATACAGACCTAAAATTATCGTTGCTGGCGCAAGTGCATATAGCCGTCTTATCGACTATCAGCGTATGCGAGAGATCTGTGACAAGGTTAACGCCTACCTTCTTGCTGATATTGCCCATATCTCGGGTTTAGTTGCAGCTAAGGTTATACCTGGACCTTTTGCACATGCAGATATTGTAACCACGACTAGCCACAAGAGTTTACGAGGACCTCGAGGTGCCATGATCTTCTACAGGAAAGGCGTTCGAAAACAGCATCCTAAAACAAAGGAGGATATCCTATACGACCTTGAAGGCCCAATCAACAACTCTGTCTTCCCTGGCCACCAAGGCGGTCCCCACAACCATACCATCACAGCTCTCGCCGTGGCTCTCAAGCAAGCCCAAACTCCTGAATTCCAAGCATATCAGACTCAAGTACTGAAGAATGCTAAAGCGTTTGCGAAACGCTTGAGTGAGCCCAAAGGAAAGGGGGGGTTGGGTTATAAGCTTGTTAGTGGAGGAACAGACAACCACTTGGTCCTAGCCGACCTGAAACCTCAAGGCATTGACGGGGGCCGAGTAGAGCGTGTACTGGAATTGGTTGGTGTTGCGGCCAATAAGAATACAGTCCCTGGAGACCGTTCAGCACTGGTTCCTGGTGGCCTTCGTATGGGTACACCGGCCATGACCACTCGCGGCTTTAATGAGGACGACTTTGTTCGCGTCGCCGATGTTGTTGATCGTGCCGTCACTATCGCTGCCCGTATTGATAAGGCTGCCCGAAAGGTGGCTGAGGAGAAGGGCGACAAGAGCCCCGGTAAAATCAAGGTATTCCTAGAGCACCTCGGCGATGGGGAGACACAATCCGAAATCGTCCAGCTGCGAAGTGAGGTTGAGGATTGGGTAGGCACATACCCTCTGCCATGGAGCACGTCGCAATAACGCTCAACTGGCAATCAGTTAGTTCAAAGGCGTTTGGATAATACACCGAATCGAACCATCTGACCCATGGCGGGGGGTCAGCACAAACAATTCTTTAGCTGGATCTACCTATGATACGCCGCTCGGGGAGAGTTGCGTATAGCACATATCACTGTACATACCCATCTTATTCCTGACTTCATCGCATCCCTCGCCATGGCTCATTTGTATTCTACTGTTTTCTAATGTGATATTTGTGACTGTGGAAGCTCTCAGTTCATGGAGATTGAATAATTGACACGAAATAGATATTGGTTCGCCAGCATAGCAATTTCCACAATGCAACTACATCGCTGGAAATAAACAAATTATATCTCATACTCTAACACGTCCGAATATCTATTATGAGCTATCGAAAATTGTCTTCTACTCCTTGCCAAGCACTTTCTTTGTGCTTGGCCTTTCCCCTACCATTTTGTAATACTCTTGGAGATTCTTTAATCCATCCAAAGCATCAAGGCCTGTTTCTCCAACCATGCTGTGGAGGACTGGCCAAATTGCAAAATCAGGCAGCGTCATCTCCATACTGGCAATAAAAGGGTGTTCATCCTCTCCCACGAAACCATCCCAAGCTTCAAGTTCCTGTCTAAGAGACTTGAGATCCCGCTTGCCATTGTCATCGATCTTGGGCAGGTTGTGCCAGGTATCTAATAAGGTCATGGCACGCTGGAAGCGAGTGAGTCGGACGGCGAGATCGCTAGAAGCTTGTGGAGTACTGCCTGGTCTTCCCATACCATAGCGGGCATCCAAATACATCATGAGAGCAAAATCACCTTGAACGATAGATTTATCCTTGTCTGAAAACTTGACCACGAGGTTGTCAGAGTTCGGCGATTCAGATCCTGTCGTTATACTGCCCTTTGCGTAATTTACGCCAAATTCGGCCAACATTAAAACTATGCGCATATTGACGATTGGGTCGCGGCAGGCAAAGAAACGAGGTGCATTGCTCATATGCAGCACATCGAAGCCTTTGCCATAGTACGCATCCCAGTCGAACTCTGTAGCATGATTTTCTGTTCCGAAAGCTTTCAGCATCTCGATAGCTTCGGAAGATTCGCCGTTAATGACTGGGTGAGCATCTTCTCGGGTCTTGGCTTTCGCTCCTTGGCCCCAGATAAGAGTCTCCTCGCGGTTCAGGAATGTTCCAATATGACGGAACGTCAGAGATATGCGGCCTCCCTCATAGGCCAGTTCAGCCTCGGATTTTTCTTTCTTTAATCGTTTATCTTGGCGAATAGCATGCAACCACTTCATGTTGCTGCGTAAGCCTAGTCGACATAAAGAATTGTGCGGGAGTTTGGCGCGCTGGGTCGTTCTCTTTGAGTCTGCTGGCGATGCAGCTCCTTCTTGAGCCGGATCTTTGTCCTTCCTCTTCGTCCTGAAAGTAAAGGTTCGCTCGGCGCCTAGGCTCACGTTGGCGATATAAGATCCCTTGACTATATCCAGGGTCTTGTCACTATGCTCGGAAATGTAGTCGTTGCCATCCCGGTAATACTGGATCAGCACATGGTTCAAGGGATGACCTAAGTGTTTCTCCGTCTCAGCCCTGATGGCTTGAACGGTCGGGGAAAATGGCAGTAGTGGTGGGGATTCATCGGATGGATGACGGTAGACTGGGATGCTATCGTCTGGACCAATCTCGCCCTGCACGGCGACGAGTCGTGGAACCTGCCCTCCTTGGTGGGACATACGCTGCCATTGAACCTCGTCACGCAGCTTGTTAAAGATGCCGTCGAGTAAAGAATCAGGCAGAACATTCTCGATGATATCAGTATCTCCTTCACAAAGGCCTTTCTGTTGGAAGCTATTGTCATGGCTCGCCATTGGCTTCTTGACCTTTTGGGTTTCTTGCAACTCATCTGTTGGCGCTGCGGTCTCATCGGTGTGTTCTTCTTGCTTGGTATCCTTCTGGGCCGTCGTTGAATCGGGCTTCGACTCGCTTGGTCTTTTATCTGCTGGAGCTTTTGCGTCAACAGCTTGAACGTTGTCTTTGCTAGAATTCTTTGGAGGCTGCGGGTTGCTGGTAGATGCTTCTTCGGTACTCTGCTGTATCGCTTTGTCTGGTTTGCCTTCGGCTACATTCTTGGTCTTGACTTCAGCAGTAGATGAATCTTTGGCTAGTGTTCCATTGGATGTCTCGCCAGTTGTGGCCTGATTTATTCCATCAGTCTTTGTAATCTCTGTTTTTTTGTTGTCTTTTGTGTCACGATCTTCAGTTGTGCTTTTCGGCAGCCCCTTTGCCTCGGATTTGGTTGATGAGTCCGCGGGACTTGGTGAATCTGAAGCCAGCCGCAGACCTGTCATATCTTTAACAAAATCAGGCGTGGTGCTCTTCTTGCGATCATTCGCTTTGTTGGAATCTGGCTTGGCAGCTCGTGGCTTTTCCAAACTTGACGATGAGGCGGACGGTTTGGCACCTCGAGACTTTGTTGGTTTCGATTTTGGTTTCGGTTGGATGACCTCCATAACCTCATCGTATGAAGCAATTTCACACCCAGTGAGTTCTATTATGGATGCTATGGCCGCACTCTTCCTAGACTCGGTACGATAGCCGCAGCAGTCGTCGACGATGGTTATAGCCATGCCATGTCCTGCAGCGTCCAGAGCTGTAGCATATACGCCAACATTGGTCAAGGATCCACAGATGAAAAGCTCCATGACCATTTTGGCTCTCAAGACACGCAGTAGATGGGTTGACTGAAAGGCCGAGTAATGAGACTTGAACAGCTTTGCGTCTGTCTTTTGCATTGAGTCTTGAACAGCAGATGCTATCTGACAGCCCGGGGTGTCAGCTTTGACGCATACAGCCTCTTGATGGCTGAGGAAAGCTTCCTTGTCTGGCGGGCCAACAGTTTCAACGACCTTCTCTGGAACAGTTGACCGGCCTCGTGAAGAACTTTGTGATGATTTGGGCGCTTTGTCGCTGAGAACAATATCTTCCTCTGGTGCATGTCGAGTTTCGCTGAATTGAGACTGAACCCAAACAACGTCACCTACACTTCGGAATGCATCTGATAGTTTGACAGTTCGCTCAACAAATCCTTCCGGTTCATTGACATGCAGGGCACCGTCTTGAGAGATAAAATCGTGTTGGAAATCCACTGCAATGAGTGCTTTGCGTGTTGTGATCTGCGGCAATGCAGCTTGATCGAAAGTGAACATGATGAATAACGATGCGTGAAGGTAGAATGTGAAAGTCGAGTAATATAGGATAGATATAGAAAGGTAAACATATAAATGAATAGACAGGTAGGCAGACAGGGAAGTGGGTGGTTTGACAAGATGAACCGTGAAAGTCCAGCTTTCAATCAACTAAGTTATGTATAGCAGAGCAGAGCAGATCAGATCAAAGCAAAGCAAAGCTTCAAACAACCCGCCCTTCCTTGTGACGGGTGGGACTAACTTTGATATTGAGGGTTTTAGGTACCTTAGTTAGGGCAGGGGGGTAAGACGATCAGGGTCTTGTCTCAAGGTTGTCTAAGTCCGGTACTATACGGATACGTCAATCCTATTCTGATGTCGCTGGAGTTGAATTCCGATCTGCAGGGTAGGCCAGAGTTTAGAATAATTGTATGTCGATGGATAAGCGTGAAAGAAATGTCCGTTGCCTCCTAGACTAACTGGTTTAAATAACCTGTTTTACTGCCTGTGATAATACAGTTTACAACTTAAGGTGCCTACAGTATCTGACACTAACCACACGCCGAGTGAGTTAGGGCAACATGACAGAACAGATCAGGATCATCAGGCAGCAGAACCTACGCTTGGACATGGATGCTCGAGTGATATTGACTAAGTGCCTACAGTAAGTAACCTAGAGCTGGAAACCCTGCAACCAGACGATACAGTAACTGAAGGTACCTAGGTAATCACCAACAGTATTCGTAATATTGAACCCGTATTTTACCGACTTGCTTCAAACTGTCGGTCAAAGTGGTCGTTCTGATATGTACGTAAACCTAGTGCCTAGACTACACATGCAGCGACATGCATAAGAAAAGTACAACAGTACGTGATGGCCCATCATGACTTTGTCTGTCAGGTGGGCTATGCTGCGAGTATCGAGGAACTTAGCGGTATAAGCAAGTACAGTACTTGGGCTAGCATGCCCAGAGACCAGGCCTTTGCCGATCTATCGGTCTAGAACCTTACTGATTACCTGCACTGGCAATAATGTCGCACACGGCACATAATATAGCAGAAGTTGGGTGACGCAATTTGACACCTTCAGTACATTAATATATCGTAAGTAATTCCTCTTAAAATAAGATAAAAGCAACATGGCAAGATGATGTGTCAGATTGTTGATTGTAACTCTGAACACAACCGTTGGCTCACCCATCCTATTCGTTTACTGCCAGTAGCCATCAATATTAATCTTTCCTACGTCGCTGTGTTCTACGTCGATACTAGGAATGCCTTTAGACCCTTGATCACAAGATGTCAAAGTGATATGCCAACCTAGATGATTTCCATGGCGTGAGTATAAGCCCAAGATAGTAAGACTATGAAACATAGAAATTGTACAATCAATTCAAGACAAAAAATGTTATCTTCTAAGGCGCCATCAGAATTATCCTCCAAGACTTAGGTCGTCAAAATAAAGTAGTCTAAGTGCATTGTTAAACTCACATAAGATGACCAAATTATTTCATCTTTTATGCTCTTAGCGGCGGGTGGACCTCCTTGAATATTGACGAATAACCCGGGGTTTCTCCAGGCGCTACCAACAAAGCTTAGCACCTCCTTGCAACAGCTCCATCCGATAACATCCATGCGCGAACGTGCCTTCAGCCTCACTAATTCATCCATAACAAATTCAGCTACCTTTCCCTGGTCTCCTGTACCTTTCGCATGCATTACCGATTGCCACTACGATACAATTGCTAGGCGTCGCAAAGTCACAGTTATCGATGGGAAACCAGCGGATTTAATCCTGATTCTTTCGCCTGCATCGCGTCGCGAAGCACACGCTTGCGAACCTCTTCACAATGACGCCCAAGCGAAGCTTATCACCCGTCGATGAGCAACAGCCCGATCTGAAGCGCCCTCGGCTAGAAGAATCTGAAAATGAGGTGATACGACTGGAGGACGATGAGATCAGTTCGGTCGCTGCTCTGGTACCGAATCCGCACTATCAAGCCAGAACAGGTCTTCAACGTTCGATCGCGATGGTCCTCAATCACGATGGGTTTCAGGGAGCAAGCCCTGAAGCAATGGAAAGCTTCACAGGGATGGTCGAGACGTGTGAGTTACGCCTCGATTCTACATAAGCAGCGCATGATTACTGACCCATATCAGATTTGGAGGGTATGATTGAAGCTGCGAAAACTCTCGCTTTGGCCGCTCGCCGTGAGCACCCCATACCTACCGACTTCGAACATGCGTTACGACGGCACAACGTCAGTGTCTCATCACTGAAACCACACTTGAACCCACCTGTTCCCAAAGCACAAGCGTTTCCCGGTTACGTTGATGTGTTGCCCGAAGACCTCGACGCATACACGACATTACCGCTACTGGGCGAGGAACTTAGTGGACAGCCTGACAAAGACGAGAAAGATTACGTCCCGTCTTCTTTCCCCGAGTTCCCCAGCAAACATACGTACAAATTCACTCCCCAAGAGGATACCAGCATCCGGGATTCTAAGAAGATACGCGAAGAGGCAGCCAGAACAGCTCAGCAGGGTGAGGACGCTCTCAGACGGCTAGTACGAGCATCCAAGATGCGAAAACAGAAAGAAGTGAAAAATTTGGTGGAACGTGATACACATGGAAAAGAGAGATTTCGGCTTTGGGAATCCACGATGAAACGGTTCATGGCAACGGAAGGCAGAGGGGAGAACACTGATCAGATGGAGATCGCGGACCATAGCATGATCGTCAACGGAGAAGCGCTCTTCTCACGAAAGGAAGTCCCAAGAGCTGGCAAGCGCTCAGCTGCTTTAGCAAGCAAAAAGGCGGCATGAGGAAGGAGAAGATGGCATCATGATACCCCAATACTCCCATAATGGTACTGGTCGGATGGCGTAAGGCGTTACTGAACTTGTCTTGTTTTTCTTTCTGATTGGTCTTCTTCCTGAGATTTGGAATGAGGATAGAACAAATACTGATGTAGAATAAGCGAACGAGAGCGAATCGAGCCCAATGAGGATATCATCCCACACCCACATGCGTGTACGGCTTTGTTCTGAGTTGAGAGAAGAATGCATGCAATGCGACTGAACGTGCGTATACCCCTATGATGTCTTGAGAAGATTACTGACTTGAATGTTTAACAGTTCGAGTTGATTGGCAGACTGATCTTGCATGTGCATGCTGATCATATCAACCTACAGTCACCGTTCTATCCATGACGATCAATCCAGTTCCATGCATCTTATAATTGTACTGAAACATCGACAAAATTGACTCGAAAGAGTTGTAATGTACTGACAACTCCCGGCAGACATTGATTGGCTCATCACATTTGCAATGTTGAAAAATACAGTCAAGATTCAACACGAAACTCACCAGCCACACCTCTGCGCCACGATCGATCAAACGCAGCTGAAAAACCACACCCGAACCTGAGAATTGATACATACCTCGCCTGTCGCTCGCACCCCGCTAATCCCAAAGTGGAGCTTAAGGCCCTAATCCCACACTTTTTAAAAATCAAAGGCAGGAACGACCGACGCAACTGCCTTCCCATCCGACTCGGCCTAGGTTTTGCAGAACAGCCTTTGATTTCTCTCTTTCTTCCCCTTCACGCACCTTGATCCTCTGCATCGCCTCGTCACCGCAAGCATGGCCGAACAACTGATCTTGAAGGGAACCCTCGAGGGCCACGTACGTCGAACCCCATCAACCCTGTTTTCATCGATGCCGACTGTTGTGTCGCGACTGTGTCGTCGGTTGAGCCGCTTCATAACGAGATGCTGAGTCGGCATCATTGAAGGAAATGGGATCTTGGAGATATAGGATTGAAGGCTGACTGTTAACAGAATGGCTGGGTCACCAGCCTGGCTACCTCCATGGAGAAGTATGTCAAAGATCGCAAAACCGCAGCTCCTCAAGGCCATGCAACTAACAGTTCAACAGCCCCAACATGCTCCTGTCTGCTTCCCGAGACAAGACCCTGATCATCTGGAACCTCACCCGCGATGAGACCCAGTACGGTTACCCCAAGCGATCTCTTCACGGCCACTCCCACATCGTCTCGGACTGTGTACGTTCACCCAGTGCCCCGCCTTAAAACGACAACGCCCCGGCGGGCAGAAGGAATCAAGAATTCGGCTGATTGTTGGAAACAGGTTATCTCCTCCGACGGTGCCTACGCTCTGTCTGCCTCTTGGGACAAGACTCTGCGTCTCTGGGAGCTTGCTACCGGTACCACCACTCGACGATTTGTCGGCCACACCAACGACGTCCTCTCCGTCAGCTTCTCCGCCGACAACCGCCAGATCGTTTCCGGTTCTCGTGACCGAACCATCAAGCTCTGGAACACCCTCGGTGATTGCAAGTACACCATCACCGACAAGGGCCACACCGAGTGGGCTTCTTGCGTCCGCTTCAGCCCTAACCCCCAGAACCCCGTCATCGTCTCCGCTGGCTGGGACAAGCTTGTCAAGGTCAGTACAGACTACCATACTCTCCTAGCCAATTTTTCACATGATGTTTGCAACCCAAGTATTTGCTACTTCAGAGCCTGTTTTCGCAGGCCATGAGACCACTATTCACCATTGCCCTGATTTTTCAGTTTACCACAGCCTTTTATGCCTACAAAAGAATGTATTAGACAAGACTCTAACACCCTGTTTAGGTTTGGGAGCTCTCCACCTGCAAGCTCCAGACTGACCACATTGGTCACACCGGCTACATCAACACCGTCACCATCTCCCCCGACGGCTCCCTCTGCGCCTCCGGTGGTAAGGACGGTACCACCATGCTCTGGGATCTTAACGAGTCCAAGCACCTCTACTCCCTCAACGCCAACGACGAGATCCACGCTCTTGTCTTCTCCCCTAACCGATACTGGCTGTGCGCTGCTACTGCCAGCAGCATCATCATCTTCGATCTCGAGAAGAAGAGCAAGGTTGATGAGCTCAAGCCTGAGTTCCCCGCTGCCGGCAAGAAGAGCCGAGAGCCCGAGTGTGTCAGCTTGGCTTGGTCTGCTGATGGCCAGACTCTGTTCGCTGGTTACACTGACAACATCATCCGTGCCTGGGGTGTCATGTCGAGGGCATAGTTTGCCCATCCTTAAAAAAGAGGCGTGGTGACGAAGGCGAGCGGAAGAAGGTAGATCATTGGTGGGGCGTCAATAGGTTGGCTTCCTCGTTTGGTCTTTATTGATGCAAAGGAAGGGGGGCGACTACAAATCTGACGAGGGCATAACGCATTTGCTGGAAATAGGCAGCCCCTGAAATTACCGGGATTCATCCTTTTGTTCTCCAATAAAGAACTCGAGTTTTCAAATTATGTTATAGCTTCCAGTGATGTCTCAACGTTTGCTTGATGTAATGTCGCTGTCCCCTGTTACCAATGTGCTTGTGATGAACATGAGTTCAGTAGCATAAGCATCTGAAAGATATGATATAACATAGGCTATCGTGATTTGCGAGGGTGAAAATGGCTATTCTGCAATATAAGATCATGACCCAACAGCAAGTTGGACAATACTTTCACAATTCGGGATATCAAACACACTTCACTATAGGTCTAGTATTGTATATGACTCGGCCAGGGTCCTATTTCATGCATGGCATTTGGGATATCATTATGAGGGCGATCATTTGGTGCCGATACTTAAGCCCCTGACTGGCAATGGACAACTGGTTATTCTATTTCCCCAATCGCCTCTACATAACCTGAAATGCTTTTGTTTTTCCTGCTGGCTCAATTGTGAAAGTTTCACCTAAAGATGGATGGCGACATTCATTACGGCACGGCGAGCCATATCCGCGCCCATAATAGTCGCTGCTCCCTGAGTTTTGAGCCCTTTACATGAAAGGTGGCAGGGAAAATGGATATCCGCCGTTCTTGACACGGAATACGCTCAACAAGAAGCTGTAGACAAGGAACAGAACGCCACCGAAAGCGATAACAGCGACTTGTTGGGTCTTAGCATCAGCAATTCGCGGGACCTTGATAGCGAGAGTGATGACACAGAATGACAATGTGCCGTCTGGAAAGGCTGGTTAGCATAGTACGCAATTTGAGAGAATGGGAACACATACAAAGGGCTGCCACAATCTGAGTCTCCAGGCCGAGTTGCTGCTGGAAGCCAGGAACGATATAGTTGATTCCACCTCGTCCATCGCCAGTAACATAGGGGACCTTGCGGATGTGGTTAAACATGTGACCACTGATGAACAACAGGATGACCATAAGGGAGATTGCAGCCCAGAGGTTGCGGCTCTGAAGAATGGGAGACACGTAGGGCCACGCAACGACAGCCGCGGTAAGGACTCCAAGCACAGCGGTGATGGAGACTATCCAGCCTACGTAGTTGACAGGCCGCTTGACGCTGGGATGAGGTCGGTCAGGAAGGGAGCGAGCGAGCCAGGACTGAACTCGTTCGGCGGATGCGGGCCTGGGTTTGTCAGTCCATTGCTGTTCCTAACACGTTCACATGCCACTCACCCAGTGTTAAAGTCATAGCGATCGGGCTCCTTCTTGGTCGAAGCATGAGGACCGACGGTAGGATGGAACAGGAGCAGAACAGGAGCAGTGGAGAGACCAAGCTGTTACTATAAGTCAGCGATCAAGCTACATTTCGGGATATCTCGTATCAACATACCGACATGAAGGTATCTCTGCCGTCAACGAAATCAAGCGTGCCAAAAATCAATCGGGACTCAGCAGCCTTGTCGCCTTTGTTCCAACTCTTGCCCAGCAGGTCCCATTCGGGCTGAAACTCGCGGCATAATTGACAGGAAAATCGTGCATCGGCAGCAGTGAGGAGAACAGCGACACTGTAATCTCGAGGGGTGGATGTCAAAGACTTGTACGTGGAGTCCTTGAGCTTGATAGGCGTCGAGATTTGTTTGGCGTGGAAATCGTTGAATCGCTCGGCCGAGGACTTCTTAGCGGCCACGACACCTGTCGCAAGCAAGGCGAAGGAGAGGAGCGAATGGAGGAAGCGCATTGTGACAGAAGAACAATTCGGGGATTGTCGATCAGAGAGATAGAAAAAAGAGGCCAATTGGCCAAGAAATCCGGTTGCAAAAGAAGTGCAAGGTGGCTGTCGAAGCTACCTTTACTTACTACCTACACCTTTTACTTTACACAGGAAGCTGGAGCTATTGAACTGAAGCTGAGGTGGCCTCTGATGCAAAGAGCCTTAGTCAGCTAATCGACTGCAGCATCCTGGTGGGGGGTGGCAGCGTCATTGGGTGAGACCTATCGCTATCTTATCACGTGGAAGAGCTAACGGCAGTTCTGACGCTAGTCCCAATACAGCATATTGTTTACTGCTACTGCCTGGGAGTCCCCGGCGGTAGCAAAACACAGACTTTGGCTGGTTTCCCAATATCCGTTAATTCATCCCACTTTGTTATCAACCCGTTCATATGAGGGACGTTTTGTATATATCAAAACTTCAGTTCTGTTCTTTGTCCCCTTAATTTTGATTCGATCAAGCACTTTTACATCCACGATGAAGAAGGCCAGGTCCAGCGAGGTAGCTATGCGCGTTATGACATGGTTGACATTAGCACGATACTGACTGTAACCTCACAGCGCGCAGCTCGAATTAGCGAGCTTGAAATGAAGCACCAAAGCGATGTGCATCAGATGGATCTGACAGGCCGCGACGAGGAAGCTCGTTTACTGAAACTTCGATTGTTGTCGCTGCGCGATGAGAACGCTTCGCTCAAAGACAGACTAGTCCAGAGGGATGCTCTTGTCAAGCAGCTCTCCAAACAGAGTAACGACACTCAATCTGAGCTCAAGACAGCCAAGTCGAAACTCAAGGCTCAGGATACACAACTTAAAAAACAAGGCAATGCACTAGGGGACCTCAAAGTAAGTGAAAGTGTTCTCAGATGTTTGACAAACACTGATCTAACCGGATACCAGACCGAAATCGACTCATTAAACGAATTCAGACAAGACTCAAGCAAAGTCTTGCAAGAGAAACTCGCTCTCAGCCGTAAACTTGATCAGATTCAACCCGAGCTTGAGCATCTTCAATCGCAGCTCGAAAACCATCGCGCCGTTATCGCCCAGAAGCAGGATCTAGAACGCCAACTCAGCTCAGTCGAAGTCGAGCTAGAGAACGAGAAGAAATCAAAACAGCGCATTCAATCAAAGAGCCAAGACAACGACGAGTGGAAGGAAAAGTTCGAAGAAGCCAAGAGAGAATTGGAGAAGCTCAAGAAAGAACACAACAGAGAGCTACGGGAAGTCCGTGGGGAAAAGGAACAGGCAGAGGAGCGCGTTGAAGATACCAGAAGCAAGTTGAAGAAGACACAAACCGACCTGAAGGACACACGAGCCGAGCTTGAGTCTTGCCGTGCCGAATTGGAGGAAGCCCACAAGATCGTGGCGAACAACAAGTCGAATAAGAAGCACGCCCTCTCCAAGGAACAGCCGATAGGAAAAAGACGAGCTCAGGATATTAGCCTGGAGGATATTAGCATCGGAACTCCTGGCCCAGACGAAGCCACTCTTCGGCGCCCATTGAAGAAACGAGGCGCCGAACGAGCCTTGATGGAGAAGTCCACGTTCTCCATCACGCCATTCTTGAACCGTTCCAAGAATTTATCAGACAACCTTTCGGACGAGCCGAGTGAGCTTCATTCACCAACCGGCAAATCCACCAAATCACCGGAGCCTGCGCCACTTGAAGAGGAGGAAGTCGCAGAGGCTAGAGACTCACTGTCCATTGAACCAGTAGAGGAAGCTTCGGCATCAGATGGACAGGCCGATGATCATGTCAGCGCTGAAGAGGTGGAAGAACCAAAGGCTCAAAAGGCACGAGGTAGACCAAGAAAGGTTCTGGACGATGCGCCCACGACAAAGAAGAACATGCCTGTGCAGGCGAAGAGGAAGACCAAGGCAACAAAGGCTTCTGGCAAGCTTGCTATGGTTAGCGAGGAAGCTGACGCTGGTGAGACAGTGGAGGAGCCTTCTGAGAAGCCTAAGAAGATGCCCGGGCTATTGAAGTCTAACCCTGTTCCCGCGTTGTTGAAGCATAATGCTGATGACGCGGATGGGCGAAAGAAGAAGCGCAAGGTGCTCGGTGGCGGGAACAAGACTCTATTCGACGATGATGAAGAAGAACCAGCGCCAAAACCTTTGAAGGTGCAGATGGGTGGTGGCCGTAGGATGAAAACCCAACTGGGCGGTGCTCGCAATGCATTTGGCGGCTCTACCTTCTCTCCGTTGAAGAAGGATAGACGAGGAGTCGGTGCCAGTTTCTTGCATTGAGAGAGACTATGCACATGTAACATTAGTCTGGATGGACGGACATAGCATTGGATGGCGTGGTATACGGCATTGACATAATCGATTTCATAGCGGTACTATTGGGATAGGAGTTAGGCATTGGCGCAAGGATTTTTGTTTAAATTGGAATTACGATGACATCTTGTCTTTACAGACCTCAAAACATAGTCTACATCCAGAGCATGTTTGATACATCCAATGTGTTTTGAGATTGCGCTGCCTCTTATCAGCCAGTCCAGGTATAGGTTAGCACAATTGTTGCGAGAAGGTCCAACACCTTCAACTCGCCTTTAACCTTGAACAACTTTTGTACTCCCTGGCCTAAAATCTCTGAAAATTCATCTAACCAGATACATTTCTGGCTCATCAGTCGGATTCTCTACTTATCTTGAATAGCTGATGCCACTTTCGTGCTTCTCGATGACTTGGCTAAGTTGGTGAAAAGTTTTGACGGTACCCGAAACGTCACTCTACACATTCAACTTCACAATGAGTACTCGACTCGCATTACATCTTACAGGCCGTGAGGTCTGCTCAGTTTTCTCGATACAACGGCCGGTAGCATCTTCCATTCGATGGTCGTCATCGGGCTCTCGCTGGAAACAGCGACAAGGTCGTGATTTCTACGCACGCGGTGCAAAAGTTCAAGGGCTCAAAAGCCGGGCAGCCTTTAAGCTCCTCGAGGTCCGTAATTCAACATTCTTCAAACGAAGATACTTTTCTTCATAAGAAGGCTAATTCTTCCAGTAGATGGACTCCAAATACAGGCTATTCAAAGGAAATGGACAGACCGTGGTTGACCTTGTGAGTGCTGGAGCATGCTAATTCTTAGGCAAGACCATGCAAGAATTCCTTCACTCACTCCATCAACAGGGATACGCACCAGGTAGCTGGTCACAGGTAAAACCTCTATATATCTCTATATCTTGATTTGATTAACATTATCAGGTTGCCGTAGAGAGAACCAGACCCAACGGCAGGGTTATAGGCATTGACCTCATCCCAGCCCAGCCGCCACGGGGTGTAGCAACTTTTCAAGGTGACTTTCTTTCGCCAGATGTGCAAGAAATGGTCAAGAACTTTATTCTCGAGAGTCATCGGCGTCCACCTCCATTACAAAATGGCGAAGAGAGCGTTGGTTCTGATCCAGATGAGATCGCTGCGATTGATCGGCCGAGCTATCTCGACATGGAATTCCATACGAGCCAAGACGAGGCAGCGCCCCCCGAATCAGAAACGTCAGAGAAGCGTCTTGTAGATGTTTGTTAAGCTATCCATCAATGTGCTTCCTACGCTAATGCCCATCCAGGTTGTTCTAAGTGATATGTCAGCACCCTGGGAGCAAACCACCGGCTTTAACGTGAACACGTTGAGTAATCCATATCATAGGTTGATGAACACGAGTGGGAACGCCTTTCGCGACCACGCTGGAAGCATGGTGAGATACGGCTTGCTTTACGATTATGGAAACATGCGTAACTCATGAACCAGGACCTATGTGCCGCTGCCCTACAGTTTGCTAGTGATACTCTCAAAACTGGGGGGCACTTTGTCTGCAAGTTTTACCAGGGGTCTGAGGACAAGGACTTTGAAAAGAAGTTGAAGACCCTATTCAGCAAAGTGTTCAGAGAAAAGCCCGATTCTTCGAGAAAGGTCCGTCTTTCCAACTGGGTATAATGGCTCTAAAATGCGCAGCTTGCTAAATTTTCATGCAGGAGAGCCGAGAGGCATACTTTATCGGTTTGCGGAGGAAGTCCAATAGTACGATAGAACCACCAACAGATGTACAAGACTAGGTGTATGAGAGCAGGAATATAGCAGTTGCATCAATAGGCACCAGAGCATTGGGGATTTGCATTGGTCTTTGTAGGATACATGATGTTTTGGAATAGCCGTTTTCAGTCACTTGGGAAATAGTACCATCTTGACGGCAGCAATGCGCGAGAAGTTCATTGTAGAATTTTGTGATACCTAGGCACGCCAATTCCATGCAAGACCCATTTGCAAGCCGAAGTTCGGCATCAATTGCCCCATAAACTGGCCCAAACTCCACCCAAGGCCAATAATTTTCACCAACAAACCGCTTAGACCTTGAAACCGCGAGAGCGTCTTCGGCCACGGGCACGCTCGAACTTGCGGCCCTTGGACTCGACGTAAGGCTTCTGTAATGGGGGTTAGACACTGTTACTTCAGTAAGACTAGCAGTTAATCGTACCTTGTGGCTGTGGGGACCGAAGCCGAAGTGCTTGACAGCCTCACGGGCGTTCTTGGGGCCACGGAGGATCAGGGTGTTGCTTCCGGTGGGAGCACGGAGAGCAAGCTGGTCCAGAGTGATGGCCTCACCGCCGGCAGCGACGATGCGGGCACGGGCGGTAGCGGTGAATCGCAGAGCAGCGACGGTCACCTTGGGGCACTCGAGCAGACGGTTGTCATCGGTGATGGTACCGACAACAACGACGGTTCGCTTCTCACCCTCCTTGTTGATGTTGGCGACAATTCGGGACAAGGAGACGGGAGGTCGGTTGATCTTGGACGTAAACAGACGTCGGAGAACAACCTTGTTGAAAGAGGAATCGGTTCGGCCTGTAAAGTTGGGATTCGGGTTAGTTGGCTGCGCTCGTTCGACTGTAGGAAATCGTTGGCGGAGGGTTGGACGTACGAGCCAGGAAGCGGTAAAGCTTCACCAAGAGCTTGAGGTAGACATTGTCGCTCTTGGGGGCAGTGCGGTGAGTGCCCTTGACATGGTGGCGGTCGAGATCGATACCTGTGAGTTGAAGCCTTCGTCAGCCTTTTTGTTCAAGCATGCTCAAAAAATAGCAACTCTGTCTTGCGCTTTCGCGAACAAGATGGTGCCATGGTCGCAGAGAAGGAGGCACAGAAGCACACCCCTTCTCTACTCGCATACAGAGGCTGAACTTCAATATCTTCACGTACCCATGGCGGCGGTTGTCGCTGTGAAATTTGGCGTTGTTATGGAGGTTATCGAGAAAAGAATTTCACAAAGCTGTGAGTATCAGAAGTGGCAGCTCCACAACAACGAAAAGAACAAACCCTACCCCACGTGACCTTTTCGAGCGCTAACGAACTTCGTGAGGGTGCTCAACTGAGCAGGTGCCCGCTTTTAAGGAAAATGCTATTGGCAGCACTAGGAATTGTCATTGCGGACAGCAATAATCTCATCCTGTTATACGAAACAATTGTACGGATAGAATTAAAGCGAATCACCAAAGTCTTCTAAATCTAAACCAGGTTCAATTTGGAAGACATTTATGTAGCTGCACTGATTTTAAGGAGACAGGTAGGTAACAGAGGAATTGTCCTCTGAATTCTTCTTACACCTTGACATAGAGTGACAATAGGCGAGAGCAACTTGTCTTCCATGTGCCGTCCTTAGTGCTTGTGTTAATATGTATAATTAAGAAATGTCCAAGAGGCTCCGAAACTACCGGCTGGACGGGTGGGTTATTGTCTTCCTGGATGTTCCCCACCGTAGTGGGGGACTCGGGGTTGGTGCCGTCGCCGCTGTTTAATGCCGCCGTCGTCGGTGTTGGTGTTGGTGTCGCTGCCGGCCGAGCCAGAGCCCACCCGATAAACGGGACCGGAGGCGCTTCTTGGCCTGCCTCCTGGTCTATATATTGTCAGATTAATTAATGTATTGCAAAGCCATATTTTTTAACTCACCAGCGTACATGCTCATGAAATCCGGTATTGCATTATTGCGGTTCTGTAGGTATACTTGATGGCACGAAAATTCGACATCACCCAAGGCTCTGTTTCATCCTTATTGCAGTTCCAATACTACTTGACTGTGAAGTAACAGAGTTCGAGGTCGAATTTTTGGAGGTCGATGTCTTAGAGAGGCGCCCTAATACAAGGACGACCATGACCTGCACAACATTCATTTTTCCGCAGCTCGTCCACATTCCTTACTGGCACTGGCCGAGTCGGCAAATGGGAAAGGAGAATGAGAAGCAAACCACTCATAGATCAAGAGGCTTGATGTCGGCCCAAAATAGGAGAGCCCTCTCTTCAACTCGTCAGCGACCAATCTGCAATCTCAAGGTCACGATCTAAAAGGGGCTATCTTCCCTCATGCCACATATCGTATGTCATATCTCAGGCTCCGTGATTTAGTACAGCCCGAAAATGAATTCTTCTATCTTTCGCCATACTCCGAAGCTTTCCTCCAAGCTCCGCCCCAACATTCAAGACGCCTTATATCTATCTCCCCGTAACTAAACGTAGCACTTCCTGCAACGTCGTCAACATCACAAACCAGTATCATAACTATGTTAAGTCAATACCCTTTACGAAGACCTAGATATGCATCGCAATCAAGTCTTTCACAAGAGCAAAGGCGCGCTTCTCAAAACTCTTCCCGCCACATATCACAAGAATCAGAGTGCGGTTACATGACGAGATAGGGTTTGGCATGCCGGTGGTTTCAGACAGCAATGTAAGTGCATGGATTGAAGATATCAAGTTCCCTGATGCTGGGGACAGGCTCTCCCTTCGATCCAGGTTAGACAACCCAACTCCCCGCGAAACACAACACTCAACTACAAGACAAGCCACGCTATTGTAAACGCTTCTCCTTTCCTACGAGCTAAGCACCGGGTGCTTAAGGACGAAGCGCGCATTCTGAAAGCATACAACACTCAGATTATGGTGGCTACAGATTCTAAGAAAGATACAAAGGGATCAAAACATCAGCAAGAAATCCAGAGATATCAACGTTTGACAACGGGCGAAACATTATCAAATTGACTTCAACTGGACTTTGTGGTTATCATCAAGAATATACATTTCTAGTTCACCACCTTCACAGTACCTATCTCCATTTCGACGCAAGTTTTGTTAACCACTGAGTTCGCACTTCCAGCGAACTTTGTCACCTTCAAACGAAAGGGAAAGTCTAGAAGAGAAGAGAGGCAGTTACGGAATCGTGTTTACGATTGGAAAGATCGAGAGTGTTATCGTCCAGAACAGTGTGTCATAATCAATGTCAGAGTTAGGCAGTTGTTCATATTTTTGATTCCAAGTGTCTTTATTCTTTCAGACAATCATCTAAGATAAGCGGATGTAGTTAGTAGCCAAGGTGATATAAATTCTACCGGCTCCTTTCTCTTCATAGACACATCTCTGTCCCTTATCTACCAGTGTAGTAGATAGAATATTCAGGCCAGTTCTTCTGACATCCTGAGGAGAGACAACAACTTTCATTCTGTGTCCCCAGGCACCCGTGGCACCTGGTGCTCATGGTAATATAACTAATTTCTTCTTCTCCTTTTTCTTCTTCTCTTTTTGTACTAAGACCCAGCGATATCGCCGCCCACCAGGTTGGTATCGTCGCCGCCGTCGCCGGCCGGGTTAGTGTTATCGTCGCCGCCAGTCAAGTTGGTGTCGCCGCCGCCGCCCACCGGAGTTGGTGTTGGTCTCGCCGCTGTTACCAGCGGCCGCGGCCTCTGCCCGCCGAAGCCTCCACTGGGCCGAACGAACGGCCTTCTTGGCCTGGCGTCGAGACTATGTTGTTAGATCAATAAAGAGTATTGTAAAGATATATCTTCAACTTACAAGTGGCTTGCCATGGCCACGGCCACGGCCACGTCCCCGCCCACCCCGACGTCCACCGTCATCACCACCGCCGGCACCCCTCCGAGACATACCATGTCCCTCCCGTCACATTGAATGTTTGGCTCATCTGTATAAACCTTAGTCTGTGATTCACAATGAAGGAAACTGGAGTCTCAGGGGCTAACCTTTCTGTGCTGCACTTTCAGTTGTCCCGAGAAAAATCAACAGAGGATAGCCGATGCGCTGATGTTCGTATCCAGGGGCAAGGGCGAGCAAGATAGTAGGGAATGGTAGTGCTTGATCGCGATTTGAAAGTGGACTAGAGAGAAAGAAAAGAGGAAAGGAGGAGGGGAGGGGGAAAACGGAAGTAGCTGGGGTCGGGGATGCTGCCTGAGGTGCTACTGCCTGCCTCACCACGACGCGCTCATCGTCGCGAGTGCCTTCAAGTGCCACTGCCAACTACCCACTGAAAGCATCAGGAACGGTCCATAGGTGCTTAGGTAGGTAACGCTTCTGTGGGATCCCCGACGGATCATATCAGGTAGGTAAGAGATACTTCTATAACTACCTGAGTCATAATTTGGGAAAATTTTGTTTAAGTCTTATTATTCTTTATGAATCTCTCTCTCTCCCAAATCCATATGCTTCTTGAAGGTTATGTGATTATATCTTGGGAAGAAACATCCTTAGTGGTAGCTGGTAGTAGCCCCTGAAGGCATAAGAGACGAAATAATTTGGTCACTTTATGCTAGCTTAGACTAGCAGTTAGGCTATTTTATTATGGAAGCCTAAGCCTTAGATGACGATTCTTCTGTTACCCACCATTCTCTTTCTACGTTTTGCCGTCGTTCCAGTTATCTCATGAATGTACAAATCTATCATGTCTCCCATAATCGCGCCATTTCCATTTCCATTTCCATTTCCATGTTCCTTTATCCTCTTTCCTGCTACCACGCAAACTATGCTTCAGAAAACCGTATGCCGTACACAAACTATCTTGACAACAACCTTGTATGAAATCACAATTGTTGAGGCTCGGGGTTAGGTCTGAGTTCAACAAGGAAATCACGAGTCATCTCGAAGCTCAGCCAGCTTGACGCCATACTGGGAGCGACCTTCAGGAGGTTGGGCACAATGCCCTTGTAGAGACCCTTGATTCCCTCTTGCATCACGATAACCCGAATAGCATCTGTGATGCCCTTGTACTGGTAGCCCATACCTGACATGGTGTTGATCTGGAATCGTCGCCGCAAAACGTCGCTATGCACTGGGTCAGTCACGATCATGAAACATGACGAGAATCGAGTCCACTTACAAGGGGTATGTGCAAGTTTGTGCTACGGCCCCTGAGATGGCACCAGCAAGTAGCTTGCGAGACGCGCTGGGGTTCTGCTCTCCCTCCGGCGTCAAGTATTTCCGGACAGATTCATAAACCATAAAGTTCAGGCCGACCTGTTGGGTTTTTTGTCAGTAATCATACAAAGAGTGCGCGCTGATGATATATGACTTACATATGGTGCTACTCCAGCAACAGTAGGGATGATACCTCGATATAATGCAGACATGCCGCCCTCGGTCTTGTACATTTGTGTCAAAGTAGTCCACATACCGGGCAATTTGTCCGGTCTGTCTCCTAGCTCTGCAAAACTTGCGGACTGGATAGATAGCCGTGTGCGAACAATATCGAGGGGGTATGTGAGAAACACAGATGTTATGCCAGCTATACCGCCACAGATAAGACGAGTGAAGGGCGATAAATCAGCGCCTGGATGGCTCTCGAAGATGTTCTGGTGCTTTGTCAGTCTCTGGCACACGGTCTTAAGCCTGCTCTAGTAGTACGCACCCGTTTGTAGAAGTTGTAACTACTGAATTGGACAGCAGAGTAGGGAACGATGCGGATGCAGTTGGTGCCGTTGCCTCGCATGAATCCTCTCCAGCCTTCTTCCTTCCACATCTTTACCAGAGCCCTTCCAACGGATAACTTATATGCATCTCGTCCAACGCTTTGGACCTGCATGAGAATCTTGAGTCGTTCTAAGGGGGACACAACGGTTCGGGACACTGCGCCGGCGACGCCTCCAGCGCAGAATGCAGCGACAACCGGCTGGGAAATTGATTCTCGAAACTGTATGGACCGATTAGAGGCCACGGCAGTTGTCGAATTGACCAAGTCAGGCTGTGACTAAACTACCTGATTAGCAACGCCTTTACGGAGCAGAAACAATGTGCAGAATCCCCTTGAGGGAACCAATGGCACTTATTGCACGTACAGTAGACATCGTAGTATGTGTAATTATTGCGCCGTGTGGGATAATAAGGCAATTGGCCCCAAGTCAGGGCGTTGTCTTTGTCCAGGATGCTGTGTCGTGGTGATCGCTATGCTTTGGCAGGCAATTGCGACAGGGGTGGGCAGCGAGAACAGGACCGGTCGAATATCTAACGGGTATGATATCTCCAATTGTTACTGTCGCTTTAGGGGTAGCAATGGCATGCTGGGAGGTCGAATCAAGGATAGACTGTCGGTAACCATCGGAGAAGAAGGACGAAATGTATGCGCCGAGACCAACACACGACAAGGCGTGCGGTCGAGTTGCTGGCGAGTTGGACAAAGATCGACAGCTCGACTTTTGGTGTCTGCCTTGGCTGTTTGTTTATTTATATAGAATAGGTTGAGTGATGGTGAAGAGATGGGATACGGTATCGGTGCCGTCAAGGAGCGGATGGGGGCGCGTGAGCCGGCGATGCGGATGACTTCGGGGGCGCGCGCGTGGTGTCCCCGGTAGCCGTTCGGGAGAAGCAATAGCAGGATCTGGAAGGTTAAAATTGTGGGGTCTAATGGGAATACTTCCAGCTACAGGGTAAACTGGAGGCATATGACATTGAGCAAATGCTTCGACCACATGTGCCCTATATACAATATTTGGTCTTATGAAGGATTATATGGCTTTATGATAGCTCCGTTTCGTATTGCGGCTAAAAACAGCATCAATCAGATATCGAATGCGTACATGAAACTCATGGGAAATCAATCGAGATGCGAGTTATTGAAATACATAGCCAACTGCGACGGAGAGAAGAGAAAGGAAGAAACAAATAAAGGGACTCCTAAACATGCAAAGTCGCTCATAAGTTGTTTCATTTTTCATTTGTATTTAAGCCTGGGTACTCAAGTGTTAAATTCAATGGATCCATGTGTGTCCCTGAAGGAACACTGATGCGCTTCAGCTGTAGCATTGCTGTACGGCGATCATTAGACTCCTTTTGGCTAAGCTTAGCCGCTGGGCTTGATAACTCGCTGTAGCGCAACCGCATGAATGGAACCAGTCACAGCTTCAAGTTACACAACATCATTGTGGCTATACATATATATATTCAGCTGACAACGACAAATTGAGAAGCCAGGAAAACAGATCATTGACCCGTTGCGCCGAATCATGATACTAGACAGTCTAAACTAACTACGAAATGAGAAGCCACCAAACAAAACGCGCCATGGCTAAAAGCCTTCAGTCTCTGAAAACGAGATTACCCACCCAGCTCAACATGGCTTCAGTCGTTCCCAACGTTGCCATTTTAATCAGGCCATTCAAACAATATTACACATTGCACCTGTCAAGTACCAGGGAATGAAGCTAGCCTCAGCCAGAAAGTAGAAACTTTTGCTTGAGCTTGACAAGCCCATGAAGTCTTGCGAGTGCTAAAAGCATAGCAGAAGGGACGCCTACTCGGCGACATCGAGGTCCTCATGAGCGGGAGGAGGACTGTCGAGAGCTATAGCTATTGTTAGCAAAGAACAGTCCAAGTAGAGTCAGAACACATACGCTTTCGGTCATCACCATTAGTGCCGTTCTCCCGGCGGTCACGGTCCTCACGATCATCCTTAGAATCACGCTCGCGATCACTGTAGTGACCATGTCAGTATAAGTAACCAAGAAGTGTTCAAAATGAACCTACCGATGGTCAGGGCTACGGGAACGGTCCCTGTCACGTCGACCCTCGCGGTCATAGTCTCGGTCACGATCTCTGCGCTCGTCCTTACGAGGAGAATAATCGCGAGTGCTGCGACGAGGAGAAGGAGAACGTCCCCGTCTGGGAGAGCGAGCAGCACCACCACGTCGATCACGATCACGGCCAGACTCAAATCGCCAAGAGGCAGAGGGAGGTGTGCGAGCCCACTGGAAGATAAATCAGCAAAGTGTCACTGGCTGTCAAGCGCTATCCTTGGACAGAACCAAAAAGACATACCTCGATTTTTAGAATATCATCACGGCCAATACGCTTGTTGTGCATCTCGTGATAAGCATCATCAGCATCACGTCGGTCCTCATACTCAACAAAGGCGAAGCTATTATTCATGTCAGCTCAATCGCATACAACCAGAGCTGGTCACACTTACAGACGGCTGGACGTAGACCTGGGTGCAGGAATGTCGCAGCGAACCAATCGGCCATAGCTATCGAAGAAATGGTCAGTATACTACGGAGCATATTGTAACGCAGCAAAACGCCGACAGAAGCCCCCTTTTGGATATGAATGCGCATGACATTCACGCGCCGGCTCGATTGTAGAGCGACTGCGCAATAGACGAGCAGTCCCATCGACGAAATTGGGAAGACAGGGGAGGAAGGAGTGCTGGGGCGTGGGCGCGAGCGAAAACGAGACGGGAGGACGAGGACGTAAGGACGACGATGGACGGCGAGGAATCATGGCCAGACTAGAGATCTTTACTTGGCATTGGATTTGATTGGCAAAGCAAGATCTCGAGCTCATGGCATAGACATGGACGAAGGCGCGCGCGAAAACGGAAGGACGCGGACGCGGACGAGGGCGTGGGCGTGAGCGTGAGCGAGGTTGACATACCGTTCGAACTCGTAGGCGAGGTCGCGAGCGCGGGTGCCGTGGCTGAAGCCGGTCACGTAGAGAGTGGTGCCGCCGCGAGACATTGTCGTGTTGCGAAAAACGTGCTTCTAGAAGTGATCAAAGTAAGGGAAACTGATGCAGCAGTTCCAAGAGTGTGTTGGTCAGGGGAGGAATTGATGGAAAATAGTTGATGATGGTGTAACCTGGACTGCCTTTCGAGGTTGCACGATACGGTCACGAGTGTTTGGTAGGTACGGAAAATTTAGCGGCATTGCTGACCTAATACAGAGTGCTTGCGCAGCCAATTAAAAGAGCATTGCAGTGAAGAAGGTGCTCCAGCTCTCTTTTTTTTTTGCATGGGGGTACCTGACGTACTATACAGCCTTGTTTTGTCAGGTCAACGGCCCACCCGCTGCAAGGTACTGTACTGTACGGTACATTCCTCTACTTGGATATCATGAATCCTGTTCAACTTGAAAGTTCCAGCACATGTCGGACTTTCTATGTCTTTTCGGACCTTGAAATCGGCCGCGCGGAATTGAACAAGGCCGACCGGCGACCGCAGAATCCGTTTCATGAAGAACCCATGCGCTTATACTTAGGTACTTAAGCATATGCCTAGTGCAAAGAGCATATGAGGTCATAACTGATAGTAGTATCAATGTTGTTAAAACGGCTCTCTTGATAATGTACTACAATAAGCTTACAGTAATATGATGGGCTTCTGACCGTTAGACTACCCAGTGTCGCCTCTGTCTATATACAATGCATTGAGAGTAAATTCTTCAAGTGCCTACCAACATACAATTTGTCTATTTCGGAAACATGTCAAATGCCCTTGATGAGTGCACAGTCCGCTCCGAGCCTCCCGACTGTGTCCCATGTGCTGTAAGTCTTTTACATCCATCTATGTTGCATTTTTGTACCAGAGAGTGGAGGGTCTGTCCAAAGACCGAGGCTTTCTTTTTCTCATAGAAATGACGTTTGATTCAAAGATCCATACAAAATTGTCAAGAATGAAATAAGCATAAATCTCATCCAATGTCTCTTATCGCACGGCAGTCTCGGACTTGTAAGCACATACATTATAGTACATTACGGTACAGAGTACGTGCAGCTGTCAGGTATTGTTTGTCTGATCGTCAGCCGTTGCATCCGTTCGGACCTCGAGTTGATATTCATGTCAACTTTCTTTACTGATTGTTTTTAAACAAGGTCTTGCCGCTTACTGTAGCGACTTTTCCTATGCCTCCAGACCTTTGAGCATTGGTTACGATTAACAGACTACCATTCTTACTATACTTCCTCGAAGAAATCTATCCATTCCTTTACCCCTTTCAACCATTTCAGCGACTGTCACTGAATCATGGCTTCCTCAGTTGTCGAGGAGGACTCTCCACCTTCCGGACGGAGCTCCGGACATGCGGCGCCGGAAACTCAACGGCCAATGCCGAAGTCACTTGGTGAAGCTCTACGTGCTGTCGGCATGACACTCGATAGACCTGGCTCTGAAACTCCAAGCGAAGAGGATTACGAGGAGAATATCCGACCAACTTTGACAGAGCCATCCACCGTCCGGCATCGTTATCGATATGCCCGTCGTGGTCGTTCACAGAAAGAAACACACTCTCCATCCTTTGTGGAATCCGAGTCACGACTCAAGCGTCGTGACTCTGGTGTTCATATAGTATCGGACGAGGACAAGAGCCTTCAGCAAATACTCAAAACTAGTCCTCAGTGGCCTCAAGAACCGTCTAGTCCGAATGTACGGCGACGCAAGTTTGCTGATCTCGTCTTCACTCGTCAATTCTCTGCCTTTGACCGCCATAACCCATTGGCATCTAACAGCCCATTCCATGGCTTCTATACGCTCTTTTGGCTCGCTGTGGCTCTCTTTGTCCTAAAGATTTCTGTTCGGAACTGGCAAGTTTATGGAAATCCTTTAGGCACCAGCGATATCATGAGAACAATGTTTCATCGAGATGGTATGTACCTGCTATTACTGAGTGTTGAAGCCAACGAGACTAACAGAGTCAAAGTAATTGTTCTGCTGGTCTCAGATGGCATCATGTGTGCTTTTACAGCAGTGACATGGCTGATTCAACGGTTGGTATCTGCCAACTATCTCAACTGGGACGGGGCAGGATGGGTCATCCAGAATGTAGGTCACTCAAGACTTCTAAACTGTCAGGCTCTGAGCTAAGCAACTGTCTTTTAGATTTGGCAAACCACCTTCCTGGCAGGAGTCATAGGCCTGACTCTATTGCGTGACTGGCCCTGGACTCATACAGTCTTTTTCGTATTACATGGCATCGTCATGCTAATGAAACAGCACTCTTATGCTTTCTATAATGGCTATCTCTCTTCGGTCTACAAGCATCGTGCTGCCATTACCAAGAAGCTCAAGCAGCTAGACCTTGTTGACCCGACCAACACCCCTTCACGGACTGAGCCCCCTGCATCCGCCATCTCAACGCATCACCTCAGCATTGCTCCCTCAGCTGAAGAGCGTCGAAAGTCCATCTCGGCCCAGCCAGAACAGGAGGAGAGCGACATAGAAAAGATTTCACGTGCGATTGCTTCGCATGAGCCTTTGGACGACCAACAGATTGGTCTCTTCGAGCGCATCATGAAATGGGAGATTGATGCCATGTCAGACGAACTCAAGGGTACCGCTCTCAGCGAAGACAAGGCATACCCGAACAATTTGTCCCTCATGGAACATTACAAATGGATCCCTCTGCCAACATTGGTTTATGAGATTGAGTATCCACGATCAGACTCTATCGATTGGTCATACGTATTGGAGAAATTTATCGCAATGATCGGGATCTTATTTGTCATGGTACAAGTCTCGCAGTATTCCATATGTGAGTGTTTGGCAGTAGAAAGCTGTCATCCTGTACAAGCTAACATCACTATAGATCCCGTAGTTATGAAGACCGTTGAAATGAAGAACAATGGCGACACTCTTATCCAGAGACTTCAGGAGTTCCCGGGATTGCTTCTTGATCTCATCTTTCCATTCATGATGGAATACCTGGTAAGTGAGATCAAGGTTCCACTCTACCTAAGGACACATACTAAACGTTCAGCTTGTCTGGTATCTGATATGGGAAACGATCCTAAATATCTTGGCCGAGCTGACGTACTTTGCCGACCGGAGCTTTTATGATGCATGGTGGAACAGTGGTAAGTCAGAGAGCACCCATGAAAAAGATGTATAAACTGAGATATATCTAATTCTTAGTCTCGTGGGACCAATTCGCCCGTGACTGGAATCGACCAGTCCATGTCTTCTTATTGCGACATGTCTACCACAGCTCTATCTCGTCTCTGAAGGTCAACAAACATACAGCCACCCTCATCACATTCTTTCTCTCGGCCTGTGTTCACGAGTTAGTTATGTGGTGCCTATTCAAGAAATTGAGAGGCTATCTGCTATTCCTTCAAATGTGTCAACTACCGGTATGTTCTCAAATCATGCTCTTAATTTGATAAATATTGACTCATGATTCGCTTTGAAGTTGGTCAGGCTGAGTCGCACTAAATGGCTACGAGGGCGCAAAACATTGGGAAATCTCATCTTCTGGTTGGGAATCTTCACAGGGCCAAGCCTTTTATGCAGTCTTTATTTGATCCTGTAATCCTATTTTCGGCGGGTTGGGCTGAAATGGTATTTTTCTTGAGCTGAGCAGGTTGTTAGGATCTTGCCAGAGTCATTCATGAACTGACTAGAGTCAGGATGTTCTCTACAGGTCACTAAACAGAAAGTATCAGGTCAACGACGCACCCCTTGTGACTATATACCCAAAGACGGACCGGGGTTCATGACTGATCGATAAGACAACACCGCAGCTGAAGTTCTTCTAGATTTTGAAACAATCAGGTTGGCTCAGAACGATAACAATTGGATCGGTGGAATAGAATCTTTTTTTTAAACATATCAAGCATTCCAGCATATGAATGACAGCATCTCCGGAACGCGCCATCGCCAAACAAGTCCCAAACTAGATCTACATTCGCTCGTGAGTAGCCATAAGAGAACCTGTACGTTAAGTCAGCAAGGCTTTAGTAAACAGAAAGGAAGGAAGTACTTACCGATAAACGTGGTGATGAGGCGGCTGCGTACTTGGCAGATATCCTCGGGAACCAGCCAGATGGTTGCACCGAGCTTTCGAGCAATGCTGATGCTCAGCTTGGCATTCAAGTAGGCGTCCTCGTCGGTTTGACCAGACGTCACAAGGTCGTAATCGACATAGCTGCTCTTCATTCCGTTCAAAACATCCAGAAGGAAAATACCTGAGGCGATTGAAGGGTCCTTGAAAGAGCGAATGGCAGAGTTCCTGCCACCCTTCTGTGACATGTCGTTCGCCCATCGCACCATCTCGGAGTCGGTGATTTCTCGCTTACCCAGCTTCTGAGCCAGCGAAGAAAGAGTAACTGTGATGTTCTTGCGCATAAGCTGCCAGACGAGACCCAGAGTCAGGGTTCTTTGTCCATCAGTAATGTCAGCTCCCTGAATACCCACAAGCGAGAAGCCGTTCTGTTTGCCTAGCTCAATCGCATAGTTGGTATTCTCGACAGCCTTGAATCTCGAGATCTCTCCTCCGTGAGCTGGACGCTTGTTCACGTGGCGAGGGTTGACGGAGTTAGGAATGACCTTCTCATAAGCCTGAAGCAGCACGCTACCATCGCGGAGATCATCGAAGAAAGAAACAACGGCAGGCTGGACGTCCAGACTGTTGAGCCACAAGGTAAAGACTCGGGCTTCACGCTCTCCCTCTGCATCAAAGTCTTCGACTTCAAGTTTCTCCTCCTCAGTAATAGGGTCAAGAGCAGGGTGGTTGTTGAAGAGGTTAGCCACGAAAGCCAAGTTAAGCTTTGGGTTTCCTGCAACGAGAGACTTGGGTGTCAGGAACTTGCGGCAGCCAAGCTTGTCAGCTTCTTGAAGGACTGCCTCAGCCCGGTCATGTAAGTCTTGCTGTTGCAGAGGCGCGCGGGTGACGCCATATTCAGGACCGATCTGGGCAAGCAGAACCGCATAGTTCTCGCCGTCCTTGACGTCAGAGGAGAAGTTGTTGACACTGGGATGGTTAGCTTGGAAAACACAAGAGATGATATGGACTTACGTGCGAGACCAGTTAGCAGCCTTCAAATGGTAATTGAACCATCGGAGGAGAATCTGCTCTGGGGGCAGTCGGAGGAACTGCTCGAGGGTCTCGTCTTCTTCGAGCAATCGATAGAGCTCAGGGTGGAGCTTGATATCGATCTTACCCAAAAGTCCTCGTCGAATAATCTGCCAAATCAGACCCAAGATGAGATGCTCTCTAACCTCAATGATGTCGCCAGCACCAATGTTGACAACGGAGCAGCCGATACCCTTGGCAGACTCGATAACGATGTTGTTGTTCTCGCTCATGTGGAAGGCATTGAGGTTCTTGATCTTTCTCCCAGGGATATTGAGAACACGTTCGTCGATAGTGTCGGGAACGCTGTCGTTGATGAGCTTTGCCAGGACCAGACCGTCCTTGCATTCGTCGAACATCTCGAAGGTATCTGTGGGGAAGGGCAGACGGCTGTCGATATCGGCGTCACCAGCCAGCACAGCATTGATGTGACGGGTGAATTCAGTACGTTCATCCTCGTTAATGGTGTGAGTGATATTGGCATTGGAGCCTTGAACTTGGATCTTGCCGCTGACACTGCCTTTGGAAGAATGACCACCAGTGCGCTGTGCAACAACACCTCCTCCACCTCCAGGGGAAGCAGTAGGTCCTGTGGACATGCGCTTTTGAGCGGGTGAGGAATCGCGAAGCTTGGCGACGAGCTGGTTAAATAACAGTTAGTGCTGTCCACCGGAATTTGGATATGGAGATGCCAATACGTACGCTGACATAATCTTCCAACTCGACACGTCGTGAAGAGTCAAGCTCGACTTCCTTTAAAGCCTGGCGCACAACATCGTAGGGCTGGTTTTCGCTCTGTTGCGTGGCCTTAATAGCTGTAGCTTCGTCAAGGTACCCCTTGTCGTCAACATCAAGCCGTTGGAAGGCATCAGACAAGCCGAAGATCTCGTTTTGCTGGAATTGAGGAAATTTCCTATACTCTCATCGTCAGTTGAACATTGTAGTCCGCGAGATCCGGCGCAACCGACCTCTGAAGCTTCAAAACGTTCATGGCGGGGGAATGAGGGGCGCTCGAATAGGGCGCTTTCACAGAAGGAGGGTGCCGAGCAGAGAGAAGCTTTAGCGATTCTTTGTGACCGCAAATCAACAAAAGAAAGAGAGGAACGTTGCGAGTTGAAGGGGATGATGATGCGAGAATTGGGCACCTGAAAGGAGACGAACAGTCGGTCTTCAGGCGGCACCGGTAGCATGAGTATGAGTGGGGGAAGCCTAGCACCTTTTCCAGATTGAGGAGTACCTGAACAATGCTGTCGATCAAGTACCCTCTAGCAGCGACTCATGTACTTCAGGCGAGGCTTACCGTGGCGGGTGTACCTATTCGCTTGCGCCACAGTACTTGCTTGCCACGTCACTGCGGGGAGCTTCCCAGCCAAGAGCCTGATGCATGTCTGTAGAAGCGGTGATGTAATGAGCATGGCAGTGTAGTAGCTCTTTTTATCAATCCTACCAAGTTCCTTTAGGCATCCGTAATAGTTCCTCTCCTAGGTACGACACAGACCCTTCATGCTGTATGTATGTATCGCTAGGCCCTTATGCTCTAATTGTCTTAAAATGGAGGGATTGCGCTAGTATTCTTCCGCAACAGATACCGCATACTGTTTCAATGCTTGGTTCCTAAGATTGAGTTCCAGGAGCTTGGTATTCCTCTGCTCTTTCATGAGTACCTATCTTGCCGTTACCATGTGTTTATCTTTGTTGATCAGATTCCATGCTTAGCCTTATGCTTGTGTAATGAACTCAATTCCATTTCTCCCCGGCCGTTACCTACCTACCTAGGTACTAATGGAAATATGCTCGACGAACGTGATGACTTCTTTTTTACAGAGGTGAATTGCGCCCCACTTGGTTGCGTCAGGGGTTTTTGTCACTACCTCACTCTCTAGTACTGAAGAATGGTGGGGAGGCAAAAAAAGAACACAGCAAAAAGTTGTCGAAGTCCCTAATACACAATTACGTTCATTTATATCTGCCTCAGCCACCTTATTACGCATCTTGCAAGGCTCAAATCCTGATAATTACCATTTCTACTTACTCCCAACATGTCAGTTTGCAAGGTTTGCGAGGAAGCGCTGGTGTTGCGCCTGGATGCAGACGACGATGAGATTGAGGCGGCTGGTGCTGCCGGTTCCAGTTCCGCCTCAAATTCAACAGTTCCCGATGATCTTGAATTGTCCTGCGGCTGTCATTTCCATTGGTAAGTCCATTTGGTGTTACTTGACCTGCCGGACTTTGAACTAAATGCTGTTAGGCAATGTTTGTTGGACCAATCTTCTGAAATGGCCCTGTCTCTCAAGTGTCCCAGCTGCAACGACCACCTCCCTGTCAACAATGCTGGACCTTCTGTGACCAACCCATTTCTGTCTACACCAGCAGGCGCAGCAATCCTCACAACCTATACAAATGAGGGCGGCGTCCAAGAAAATCTTGACATTTTGCCTTCGATTACAGAAGAAGCATATCTTGAGAGCCACCCCGAAGCACGCCCGGCTCGTGCCCTGCATGTCATGTGTGCAGAGGGCGACGTCGGTGGAATTGTTGAGCTCCTTCGCGATGCTAGCGATGACATTGAAGATATGGCATCCTTTGTTACATACCAGGATCCTCTCGCAGACATGAAGAGTGGGCTTCACCTGGCCATTGAAAATAAGCAAGAGGAGTCGCTCTGGCTTCTCCTTTGGCTGTGTTCAACAATTCCGGAATCTTCCTTCCCTGAAAACGCTCGCTCTGTAGCTGAAGCTCTAGGCGTTGGTCGATTGTCAGTAAATAGCGAACAGGATATCCGCGGTTTGCGAGACAGTCACGGCAAGACAGCTGCAGACATCGCTCAACAGCAGCAGGGGCACTGGGACCGAATCCTCCAGACAGGCATACTATCGCAGTAAGTTCCAATGATGACATTTCTTACTTCGGTAGCTTGTCAGGTTAGGATGATGACCACTAGGGCAGAAAGGTTGTTAAAGGGGCGCATGGCAATTGTATGGCGTTTGTGGAACAAAAATGGAGCAAGAGAGGAAACTTGTGAGAATAGAAGCTATGCTGCAGTATAACTCCTAGACATCCGTCTACTGTATTGAGTCTCTTTCATGAACAATCCTGCATTTGTATGGTAACGGGATTTTGCAGTCGAGTTAATGGATGTAGCTAAAGTGCATACAGTATCTAGCGCAGTATCCGTAGATAATCCTTTATCCGTGTGGGTGGGTACCTGCCTCGCTACAACAGGTAAGTAGCGTCACTAGTAGCACAGTATGGATGTTAGGCAGGCCATGGGATAAATGCTGTGAATGCGCTAACTAAAGGTACCTACGCTGGGACGTCATCTGGACTTTCACATGAAACGTGTGCAACAACCATCCCTATCAACTTCTCGATGCCCGTGGAAGTTTGGTACTTCTTCTATATTATTTTGTACTAAGCTTTGACTCTCCGTTGTGCTTTCGCTCTCAACACCTCTGCCTGAAGGAAATCTCATCCTTTGCCAGGAACCAAAACGCCAAGTACTGTACTGAGTTCTGATCCTATCGCGACATCGGTGAGACTAGAGCTGGCGTCGTTACATATAGCAAAACGGAAAGCTAGGGTTACTATCTTTGGCAGAACCAGCCGAAGTACTTGGTCGCGAACGTTTAGTAGAACGATGGCGCCAGGGACGACCGACAAAAAGACTGAGAAGTCGTATTTAAGCTCCGCCGTTGATTCTATCAATCCTTGGGCCGCCAGTCGCAGTACAACTCCAACCCAGAAACTCAAGCCAGAGCCAGACAGCCTTTTGGCCGCTGCTCCTGCAAACCCTGATGACCACAGCACAACTCATTTATATGGCCAAAGTTTCCGAACATATCCTTCAGGATGCCCTCCTCTAAAGGTTCAGTGGTTTCATGCCGTGGATGTTCCCAAGCGTAAACCTAAATTGAGCCGTTCGGCCAAGCCTGAACAAATCACAGCCTCACCCAAGAAGTATAATGCCTTTTCGCCCTCGGACTCGAAGGCTTTAGAAGCTGAATACCAAAAACTCCTTGAGCAAACGGAAAACACCCGAAGTCAAGTCTCTGGAAGCACACACCCGGTGACAAGAAAGCGTAAAGCAGATGCACCGGGCAGAAACCCAGACGATACTGCAGAGGACACTGCTGGAAATACAGACTCACAGCCGATCGGTACCCGAGTCGCGGTCAACGAAGACTTTCTGTTTGACGTTGATATTGAATCTCGCGAACTAGCCCCTGTCTACTGGCTTGGCCCTGTTTACGATGGTATGTCCCAACAAAAAATTCTCTTTCTCATCTCTAACCAATGTTAGTTCGACGCGGAACATGGTTCTATCAAGAAGGCTCAAACCTGCGCCCCTGCGAGGAAAATCTTGCTGCCCAGCTCGAGGAGGTCAGTACTGAAAGACGACTATTTGACGTCTTACGTGATCTGACTTATTCACCAGGGTTATCTTAAGATGAAGCCATGGCTATATCCCAGTAAGTGAAAAGAGCTCTTACGTTAAGACTATTCAACTAAATCATCATATAGCAAGGGATCGTAGTCCATCAGGCACAAGACGAAACTTGACACCAAAAGCCTCACAGGAGAACCTCGGATCAACATCTAAGGGGCCAGTAGAGAACAGCAGTGCCCCACAAGTTGGCGATAATTTACCAACGGAATCACCTTCTCGCGGTCAAAATCAGCCTCAGTCGTATCGCTTGTTTGGGACACATATGAACAGCATGGCAACTTACCACGATACGACCACGGCTTACCTGAATACAGAAGGTATGCTATCGTGGGTGGCTTCCTCTATGTATCAAAGATTTTCAGGTGGGAGTTATATGAGCGGAGTCAAACTGGTTCGCGGTTACTCAGAGCCTTCCAAAAACAAAGAGAAAGATGTCGAGAAAGAAAAAAATGACGAAAACAAGTCTGGCGTTGGTGAAGATGCGTTGTCGCTAGACGAGAAACAACAAAAGTTGTTGAAGCGAAGATCCGCCCCGCCTTCGACCCGAGCTTCACATGAAGAGCCGGTTCAAGAAGCCACGAACAGTAGCCCTAGCCAAGACCCTCGACAATCAACTCTTCAGCGACAGCTGTCTTCCCTTCTCGAGGGTGAAGCTAAGACCAAGGCTGAAAAGGAAGAAGAAATACGGCGACGAGAAGAACAAGAGATTCAAGATGACTACAACGCGCAAGTCGGCGAGACCCAAGGACGTGAAATCGAGCATTTAGTGCTTGTCACGCATGGTATAGGCCAGCTCCTCAGCTTGCGGTAAGCTTCGGACCATAGCAGCCCAACATTCACCGCTAACAGATGCAGGATGGAGAGTGTTAACTTTGTTCACGATGTGAACGTTCTCCGCAAGACAATCAAATCTGTCTATGCCAACTCAGCAGACCTGAAGGCGTTGAATTCGGAGCTGGGAGCAGGACCAGGGAACTCTAGAGTACAGGTGCTTCCTGTCTGCTGGCGACACTTGCTCGATTTCCCTCAGAAGCGTGAGAAGAAAGGCGAACGTGACCTTGGAGACCTCGACGGTGATGAGGACGAGTGTAAGTGCATGCTCCTATACTCTATGGCAAAGATGCCACTGACTTGTGCGATTTGGCAGACCCATCCCTGGAGGATATCACCGTTGAAGGTGTGGCTTTCGCCCGTTCTCTGATTTCAGACCTTGCCCTGGATGTTTTGCTATATCAGAGTTCATATAGAGCTCAGATCTCGAAGATCGTTCTCGATGAATGCAACAGAATATTCAAACTGTTCAGAAAACGGAACCCAGAGTTCAAGGGGAAAGTGCACCTGATGGGCCATTCTTTGGGTTCTGCTATTCTTTTTGACCTGCTTTGTCAACAGAAACGGGACCAGGCTCCGGAGTCAAGACCCTTACTAAGGTTATGGCCAGCTCAGGATATTTCTGAGACGCCCGGTAAAGACCCCGATCTCAGTCTAGAATTCAAGGTCGAGGACTTCTTCTGCATAGGTTCACCAATTGGCCTCTTTCAGATGCTCAAGGGGCAGTATGTCTTACCGAACTCCGTATAAGAAAAGACCTCACAATGCTGATATGCCTTAGGACGATAGCAGCCAGACACCGCAAACCAGCAGGGAACATCAAGAGCGCCTCAGGAGCCACTACTCCAGACGACATTCTGCGCACAGCTCAGCTTCCTTCAGGTACAGAGCAAATATCCTCAATAACTGGACATCCTACGTCAGTTGCGTCGCCGAAAGTTCAACAGCTCTTCAACATTTTTCACCCGTCAGACCCGATTAGCTATCGACTAGAGCCGTTGATATCACCGTCCATGTCGACACTGAAGCCCCAGCTGCTACCTTACACGAAGAGAGGAATCTTTGGCAATGTTGCACCTCAGGGATTAACAGGAATCGGGGCCAAAGTCGGCCAGAGCGTCAGTGGATTATGGTCAAGCCTAAGTGCCGGCATCGCCAGTAATTTACTCAATCGTTCGCTCGGGTTGAGCAATGAGGAGGTGGCACGGCTCACAGCTAACGCAAGCCAAGCAGAGGTCGCCGGCACTGAAACCACGGGGACCAAGGGGACGGCAAACCGGGAGGTTTCCAGTGCTGCTGAAAAGCTAGAGGCTACTGATGCACGAATGAAAAAGCTCGCAGATTCTGCAACTGGCAACGCTGGGCTGGACCCGGAGGCAGGAGACCGTAACCCTACCCTAATCGATGAAGAGATCGAGACTTTGTATTCCAATTTCCAGAAAAACCGCACACGATCGACGAAGGACGAAGAGACATCGACGACAACAGCAGATGAAGACAAGAAGGCGCGCAAGATGCGCAACGAGGAGGCCAAAGTTCGAGCTCTCAATCGTAACGGCAGAGTTGACTATAGTATCCAAGAGTGAGTACACTTTCAAGGTTCATTTTAATGAAAATTCCGGGCGCTAACAGCGATTACAGAAGTGTCCTTGACTTCAACCCGATTAATACCATCGCCTCACATATGGCGTACTGGGCCGATGAAGACGTGAACCATTTTGTTCTGTCGCAACTGTTGTCGAACCGATCTAGCAACAGAAGCAATGCTGAGGTCTCATCAAAGAAAGAGTCAACACAAATAGAATATAAATAGATATAGAAATGCCGATTGAGAAATTCAACGATTTCTGAATCGAGTGAAACTATAAGTTGTGCAATTGAAATATCGTATACTACTTTTGTCGACGAACTTGTAACAAAGCCTCAATGCGCATGTCATTAATAACTGGCACCGAAGTAATCAATCTAAACTGTCGCATAGTCTAATCTTTTATAGTTGACGATTGGTGGCTTATAACACAACTGTTACCAAGCTATTATTTATTATTTAACTTGAACAGACAGTGTAGGATTCTAAATGTTAATCGCCCATCGCTTGTTTCCATAAGGTAGGTACGAAACCGCAAGATACAGCCTGCCGTTTGAAAGTATAAATGGTGAATCTCACCGAATGAATCATCGTGAACTTTTTGTTATATGTGCCTACTATACCTAGGTAGTACCTTCCGATAGTTGGCCCCGCGTGTCGGCAGCGTGGTGGGGCACGAGACACTAAGACTAAGAGCGCAGAGTCCCTCTTCGCAGGCGATGGAAATTTTGCGACCAAACCCACGTCCTTCGTTCTACATCCATTCAATTTGATAAACCATCCGCAGTCTGCGTCGCGACCTCGAGCTTCTGGTCATGTACGTCGCATGCGAAACTCCACAACTGCAAGCAGCTTTTAAACCAAGCTTGTTGTGATCGTCATTTCGAATTCCACGATCCTTGTCGCCCGCACCTTCCATCGTCAAGTCAAGACTACTACAGCAACTACCACCCACCAGCTTGCGCCTTCCTACTTCCGACTTCCTATTTCCTACCGACGTACCAGCGCTTAAGCCTGCAACCATTTCGCATCGAACATCATCACTTGAGTCTTCATAATGGCCATATCTGGTTCTGCGGATAGTCCCGTCAAGCAGCAGCTTGTGGATAAGCTGCCAAAGCGGTTCAAAGGCATCAAGTTTGGTATCCAGTCAGTCCTTCGATCATGTCATATTGTCGCAAAAATACTGACTGCCTTCGTACAGGTCCAACCAAGACATTGCCAATCAAGCTGTCCTTGAGGTTTCCGATCGCCTACTATATGATATCGAGAACAACCGCGCTCCATACCGCCATGGTCCTCTTGACTCTCGACTGGTGAGTGACTCACCCTGGGCACAAATATCTCGTCAATAAGCTCACATCTTCTTAGGGCACTTCCAGTAAACAGGGAAGATGTTCGACCTGTTTAGAATCTCTCAAAGACTGTAACGGGCATTTTGGCCATGTTCGCCTGCCGTTGCCTGCGTTCCACGTTGGTTATCTTCGTTTCATCATGTCGATTCTTCAAGAAATCTGCAAGGTATGGCCATAACTGAAATTTCCAATCTCAGACCCCAAATATCTAACTCCGACTCAGGACTGCGGCCGAGTTTTGCTCGAGGAACCAGAAAGACAGCAGTTTCTTAAAGAACTAAGACGGCCATTCCTCGACAATCTGCGACGAACGCAAATATGCAAAAGGATAAACGAACAATGCCGAAAAATCAAGACATGTCCTTATTGTGGATCTCTCAATGGCCAAATTCGAAAGATCGGCGTTCTCAAGCTGGCTCACGACAAGTTTGTTGCTTACAACAAGTCGACTTCTGCCAAGAAAACTCCTCCGGAGAGTAAGATCAAGTTTGACAAGTCTTTCAATGACGCGAAACGCGAGAATCCCGAGCTCGACAAGCATCTTCGTAAGGCCATGGAGGATCTGAATCCACTCAGAGTCCTCAATCTCTTTAAGATGATTAGCCCTACAGATTGTGAACTTTTGGGGCTTGATCCTGCCGAGGGACGACCCGAGATGTTTATCTGGCAGTTCCTTCCTGCCCCCCCTGTTTGTATCAGACCATCTGTCGCCCAAGATAATGCCAGCAACGAGGACGACATCACCACAAAATTAGCTGATATTGTTTGGGTCAGCGGAATGATTCGATCCGCCTTACAAAAAGGCTCACCAGTCCAGACCATCATGGAGCAATGGGAATATCTACAGACTCAAATTGCTATGTATGTCAACAGTGACGTTCCTGGGCTTCAGCAACCCGGGTTTGGCAAAACTACAAGGGGTTTCTGTCAGCGTCTGAAAGGCAAGCAGGGTCGCTTCCGTGGCAACCTCTCCGGCAAGCGTGTCGACTTTTCTGGAAGGACAGTCATCTCACCAGATCCCAACCTTGGTATCGATCAGGTCGCTGTGCCGGAGTTAGTTGCGAAGAATTTGACCTACCCTGAAAGGGTACAGCGGCAGAACATCGAAAAGCTGCGTCAATGTGTCAAAAATGGACCTGACGTCTGGCCAGGAGCTCAGCGTGTCATCAAGTCAGACGAAGGTGGCTATCTACAGTCTCTGAAGTTCGGCAACAGAGAGTATATAGCCAGGGACCTCAAGTTTGGGGATATCGTTGAGCGACATCTCGAGGATAACGATATCGTTCTTTTCAATCGCCAGCCGTCCCTGCACAAACTGAGTATCATGAGCCATCTTGCTAAAGTCCGACCTTGGAGAACCTTCAGGCTAAACGAATGTGTCTGTGGTCCCTACAATGCTGATTTTGACGGAGACGAAATGAACCTTCATGTTCCACAAACCGAGGAAGCTCGTGCTGAGGCCATCAACTTGATGGGCATCAAACACAACCTCGCAACTCCCAAGAACGGTGAACCTGTCATTGCCGCCACGCAAGATTTCATCACTGCAGCATATCTGCTGAGCGGCAAGGACCGATTCTTTGACAGAAAGACATTCACTTATCTTTGCATGCACATGATGGATGGCAAGACGCACCTAGACTTACCACCCCCTGCTATCATTGCTCCACAATCGCTTTGGACAGGAAAACAGCTGTTCAGTATGTTGATGCGACCCAATAAGGACTCACCAGTCAAGGTGAACCTGGATGCCAAATGTAGAACATACAAGGCCCGGCCTGGTCAATGCCCTGATATGGACCCTAACGATGGCTGGCTAGTGGTTCGTAACTCAGAGGTAATGTGTGGTCGCATGGATAAGTCCACCGTGGGAGATGGTAAAAAAGATTCGATCTTCTATATCATTCTACGTGATTTCGGACCAGATGAGGCTGTGACGGCCATGAACAGGCTGGCTAAACTTTGTGCGCGACAACTCACAAATCATGGGTTCTCTATCGGCATCGGAGATGTGTTCCCTCCTCAATCGCTCATCCAGGAGAAAGAAAGGCTTGCCGCTGCCGCTTACAAGCAGTGTGATGACTTGATTGAAACTTTCAAGGCAGGAAAGCTTGAGAAGGCGGCCGGCTGCAATCAAGAGGAGTCACTGGAGAACTTCATGTCTGGTATTCTAAGTAAAGTTAGACAACAGGCAGGATCTTACTGTGTCGAGACCTTGAGCCGCAACAACGCCCCGCTTGTCATGGCTAAGTCTGGATCGAAGGGATCAGAGCTCAACGTCGCCCAGATGGTAGCGCTTGTTGGACAACAAATTATCGGTGGTGCTCGTGTGGCGGACGGGTTCCAGGATCGAACGCTTCCTCATTTCCACAAGAATGCTCGGCAGCCTCCTTCTAAAGGTTTCGTCAAGAACAGTTTCTACAGTGGTCTTTCACCGACGGAATTCATATTTCACGCCATGTCAGGTCGTGAAGGTCTAGTCGATACTGCTGTCAAGACGGCTGAAACCGGTTATATGTCTCGGCGACTCATGAAGTCACTAGAAGATTTGTCGACCCAATACGATGACACGGTCCGAACATCGGGAGGCGGTATTGTCCAGTTCCAGTTTGGCGCGGATAAACTCGACCCTGTTGATATGGAAGGCTCAGCGGCACCAGTCCATTTCGAACGAACCTGGACTCATGCACAAAGCCTAACGGTCGACAACAGCGAGACTTCTATGACACCAGACGAAATCAGATCTTTCTGCGACTCGAAACTGGAACCCGAACGACGACGTTATGTCCGAAAGGCGTTGGTTGATGGCACGGTACTGGACTACGAAGATACCAGTGATTATGGCATTGATGAGCATGAGGGCGCGAGAGGATTTCTCAGAGCCATCGAGAGTCACGTTGAAGCTCTGGCATCCAAATTGGAAAGAGTAAGAAAGCTCGCTGGTTTCGAGGGCGATAAAATGATTAAACCCACCGCCCAAGATCATGCCGACCGAACCGCCAAAGTCACCCTATCAACTCTTCAACTATTCATTAAATTGTGCTTGGAAAAATACAAGAAGGCTCACGTTGAACCCGGACACGCTGTCGGAGCAGTTGGCGCTCAATCTATCGGCGAACCAGGTACTCAAATGACGCTTAAGACTTTCCATTTCGCCGGTGTTGCTGGTATGAGTATCACAGGCGGTGTTCCCAGAATCAAGGAGATCATCAATGCATCCAAAACTATTAGTACGCCGGTCATTACATGTCCTTTGGAGAACAACGAGCAGATTGAAGCCGCGAGAGTGGTCAAGGGGCGGATCGAGAAAACGTACATCTCCGATATCTTGCGTTTTGTTGAGGACGAATGGCGCACGACAGAAGGAAACGTTGTTTTACAAATTGACCCAACTGCCCTTTCGGACATGCATCTCGGCATCGGTCCCTATGATATTGCCGAGGCCATTTGCAAACAGCGGAAGCTCAAGGTGCAGAGAGATGATCTGTCAATTGACGGAGACCGAATTGTTGTACGAATTCGCGACGTCAGCGACCCAGCAGTGAAGAAGACAATTGCCCGAAGCAAAGCTGCTGAAAGCGGAGACATGCTACTCAGAGCCAATTTTCTTCGTCGGGCGCTGCCTAATGTGCCTATATCCGGTTATTCCGAAACTACTCGTGCAATTATCCAGACTGCAGAGAACGGAACGCATGAAGTCCTTGTTGAGGGTTACGGACTTCGAGAATGTATGACTACAGAGGGTGTCATCGGAACTAAGGCGAGCACAAACAACGTTATGGAATGCCGAGACGTGCTTGGTATCGAAGCTGCGAGAACCACTATCGCCGTCGAGATTGGCGAAGTCATGAAGGATATGAACATTGATCCCCGTCACATGCAACTTCTTGCCGATGTCATGACCTACAAGGGCGAAGTTCTCGGCATCACGCGTTTCGGTTTGTCCAAGATGCGCGACAGCGTACTGCAGCTCGCTTCGTTCGAAAAGACTCCAGATCATCTCTTTGAAGCTGCAGCTGGCATGAAGACAGACCAGATCGAGGGTGTCAGTGAGTGTATCATTATGGGCCAGACCATGTCAGTCGGCACTGGAGCGTTCCAGGTTGTTCGCCGCTTAGGGATTCGGGACAGCGATGTGAAGCAGAAGCCTACGCTGTTTGAGGATGCCTGGAAAAAGGAGACCGCGCTGAAGCAAAAGTCTCGTCGGAAGGTATAAAACAAGTCCTGAACTGTCTGGGAGTATGGATCAAGATAGAACTCGGAATTAATGTCAAAATAGCGATACCACAAGTGTCTTTATCTTTACCCTTTACTCAGTTGACATGATCACGTGTTTAATTATAGCAAAGCAATCCCGTCCATCATTCTTCCGTTCTTTGTCATACGTCATCGTTTTTGGTTGATGCTTTAATGGGTGAACGATGTCGCAAATCGAAAGGCCAATTCTTACACCAACTAAAATAATTCTTACTTGTGAAGTATGTGTGGAAGATACGCGCTAGCATTGGTGAGTGCGCATTTGTTGTGCCTGCGGTATGCTGGCTAATTCAACGTATAGCGGCCGTCTGAAATTCGCCAAATGCTCCAGGACGACGGCCTGGAGGTTGATGATGCTCCGGAAGATGCTGGAGATGGCGCCCCTCGAAGCAGCTACAATTTTGCCCCTGGTTACCATGGCGTGGTCTATCGTGCCGATACTCCAGATCGAGGTGCTGGGCCTCAACATGGTGACCGTGAATCTCAGGAAACTTCGACCATGACTTCTGTAAAATCCGGCGACTCTACTGCGTACAAATTGCAGTCAATGAAATGGGGCCTTATCCCATCATGGACCAAGCGAAATCCCGACTATGGCTCGATGCTCAAGACGATCAATTGCCGAGACGACTCACTCAGCTCACCGGGAGGCCTATGGGCCAGCATGAAAGCTCGCAAAAGGTGTATAGTTGTCGCGCAGGGGTTCTACGAATGGCTCAAGAGTGGCAAAGAAAAACTCCCGCATTATGTGAAGCGGAAGGATGGCCGGCTGATGTGCTTTGCTGGCCTTTGGGACTGTGTACAGTACGAAGGTAATACATTGATTAGAAATCTGCAAAACTACGCCAACGCTAACGAACGGCAGGTTCAGAGGAGAAGTTGTACACGTACACAATCATCACTACGGACTCGAACCCGCAGTTGAAGTTCCTTCACGCTCGCATGCCCGTTATACTGGAGCCACAGTCACCTGACATCACAAGCTGGCTCAACCCGTCTCAAGACGAGTGGTCTGACCAGCTACAGTCGCTCTTGAGGCCCTTCGAGGGAGCCTTAGAGGTATATCCTGTTAGTAAGGATGTGGGAAAGGTGGGCAATAACTCTCCTTCTTTTGTCGTTCCCTTAGACAGCAAGGAGAACAAATCAAACATCAAGAACTTCTTCAACATTGCGGGAGGTCAAAAGCCATCTACGACAAGGGAACAAGAGGAGCAATATAGAGGCATTCTAAAAGAAGAACAGAACCATGAAAAGCCGGTTCTTGAGATCAAGAAGGAGCCAGACCAGTCCCATGAATCACCTGCAGCAAAGCGCAAAGTCCCTGAAGGATTCGATACAGAAGGGAACGACAGTAATGATGACACAAAGAAAGCACAGAACAGGGTGAGTGCAGTAAGTAATAAGAAGAAAAGCAAACAGGATAACAAAAAGAGAAAAGGCGAGAAGATTACTAGCTATTTTAATACTGTATAATACGAGAATGAGCTATAAGAAATCACACACTATTTCTAGGTGAGATTGGATTTGGAACACATGAGAATGTGAACGATATCTGAATAATTTTCCCTTCAATCCTACTATAGACTATCTCTATTGCTGCACTAAGCTTGCAATTGAATCAAAGTAATCACATCGGTTCTGCATAGTCTGGGTCATGTTCTGCAAGCTGGTTCTGGCTCCTGTGTCGACTACCAGGCGTTGCCTTCGAGTCTTTGAGTAAGCCTGCCAAACCGAAGTGTTTGCATAGCGATACTTATTGGGATCATAGGAGCGAATGAAACTCGCCCAATATCCCTGCATGACGTTGGTGACGTTCGCGTTGGCACCTCCAGCTAAGTAGCTTTTTGGTGCTGCAGTGCTCGCTTGACCTGGTCCCCATATGGCATGCAGCTCGATACAATGGCCCACGCCTCCACCTGGACTATCCTGTACGTTGTACCAGTAACTCCATGTTTTATTGGGCATCCAGTAGGACATTGCGCTAGTAAAAGAGACACCAGGGCACATGAATCGCATGTGGCCGTAGGAATCTCTCAACTGTTCTTTGAAACAAGCAGCAGTCGAGCACTTGTTTGTCCCGTTGGAATACAAGGCGCTGATACTATCCGTGTGAGCTGAGTTCATCATAGGATACTCGGCTTGCAAGAAGCTATCAGTCTGTGCTTGAGAAGACGAGGTGATGGATAAACCGATAGTCTCATTCGTCGTTGCACCAATGATGGTGGGCACTCTGACAAAGTTGCCTTTACTGAAAGAGTCCCATAGAGGGTTTCTGACCAGATCTCCATCAACAACAGGCATCCACATAGCCGATGTCATTTTGGTGCTGCCCGGAGCTGGAACTCTCTTGGGGGCTGAGGATAGCTCGAAGGATGTCTTCTTCCGCATACATGCCATTACGTCCCCCTCAGTGCAACCGAGTTGGGACATGACGCCTTCGGCCCTGTAGGCAGCCTGTTCCAGAGTCACCACAGGCATAGAAGAGATTGACTCGGCTGAGGCTGCATGGAATAGCTTGTCATCTCTGCCTCCATAGGCAGTCAGATGGAAGGCCACACTCGTAGCCCCTGCGGAGTTACCGCCCAGGACGACGTGCTTAGGGTTACCCCCGAATCTTGAGATGTACTTCTGAACCCATTGCAATACCTTTCTCTGGTCAAGAAGGCCGTTATTGGGCTGCATTTTGTCGCCATGTGACAAGAAGCCAAAGATTGATACTCGATAGTTGAGAGTTACAACGATCATGTTCATACCGGAAGCTTGGATAAGCGCAGTGCCATTAGTGGTGGCCTTTGAGTTGATGTTGAAGCCGCCTCCCTGGATAAAGACATAGACAGGCAGCCTAGCCTTTCTGGCGGCATTTGTGGGCGCCCAGACGTTGACAAACAGGCAGTCTTCCGATTGTGTCTTATCGATTGAACGAGCTGATACCCCTGAACCAAGACACTTGAGTCTGAACTGAGATATTGTTAACTATAGGTTTCTATGACAGGAATAGAATCTACTCACTTTGCTTGCGTCCTTTACTTTACGAGACCTGGGGGGATCTTGAGGAGGCATGAATCTCAAAGCACCAACAGGCGGTGCTGCGTACCTCATACCGAGCCACTGAGTGACGCCATTCCCGAGATCCTTTCCCATATACTTGCTGTAGGAAAGATCGACGATAGGAGCGACGGCACTGACAAGTGTCAGTAGCAATGCCAAGGTGGCTAGTAAAGAGAGGGGATGATTAGAAGTCATGTCGAGGACTGTTTGGTTTAAACACTTGAAGATAATGAAAGATACTGACGGGGATGTCATGGGTTTAAATGGATTTTCTCCCCATTGAAGCTCCCCTTTGCTGTTCGAACGAGTCAAGAATCTTTGCCAAGATTATATTGATAGATGCTTCCCATGCCCGACCTTTCCCTGACGAAGCTTGGCAAAGAAGTTGAGAGCACAATACACAATGTGTTTAGACGTTGTTTTCTCCGAATGCCAGTGCCATGGGCCAAGTCGACCAAACTGGAGTATAGCTGAGCCGATCAAATGCAGGAACCAGACCAATCTGTCGGAATAGAACTGAATCTAGACTTCACCATCAGCTCAGATGCACTGACTGGTCTTGATCAGGCAAGCCACATAGCACCACGTTGGTCTCTAAGACTGGGGCTGGACAGTAGCCAAGATGGATATACAGCAATGCCAAGCTCGCTATTGTCGTTCAGCTAACATCTTCACGCCACGACGCCTTACCAGGTTGCTGGATGTTTGTTCCTGGTTGTCTAGTCTCGACTTAAGATATTCGGATCTACTCTGAGAATGCCGAAGGTAAGTCTTTCATACATTCACTATTATCATTCAGCTAACAATTTCAAGCCATAACATCCAAATTAGGTTCCCAGGTGCTTATTCCCAGTCGTCTAGTCTAAGTAGGTTTAAGATATTCAGATCTACTCTGAGAACGCCAAAGATAAGCCTTTCGTACATTCACTATTGTCGTTCAGCTAACACTTTCAAGCCTCAACGCCTAGACCGGGTTCCTGGATGTTTGTTCCTGGTTACCTAGTCCAAGTATAGTAGGTTTAAGATATTCGGACCTACCATGGGGATGCCGGTGTCAACGGTTTATGGGCAGGCCTTCAATACATTCCTGGCGACCCTTACTCGTGCAGCCCGGAGCTTTTGAAACAAAGTTTAGACTTTCACCCAGATCTGCAGTTTCCAACAGAGATGTCTTGACGCTATTCCAATAGCATCATGTACATAACACATTGACCGCCTTATACTAGCTGTCAGATCCCACCAACGCGTAAAGTTGGTGAAGAAAGGCTAGTTTACGGCGGAACTAGAATCCCATCCACGTGTTTTCGAACCTTTGGTTAAGGCTGAATTTTTCGACAATAAAGAGTCCGTTTTGACGCCACTTATGGTTCTAGACAAAAGCGTCTATGTCGAGTCGTTGCGTGAAGAAGACTAAGCTTAAAATGCTGCTAGAGCTGTTCTTGGCAATTCCAGGGGCCAACAGCTTTTTAAAGTGCGTCTGATTCTGTAAGATCAAGTTGAAAAACTTTTCCCTCTTATTTTGCAAGGGACTTTTCATAATCCTCATCTTCCCAACTGTCAACCAGAACCTTGATCTCTTGACTAGCAACCGCAGTCGAAGCGGGTTAAACCACTGAAGCACATATATCAACTTGCTATACTGCATAAATACTCTAAGTAGTGGTAATTTCTGCCATAAACTCGAGGTATCAGACAGTTGTTTTACAATGAATAGACTTATAGCAGGTCAACATTCAATATTGAAGGTACTCAGATAGCTTAAGAGCAATAGATGCCCCATATTTATACTGTCCCACATAGACCCAGTTTTCCTCCAACTTCCCTTATCTTATCTGTCGCAAAAAAAAAAAAAGATCAACTCTAGTCTTTTGTCTTAGGTACAGACTTACCTTTGGCAAAATATCT